CCATAAAACTCCCAACATAGGCACATTTATGGGGATTAATTCAAAGCGACAACAACCACAAACTCAGGACAAAAAAGAGAAGAGTGGGAGAAATTGAACATTAGAAAACCAAAAAGGAATAAAAAAAAGCCCAACACCGATAACGTATTTGCAAGAAACGAAGTTGACGAGAGAAAACTCGTAATAAAACCGTTGCAAATGCCTCACGTAGAGGAAACGGGAGCAGCTGCCGGCAAAAAATGCTCCTGATGGATCAGGGCACCGAGAAGAAACGAAATGTATGGTATGTACATGCATACTCCGTACATGCAGCGAAGGAGGAAGCTCGCGGATTAAAAAGGGCGGCGTTAATGAGGAAAACGAAGAATTGAAACGGAGTGAGGAGGGAGTAAAAATGGAGGATGAAAACCACCTCCTTTTCTGTATCCCAAAATGAATCAAATAAGAAATGCACAAACCCAAACATACGCCTTCAGTCTCTCTCTATGTATGCATGCATGTACTCTGGATTCGAGCATCGGCCGTTCAGCCCCCATTTTCGCCCTGACTTTTCCGCGATATGCTTTTATATGAGTTGAAAGTGAGACTTAAGACGTTCTATTCTCCAATTCCGGGAAGGCCGGCTCCTGCGACGTTGACGTTTTCGCCTTGCATGACTCCACCAGTGTTCATTGTCCTACCAGCCATGAACGACAGTTCAGGGTTGCAGGGCGGTGAATGGGCTTTGTGGTATTTGAGGCCGTTAAGATTCTTGTATCGCTTTCCACAAACTTCGCAGCGGTAAGGCTTCTCTTTCTCCATGCCAAGGGTACCTGGGTATGGAGCGGAAGTTTCGGGGTTGACGATCGAGAAGGTTCCGTCAGCGTTGTCGTGGAGTTGTTGGTTATTATGACCATGCTAATTAAGAGGAAGATTTAGCCGGGGCAAAGAGGGGGCTATGAAATCAATACTAGGCGGTGAGTGCTTACCGATTTATGATATTTAAGGCCGTTTTGGTTTTTGTAAGCCTTCTCGCAACCAATGACCGGGCATCTATACGGTTTAGGCTCCTCGTCGGGTCGAAGGAATGTCGGATCGGGGACGCCCGCAAGCCTCTGCTGCTCCCGGATTCGTTGAGCAATTTCACTATTCGGTCCATATTGCGCGCCTCCCAATCGGAATTGCGCATTCGGTTGCGTCTTGAAACCGCCACCTTGTCGAAACAGTCTTTTGGCCGGTTCATCAATACATAGGTCCAACATATCGTTTTGCCCACCGTATCCGGGGAATTGGGCCTGACTTCCGGCAAGAGGTGTACCTTGCATAGACATATCACCCAGTCCACCGACAATTGACTCGTCGAGCTCAGCCGGTGTCCCAGGCGCTGAAGACTCAGGGGTGTTTCGATACTGAGAAACTTGCTGTTGTTGCAGTGAGTGAGGTAGGAGAGTGGGGGTGTTCACGGAGGAAACAGTCGGATTGTTTTGCAATGGCCTTCCGGGAGAAGACGGCGTACCAGGCTGAGAGCTCCTGAATCCCTGATTTTGCAGCATTCCCAGATTGAGAGGCGATACGCGACTCCCTCCATTCCCCTGACCAAAACGAGTTTGTAAGAACGCCTGCTGTTGAGGCTGTTGAAAGCTAGTATCCGATAAGGGGTCATCCATTTCCATATCATCAACGGTATCCAAATCAGGGAGATCCATGACCCGCGACGCATTGAACCCGGTTTGTGGTTGAACCCGTTGCTGAGCCGGACTCGGGATTTGATTCGATGGCCGCTGGTTATTTACGGGATGGGGAGCAACAAAGCCTTTGTTCGCACCATGTTGTTGGCTTGCCTGAATCTGATTCCCACCAGGTCTGTTATCCGGAATGGGTTGACCAGACTGCGTCCTCTGCGGCACAGGGGGCGATTTTTGAGCGTGGGCCTCTTCATAGTGTTGGAGCAGATCATGGAGCGTAGGAAGAGTGATACCACAGCACGAAAAGTCGCGCATAAAGTTGGCTTCCAGTTTGGGGAGATACGAGGAAGAGTGGTACGAGGGCGACTGTAGCGTAAACGGTGAGGTTCCTGTCATGATAATGCTGCATCTCAGTCAGCATCAAAACAAACACAAATTTGTATGTGTCACTCCGGAACATCAGTCTAAAATGGCGGGTTCATCACGTACTCGTCTCTAATCCAACTTCCAACGGATACGCCACCCCAACTCATCCCCCCGACCAGACTGCCTGCAAGGCTCTCCCGGCGCGGTTTGTCTCTATTGGAGCCAGCAACCGTGATCGGCTTACTGCCGTTCGAATACTGTGCCATGGTCGCACTAAACGAGTCTTTTCGCGCACCATTTGATTTGAACGCGGTTGGACTGGCGCCGTTCCACGCAGGGATAAGATCAGGACGATCTACGGCCGACGCTCTCTGCAACGCCGAGGTGAGATTGGAAGACTGCTGAGCTGGCGAAAGAGACGTCTGGCGAGACGAGGAGATGTTGATAGGCGACGTGGTATTGTCCATTGTTTGCTCGGGCGGTGAGGACGGAAACAGAGGAAAGGTGGTGTCGTCGAAATCGCCCGGGAAGGTGTCGCGTGAAGACGAACCGAGTCCGTCTGCAAGATTGCGGTGCCAGGGGAAAACGGAGGATCGATCCCGCTCGGGCCTGCGTGCGCTGGAGAGGCCAAAAGCAACGGGAGTGCCAATTGGAGTGGACTCACGGGTCGAAGTGCGATCGTGGTCGCTGGAAGGAGGTGAGAAATGTAGAGGGGGAGGAGTGTCGGAGGATGCACGCATCAAGAACAGCGCAGACGGTCGCTGGGAAGGGAGGTTGCGCGAAGCTTGTGTTTCCAGCAGTGAGCTGCCCGGTGTTGCTGAAGCACAGGATGTACACAGGGCGGTTGCGAAGCAGCAGAGAGCCGTTGAAGCGAGAGAGAGAGAGAGAGACAGACTCGGGGCGGTGATGGCGTTCGGCAGCGGCAACAGGCTCCACCAGGATCCAGCGCAGGAACCAGGAGAAGGCGAGAGAATCGAAAGCAACAGCAACAAAAGTGAGATGGAAGTGCTCTGCTGAACAGGAAGAGTAGATCCGGGCAAACCCTGTAGATGCTCGCGAGAGATGGATGATGTCGGCGTTGACTGGACGAGATAATAATAATAATAATAAATCGTTCGCTGAGGCCAACGCAAGTCCAAACAGCCTTATTAGCTGTTAACTAGGGAACAACTAACTAGTTCAGACAGGGTAGGATTTACAAGCAACGGTCTTGCTAGTGAGATGAATAGGCTTGATTAATTTCATGGAATATCCGAGTATTATCTCGCTGCCAAACGGTGCCGAGCCTGCTCCGAAGAAAGGATTATCAAGACTGCTCGAGTTATACAGCGGCCCCATGCCTTTGCCCAGCCCAGCCCTGGTCCTAACCGTCTGAAGGGGAGCATCATGTGCGAGTTACCGGACAAGCATCGTCTCCTGGCCCGGTGTTTAACTATATCGAGTCTGCCCCTTTGTTCCACAACGGCTCAACTGCCGAGTCACCATCCCCTCCGATTGTCAACAGTGGCGTTGGCTCGCTGCACAAACAAACCAACCTCGCTCCACTCGCCGGGGAGAAGCCTGCTCCCATAACTATGTAGGGGAGAGCAGCTCTCTGATGCCATGTTGCTTCCCGGTGACTTGTACGAGCTCTTGAGCTCTTGTGTCCAGACACCTCCGCGGTCGAAGGCTCTCCCTGGAACAGAGACAGACCTGTTGATTGGGCCCGAGCCTGGTGACTGGAATGGCAAAGCACTTCGCGAGCCCAATCAGAGCTGCAGCTCTTCTCTCCTCCTGCGAGATTATCCGCTCAGAAACACAGGAGGAGAAGCAGAAGCGGTAGATCTCTTTGTTTTGAATGTGAGAGACATCTCCTCCTCGGTCATTATTGTGAGAGTGAATCTGTTTGTCCGATTTACTTTGGTCGCAACCGTGGCTCCGGGAGGCTACGTCCTGGGCGAGACTCCATTGCTCATTATTCAACTCGTAACCCGCAAGGCAGAGGATGTGGCCAATCGCCCACCGTTGGGTGTGGATTAAAGTACCTGCCGAAGGTTTTCTTTATCCCCGAGATGTTCGCCGCTCTGAAACCGACCAAGCGCAGAAGTATCACCGTCAAATCCCCAAATCATCGTCAGGAGTGGCCATGCTGTGGTGGACTACAAGCCGAGCATCACGAGCTTTCTCCCGTAGGCGTTTCAAAGCCATATCAACAGTATCATCCGCGCATCGATTCTTCCGCTCGAGATACCTTTTCCAAACTTAAGTGGAGACGGATGTGAGCGACCATCAAATGGCGGTAACCAATAGCCACTGACAGCCCGGTTGGACCGGGATCGATGGCAAAAGACGTCAAAGGCACTCGCCTCCGGTTGAGGGGATGGATTCAATTAGTATCATAGATGGCATTTCAGAGCTGTGCAAAGACAGTTGCAAGTGTAGCAAAACATCGTCAAATCTCAACAAAACGATGGCTCGTAAAGCGCCTGTCGATTTCCAAGAAACAGTCAGCCCAACGTGAATGAAAGGTTCAATGCTTAGAGTGGTCATGTGTCTGTCTCATCTTGCGATATTGTCCATGAACCTCGTAGACAGCATATCACCTTCATCATCATGGAGAGCCGCGATCGCCGCTTGACCTCACAAATTCCCCTGGACGCCAAAGTGCTTCACAAACTCAGCCCTGCTTTGCTAGATATCTCCTCCCTGCCCTCGTCGAATGGGTTCGAGCCATCCACGACAAGCAGTCTTTCGGCAACTATCCAGCGGCTTAACCAAGCAATAGTCCAGAGCGATGTTGTCTGGCAGCTTGGCTCTACGGTTATACTCGGTCTCAGCTCAGAGATAGTCATGAAATCTGGCTTTGGCCTCGACATCGAGCACATCTCGACCATGAACTATATCAAGGACCGAGTCCCCCAACTCCGCGCACCTGATATACATGGCGTGCTTCAGGCTGGGCAGCGTTGTTTTGTGTTTATGACCCGGGTTGAAGGCGAACCTCTTGATCGAGTCTGGAAGTCGCTGAACAGGTCCCAGAAAGACTCTATCAAGGAGCAGCTAGAGCCCATGTTTTCTGGCATCAGATCAATACCAGCATCTCCATCTTCAGCGGCAGACGCCATCCTTGGTGGCGGCACTCCGAGAAGATGCAAAGATGCAAGGAGGGAGATACGGGTTGCAGAGCGCTCCATCGCCAATGAGGCCGAGTTCAATCAATTTCTTACCACAGACCCAAGGCGTACGGAAACAGGGTGGGTGAAAATGATTCGTTCATTTCTCCTCTCTGACTATGAAATGGTTATGACCCACGGCGACATTCACCCTCGGAATATCATGGTTTCTAAAAGGTGCAAGGCGCCCCCGTCGGATCCAGTTACGGACTGGGTTGAAGTTACTGGCGTGATTGATTGGGAAATGTGTGGCTATTACCCCAGTTACTGGGAGTATGTGAAAGCTCTACATACAGTTGGGCCTAAAAGTGAGTTCAACGACTGGTGGTCTTTCCTGCCAGCTTCAATTGGTGTATGGCCCAAGGAGTACGCCGTTGACCAGCTGTTAAGTCGTTGGTGGGGATAGAGACTTAGCTGCTACCGTGTTTTGTGTGTTTTCCTTTGGATATCGAAGAGATGTTGAGTGAAGAGAAGCTTATGGGGTGGACAATCCAGCGTGTATCTCAATTTATGCCATAGAACATGTGTCCTTTTTCAGATGCCAGTTCAGCGCTTGTTCAGAATGAAAGATGACAGGACGTGGCTAAGTATAACTATTGGGAACATTAAACACAGTGTAATTGTTCATGAAAGGTGCTTTGGTATGCCTCCTCTCTTTAATAAATGGCAATCCTGGCTTGGTGAGTTACATATTCATGAACATGTGTTCCTTTGGCTAAATTGCTTCGGACAGACTACTGCTCAAAGGAATACAATTGATATTCTCAACGTGTTTGACTGCCGCATTAGATATGCACCTCATCAATGGGGGTATAGATCAACCACAAAATGCTATAAGTTTCACACAACACTTCATAGTGCATTTTGCAATTTCACTGTTTACTTTGAAGCGGTTGCTGATGGAGAACATTATGATATCAAGTGTTTTGATCCAAACTTTGGTCTACTATTTGGACTTCCCAGAACGCAAACACTTTCTACATGAGCAGAGACTGATGCAGCTCCCTCATTGAGAATATCAAGGTGGAAATTCTGAAACCATCGGCTAACCTCCGAAGCAGGTTGTGCAGAGACACAAAGAAATTAAGGGTAATCCCGGTGACCATGCATGATGGACTGGTTTGTGATCATGATCTTGACCAAGTCAGCCCGGATTGCACTCTTCCCCTAGCGGACACGAAGAGCAGCCGACAGGGGGGTGAGTTGTAAGTCTACTCCGTATCTACAGAGACCAGACGGAAACAGCAGTCTGGCATTATCGATATTGCACCATATGCCATCTACTCACCCCACTGAATTTCTAGAAAATCAAGTAACTCCGCTCGTCATTCAATCGAGGGTGAAGACACCCGCTTTCTGAATTCGAGCACCAAATATTCTATGCCTGTATGACACCATATACCATCAAAGGTCTTGAAACGAGTTGAAGGGCCATGCTTGAAAACCAAACCTCGGGCATATTTTGATGGCTCGTTTCAAAGATGGCGGGAAGAATGTCACTATAGAAGCGATAGTCATCGCATCCATTAATAGTCAGCCAGGTTAGTATCTAGCAGATAATTTTGGCGGGATTCAGATTTGGCGAATAAATAGTTTCTAGGTCTCAATATATGAACTCTCGAATCCTTCTCGAATTAACTCACGAGAATTGGCGCGCTTTAGTTAATGCTTGTTATCTTTAAATAGCGTTAATCAATCCACCTTTGATTCTCCTTGTCGAAGCCAATCATTTTCAAGTCGATGTTCAAGTTTTTGAGCATCATGTCCATAGTAAATGTCTGGGAAATAGTCAGTAACAGTCTGAAATAGTTGAGCACCGGCGCTGCCATTCTTGCAATGCAAAACTCTGTCAGAAGAAGGTCACCGAACAAACCTCATCATCCCCTTTCTCGCTCTCATGTTCCTCCCGGTCGCTATCACCTCTTCCGCCCGCGTCAATTCCATCTTCAATTTCTCGCCTTCTCGCTTCTTTCTCCCTTTCTACATCGGACCCATCAGCGTCCTCTCCCCCATCCGCACCTCCGCATGTATCCCACTCCGCCTTTCTCAATTTACTCTGCCGCATTTTCTCTCTCCACACTCCAACTCCACCCATCCTATTCACCCGATCCCTAGCGCTCGCGAACAATTCCTCAGCCGCTTCACGCGTTACAAGTCTCCATTTATGGACCAGAGCCTCAATTTCGGGGTCTTGGTTCGACTGTTCAATCTTTAGCGCTTGGGCTGTAGTGTCGAGATTGGCGCGCAGTGCGGAGAGCTGAGCATGTAATGATGAGAGCTGCTTTTGGAGGACCGTTACGCGCTGCTGGGCATAGGATGTATTCGGAGAGGTCATTGCAGTGGTCTGGTGAGAGCGTTGCTGCCTCTGACTGAGCACAGGTTTAGGTGTGACTGGAGGAGTAGACGGGTGGGATAAAGGTAGAGTAGACTGAGGAGCCGGTTCCCTGCTGGCATCTTGCGCAACAGACTTCGCTCGTGCAGTCCCTCCACTCACTACATGCCCTAAGACCTCATTGCCCTTTTTGTCATCTCGATTGTCACTTGGTGTGTTAGCATTTGGGTCATTCGCGGTCCGACGGAGAGGGGACCTAAACGGCTTTGAAAGAGCGGTTTGCGCGTCATTTAATCGCCGCCTTTTTGCATAGGGTGAAAGATAAGACATTATTGTTCTGCTATATCAGAGGGATCCAGAGTAATTGCGGCACTGGACCAGAAAGTGGGAGGAGACTCAACCGAGCTGGAAGCAACATGAAGTGAGGTGAATTTAAGCTGCAAAAGAGCTCCCTTGATTGATAAGATAAGGTTCGGCGGTGCCTGACATCATCAATACGAGACCCCACAATACCGTATTGATTAGTGATCACCACCAATACGGTGGATGTTATTAATACCGAATACGAATCGGTAACTATAATACAGAGTACGAAGCTTGGCGCAATTCCTTCCAAAATCCTATATTCAAAACGCCGGAATGATGCTAGGTGGTATAAGGAGAAATATAAATATACGAATGGCGCTCATAAAATAGTCTAGTGCCCTATCGCCCCAGCTACCCAAGCTGGATATTCGGGATCGTCAGGGGCTGGAAAGAAACCTCGATCTTCTCCGCCCTGTTGTCTCTGCCGTTGGTCTTCGGCGGCGACACCTCCAGCCGCTGCTTGCCCAGCGGTTTGACTGCCGTCGCGGTTGTTATTGTGTTCAGGGGCCACATTATTGGCCCGTCGCATCGCTCTCTGCTGCCGGAAATGTAAAAGAACGACGAGAGTCGCCGCAAGCCCGATGATTATCAGGCTTTCAAGCATGCCATCCTCGATGTCAAGGTCAAGGTCGTCATAATAGCCACTTGAAGCATCCCCAGCGTCCGCTGTGTCCTCAAGGGCATCATCAGCCTGTTCACCGGCCGCTGCCTGCTTCATCCTCTCCTTTTTGGCGGCTTCTCTTTCTTCGTCGTAGGAGACGAATTCCCTGACCCATTCTTTTAACGATCGGGGTGAATTTTTTTCTGCAAGATTTCGAAAATTAGCCAAGGCAATAAAGCTCCAACCCGTTATAAACTTACCTTGTTCTTCTCGAATGGAGTTCACTTTACCATTCGTAATCCGATTCCAAAAACTTCGAAGACGCAACCGTATTAGACTCAATTTGACAGGGAGATATGCCTCGTCATTTGTCTCGAGAGCTAGATCGTAATATCTTTTGGCCATGTGAAAGTCTTGTTCAACAGAAATACCATGCTCATGCATCCATCCCAGGTTCCAGAACGCTTGGGCGCTATGATGACCATCCGCTGCGCTATGGTAGCAACTCGATGCCTTCTTGAAATCCCTTGGGGTACCATAGCCATAAAAATAATAGTCGCCCATCTTAACAAGTGAATCAATATTGGATTGTCGTGCGGAGCGGGTCCAGTAGACCAATGCCAGAGCGGCGTTACGAAGAATAGATGGTCGACGCTCTTTTGACCATGGAAGAATAGGATCAAGAGATAGCACGGATCGCCGTTCGTCCAATAACCAAGCGACATTTGCCTGCGCATCTTCGTAACCTTGCTCTGCGGCCATCATGGACAACATCAGAGCAGTTTCCTTGTCGCCTCTCGCATAAGCATCATTAGCTTCAGCGAACGAAGAATGAACCTCTTCCACTCTCTCTGCGACCATCTTGTAATAGCCTGTAGCCATGCCACAATGTCGTTCCTTTCCAATACCGCGCTCGGCAATTTCGGCTAAGTAGTAGAACGCTTCAGTCGCTCCGTATCTTGCAGCCAATTCGAAATATCTCGTCGCTGTCGGAACGTCTCCTTGGTCGAGGAAAAGAGCTCCGAGTTGGATCTCAGCAAATGGGTAGTCCGCTTCGGACGCGGCCTTAAAGTATGATGCCGCCTTCAGTGCGTCTTGCGGAACACCGTAGCCATGCAGATACATCAATCCCATATAGTGTTGGCACATTGAATCGCCGTTCGCTGTCCCACGTTTGAACCAAGTGAAAGACTTTTCAAAATTTTGTTCTGTCCCCTCGCCTCTGAGGAACATGAGCCCTATATGAGCCGCTGACTTTGAAGCGATTTTCTCAATGCCTGCTGGATGGCTCGGATTGATTTTCCCATCTTTTGTCCAGTATCTCCGAGCAACTATCCCAAAATACATCATCGATTTCCTGAAATTCCTCGGCAGGTGACGTGACCCGTCATAGTATAATTTTCCTAGGTTGAATGTCGCTTTCATGTCTCCCTTCTTAGCCAGGAGATCGAGATATTCAAGGACATCGTCCAAACTGGCGTCAGAGCTGGAATGAACCCCTTCCTTGTGGGCGTTCACACCAGAACTTGACACACTAGCCCCCTCGCCGTAAACACCGCCTTCCGCATCAGCCCAACGGTACGAGTCTTTGGATAAGTTCCGACCGCCTGGTGGGCCAGACCGGTAGTATGCAATTGCTTTATCGGCTACTTGTTTGTAATAGTAGGCAGCCTCGTCGCAGTTTCTCGGTGTACCAATACCAAGGTATCTTCTAAATGCTAACGTCATCTGTGACCTTACATTTCCTCCGGAAGCAGCAAAAGTATGATACAACAGCGCCATCCCCTGATGTCTCTCAACGGCGTCCCCGATGCCAGTGGCATACATGAAGCCTAGCATGTACTGCGCGGTGCTGTTTCCGCTCAATTTGGCGAGTTTTTCATAGTGCTGGAAGGCCTTGGAGTAGTTTCTCGGATGAGTATAATTGCCGTAGAAGTTCATATCCGCTAGGAGATATATCGCGTCCAAGTTGTTATCGTTTGCAGCGCTCTCGAGCAGGCTAACCGCATCCTTGAGCTGGGAACTCATCGAACGTGGCCGCTCGTGAGTCTGGCTATCCAGCGGTGGTCCGTTCATAAATAGTAAATAAAATAGCTGCCGGGCATAGTGACGAGTGTACCAAAGGAATCCCGAGGGCCGCTCATATCTCTTCGTCGGGACTTTAAGGCGTCGAAGGATGTTCAGGGCGGCATCAACTGCCGGTTGGCCTGGAGTGAGATTGCAGTCAGTATAGCTTCGCCTGCGGCATTCCAAGTCAAATGAAGCGTACTGGAAGAGCCATCGTGTCTCTCTTGGTTAATATTCAGACCCACGCCATTCTGGCCGGCTAACACAGCGCTCTCCGCCGGTTCAGCAGTAGCGGGCGGCGTAATTTCAGCGTTTGTCGTGGCTTGAACTCTAGCCACCAGGAGCTGCAGTAAGAGCACTGTGTATGTACATATCCCTAATTAGCACAATACTCCTCTCCGCAACCTTGGGGCATGGCGGGGAGCTTACGGAGGGCCAAGGGCAAGAACTTCCACCTCCATTGTCGGGTCTTCATATCTGCAGGGCTAGTATGAATTGTTTGTCTGCGTAAAGCATTGCGACGCGCTTCTGGCCAGCCTCGTCAAGAAAAAGGCAGCAGAGGTCTAGCAGTCATTCTGGATTGTCCTTTGTGATCTCTCGTCTTCAGCCATGACGCGATTTGGCCACCTCGACATTTAAACCGGCGACGGAGATACGTTTCGCCGATGTTACAACCTCCGGTCCAGTTCAGCTTAGCCTCTGAGCAACATCGCCATGTCAATAACACCGCTGCGAACCGGCATATGGGTTGTCCATTCGACAGAGCGTCAGACACAGACAGGGATCAGTTTACGGTACCTAGGCACGGAGACAAGTTAATGTTTGGACAAGCCAGATTTGAGCTCGATTTATGTCCAGTCCAGGTCCGCCATCCATCAGAAACGTTGACTTCAGTTGGCGCCAGTGGGCTCACCAAATCATCTCGACGTCTTTGAGGATTCAACAGCCAGGCTGGGTAGTTATTGCAGAGGATTTGTAAACTCTCCTAGCAATTGGAGTGGTTATATACAACTCATCCATAACACTGCCTTTTCGCCGCTTGTTCTACGCGTCATCCATTTCGCGTACGGCGAGGACCCGAAGTAGATCGTTTTGCTGCTTGTGAATCGTGGCATGAGAAGATATGAAGAAAATCCACCGGGCCTTAACCCATTCTGCAGCTCTTCCCCTTTGTTTGCCCTTGATCCGTTGGCTTTCGTTGACACTGCTCTCTAATTGCTGTAGTACTCCGTATGGTTGACATTCTAAACAGCACCGGAAAAGCGGGGAAAAGAAACAGGCGTGCTTGTATTCTGTAGACCTGGAAATGTCTGAAAATCCCTGCTTCAGAGAGACGCAGATTAAAATAGTTAACGATATGGTTGGAGCCACCATCCTTCTGATGCTTTTTACCTAGAGGTCTCTTTCATCCTCATTCCAGTACCCACTTGATTACGCAGTATAACTGTGCCGTTAGCTCTCCTCTACGAGTTAGCTACCGGGACACATCCGTATCTCCAAAAATCACAATTTGCCCATAAGATACCCCGCTTCAGCGGAGCGTCCCGAGTCCCGACGGAGTTGGTTCTCCGTTATAAAGAACAACAGTGTTCCAAAACCAGGACAGAAGCCGAATTCCGCATATAGTAATATTCAATCAAACCGAATTGATACCCGAAAATGGGCGCCGAAATCGACTTTACCACCTTCCGCAATGTCATCAACGGGGAGTTGACATCGACTGAGCAGACCCGCCACGGCATCAATCCAGCAACGGGGAATCCAAACCCGGAAGTTCCAGTTTCCACTCCAACAGATGTCGATGCCGCCGTCGAGGCCGGGCTAGTTGCTTTCAAGTCCTGGTCAAAAACCTCCCGAAAGGTGCGCGAGCAAGCTCTGCTCGGCTTCACCGGTGCCATTACGCGTTACAGGGAGCAACTGACCAAGCTACTCGTGCAAGAACAGGGGAAGCCTGTGCGTGATTTCGCCTGCTCTTCCTGAAATGCATACATACTAATATTCCTGTTACTGTCCTCGGCAGGTGATGTTTGCCAACGGTGAGGTTGATGGTGCCCTTGCATTCCTGCGAAGCATCGTGAATCTCAAACTTGAAGAAGAAATTGTGGAAGACACGGAAGATAGGCAGGTAATTGTTCGTTTTACGCCACTTGGCCTCGCCGTTGGAATCGTGCCATGGAATGCTCCACTTGTCATTGCAGTGATGAAGATAGCGCCGGCGGTTTTGACTGGAAATACGATCATCATAAAGCCTTCACCCTTTACTCCTTATTGCGACTTGAAACTCGTTGAGATCGCGCAGCAATTCTTCCCGCCTGGTGTAGTCCAGGTTCTTAGCGGCGATGACAGCTTGGGCCCTTGGTTAACTGCCCACCCTGGACCTGCTAAGATCAGCTTCACTGGGTCTTCCGCGACCGGTAAGAAGGTCATGGAAAGTGCAAGCAAGACCCTGAAGCGAGTGACTCTGGAGCTGTGAGTTCTTTTATGCCGTTTTTCCCACGGATTTGCGAGATCTGATTGCATATCAATACCTAGTGGAGGAAATGACCCTGCCATCATCTGCGCTGATGTCGACGTCGACAAAGTTGCGCCCAAGGTATGTACCGTACATACGTACAAAGTCTTCTGTCTAGGCTTGGGGATGATTGCTAACATTTTGTAGATAGCTATGAGCTCATTTGCAAATGCGGGCCAGGTATGCTCGCGAGGTCTGGTCACCACACAGATCGCTAACAGCTCTCCAACTTGCAGATTTGCGTTGCAATCAAACGAATTTATGTGCATGAATCCATCTATGAAAAATTCCGCGAAGCCATTGTTCGCGCAACCGCCGCTCTCAAAGTCGGCGAAGGCAACGAGCCAGGCGTCTTCCTCGGGCCGGTCCAGAATTCCATGCAGTTCGAAAAAGTCAAAACATTCTTCGCTGATATAGAAAAAGAAAAATGGAATGTAGCAATTGGCGCAAAGGGCGATATGGGGAAACCCGGATATTTCTTTGAGCCCACGATTATCGACAAGCCCCCTGCAGATTCTAGGATTGTCGTAGAGGAGCCGTTTGGTAAGTGTCGAATACCATAAGAGAAACAAGACTGGACAAAATCAAATACTTATACCTGCAAAACTACAGGGCCGATCGTCCCGTTGTTGACCTGGAACGACGAAGCTGCTGTTATCGAAGCCGCAAATAACACTAAAATGGGCCTCGGGGCCTCTGTATGGTCTAGTGACCTTGAACAAGCCCGTCGAATCGGTGACCAGATAGAGGCAGGCATTGTGTGGATAAACAAACACTTTGATGCTTGTTTCGAGGCGCCATTTGGTGGACATAAAGAGAGTGGAATTGGATATGAGGGAGGCTTGGGTGGTTTGAAGGGCTTTTGCAATGCACAGACAATCAATATTAACAAGAACCTCTGAAGATGTAACGATATCCAGAATAATCAAGCTAATTTCGGTGCTCATACTCAATCTTCTAGAAGTTATTGATGGCGAGAAAGTTGATGATATTTGTAGGGTCGCTGAAGGGTAATCTGGTATTGGGGCGGGTCATCCTTTAGATGAGTTTCCCGTACCAATCAAGCGGATCCACTAACTAATCGTGAGCTTCTCCTTGATCAAGATATTAAATCGGCTGGATCATGCTAGAATGTGTCCCCGACGATAACAATGGACAATGGGGGGTTTAGAAGTTGCAGATCACCCGCCCATATGTCAGTAATTCACGTCAGAGATCATATCTCATCTGGAAGCTAAAAATGAGAATTCTCGTCCTTTCGATCAAACTCATATCTGTTATTCGTTTGGCTGGTTTTCATGCAGGCGTGTGTACTCCGTACATGCTAGCCTTATCGTGGTCAAAGATTGGTATCTCCAGCCGAGGTGCTCTAGTCGAAGAGAACCCTGATAGGGACACGTTGAAGTAAAAATACCTTTTACGAGTACGGGGTATAAACGCAAAATTGTCATCGGAATATCTATGTCATTCCTCCTCTCTGACATTCTTTTTCAACTCCCAGGCAGCTTTAGGCAGATGCAAACTCGAACTTCCAGGAATAGGAGCTGAACGGTATGCGTGCACCCGTTCTCAACACAGCCAGCTTGACACCTGTGTTCTTGCCATTGTGATTGGCTGCATATGTGCACGGATGAGCCGTCCGAGATTTGGAGCAATGCTTGATTTGACTCACTTCCTGCATCCGCTGGCCAGCCAGTAATTATTAACGGTTTGCTTTGCTAGTCGGAACGGCGATCTTTAGAGAAAGAAAACGGCATTGCAGACTTCCTTCCGGCTGACATGGAAAATTTCGCGAGCGAGGTGGTGGAGATGTGACAAATACGTACATGGAAAGCATGATTTACACCACTTTCTGACATGATCAAGGTGCATTAACTGTCGTGAGGAATGGTACATGAAGGTCTACGGAGTAGATTCGACGAGGACCATTCCTTGAGCCAATGGACTTGCATAAACAGGCCCAAAACCGTCCATGCTAGCAGAGTCAGCAAGCAATCTAAAGCATCAGGAATAGATAAATTGATGGCTAGTAAGGTTTGTATCGTTGATCTCTGTGGCGCTTTTCTTTGCGCTTTTGTCGGTTCCTCGACGATAGCACGGCCTGGGAAGCCTTGCTTGGCTTGGGATCGATCTTGGTCTCGATTTCTGTAGAGTTCGAGTCTTCCTGCATGGTAAGGTCGTCGCCTTCTCTCCATAGACGAACACAGCCGTCCTCACCGCAAGAAAAGACGGTTTTGGACTATAAAGTTCGGACATACAATTATTAGGCAAAATTTAAGTAAAACGTATGCTGCCTCGGATTCTAACTCACCTGATTGTCCAGTAGTACCGAACGAACAACCTCTTCGCCATGAGCCCCGGGAAGTCGCCATGCTTTCGCGCGATCGAATTGGAAGTTCGGCGAGGCTACAATCGGCACTAAGTCCAATGTTTGCTCCCTAGACGTAAATGAAATCAGCCGAGTCGGGCAAAGAGTAGCCAAGTAAAGGATATCGAGTCCGAGAACGCGTTGAGAGATGCTTACCGGGTGCTTCCAATAACGGCGTAGACCCCTTCATCGACCGAAACGTCTACAGCATAATCACAACTTAGCGTAGATCGAAGATCGCCAAAATGAATAGCAGCTGGCTCCACTATGTTTTCATCAGGATCATTGAATGGGTGGATAGAAAAGGCTTCATCATGGCTCAGTGCGTAAATTGCCTTCTCTCCAATGAAGCCAGCATGATGGATGGAGCCATGGTTGATCACTTGCAGTAGTGCATCATCTTCATCTGTGATTGTGGTATTGTAGAGATTAACAAGACCGTCTGTGCTTCCCGACAAGAGAACATTGCTCTGTATGGGATGGTAACGCAACTAATAAAACATTATCAACAAGGAAGAACTCAGCAGGAATTCTAATAAGGTCTGAGACACGGCTTCCTGCTTCACAGCAGGGCAAAAGTGATGCGGATGAGAGTCACATACCTCAGTGATATCGTCGTTGTGGCTTTCCACGTATTGCATGCGAGGGACGCCGGGGAATCTAACATCCCTAAGATTGGGTGGTTAATAGATCCGCTGCAGTGCTACCGCTTGAACGACGCCTGCTGTCTCTCTGCACTAATTGCCGCGTCGAGAAGAGGCAGGGTAAACGGTCAAGCCTGGAACGGACTTACCAGAAACAAAGCGAAGCTTGGGCGGATACTAATTCGGTGCCAGCAACGATGCTGTTTATCCCCGGGTTGCAAGCAAGTGAGATAAGAGCAGGGTTCCTATCTAGAACATGCAGGGCTCGATTAGTCTTGGAATTCAACAGGGACCGTCTCCCCAATCGCGGATGTGAACTGGATGATCCGACAGGCGGCCTTCCATTGCACAAGGATCAAATCCACGAGCTTTCAACGAAAACGAGGCAGGCAGCCTACCGATTCCAGTCAAGAACGCTGAGACCGCGCCCTGGCCTTTTGCTCTGCTATCCCAGAGCTTAACAGTTCCATCCCGCCCTGAAGTAGCAAGGAGGTGGCCGGCTGTGGAAACGCTTTGATCGGCAGGACACACACAAGTCACCCCTCCACTTTTCCCAGGGTGAGCGTCCGTGATCAGTCCATCAGGAAGAAGCTTCAAGGTCCTGCGATCGATACGCCGCAGTGAGTTATCTGATGAGATGGCAGCCAACGCATCGTTGCCACTCTGACACAAGGAGTAGATATAGCTTCCCACAGGCAATGATAGCGATTCCTGGCCCTGCTGACGCAGTAAATTGAATGGAGCCGAAACTGCCATAGTCAGAACCCAATCAGGCGTTATTTGGTCCTTGAATCGGGATAATCAGGCGAGACTGGCTCAATATCACAGCAACAACGCTGTTTCTCTCAAGCCCGAAGTGAAAATTATAGAAGGAACACTAGTAATCGGTTGGCTCGAAATACCAATACAGTACGTAATACCATACAGAAGGGTAGCCAATCAAACGGATCCCAGAAGCTCGGTTGCATATTACAATACAATAATATACACGAGTCTACACTCTGGCCGTACGCCTGTCCATACGGCTTGTAACAAGGACTTCCCGACGATGCCAGGACGTGAAGACCGCACCGCCCCTCAATCCAACATCGTCATCGTGCACCCATTGCTTCTGTGCCGCTCTGGAGACTCAATGAGAATATTCTGGGCTTCGACGATGAAACCGCCAACCCGCCAATCGCTTCTCGCCAATTCTACCCAGAAATGCCAAGCGGCTCCAGCGTCTCAGTGGCTGAAAGTGCTGATCATGATTGGTAACCGGTCCAATGGGTTTGAACCGCGATCGTCGAGTTCAAGCACGGTGAGCCTGTGAGGCATGAGAGCCTTGACGGCACAGCAGGCTCAGCAGCTCAGTCATGCTGCATGCACGCCCTGTCCGCTGCGCTTCAATTGACTGCTTCCGCCTCCGCTTTCCCAGCGCAAGCTTCACAGCAATGACCCGTTGTATATACAGCATCAAGTGCCATGGTTCCCTGAGTTTCAGGTAGGGCTGACACTCTGTGCAATGTCAATAAACTGGGGGTGTTGAAGGGGGCCAACTATTCTCTGTTGGAGGAGAAAGGCTGTTAACGCAAGGCTTGTGAACCAGGTCCCGAAAGCCCAGCCGTTCATTCATGCATGTCTTGAGGCACTTAACTAGTCAAAATAAATCAGAAAAATGCGCACTGCTCCGTGCCACCTTTGTGAGCACTGAAGTGACCAACGGCCAACGTTGGTGGCAAAGCTATGATTGGAAATTAGTAATTACACAAGGCAATGTGTTGTTCGCCAGAATCTGTTCCAAATCAGTCGAAGGATTATTGGGCATCCGCCTCATTCTGACAGTTGTCTATGAAGCGCCAAACGCTCAGCGTTCTATCCTTGCACCCAACCATTCACATGGCATTTTCACTTCCCCGCTGGATGGGGTTTGTCAGTCAAAATAGCAAGGGCTGAAAGGGGGAGTGCGGATGTTCCATGTAGTTTTGCTTTAAGCTTGCAGCGCCACATTTGAGCTTAAAGCATCAAAAGAAAGGCTGACAAGTATCTCGGAAGGACATCTCTGGTGCATGGACAGATGTGTACAGAGTAGATAGACTTCTAGTTACACAAGAGTCAGTGTGATATATTGCCTGTTTCTTCCAGGTCATAATAAACAGCATTATCTCTCGGCCCGAAGCCTAGAAATCACAACGGATCCAAATGTTACCCCGAGAACAATGGGCAAAGAGGCATGCAAGCACTGGATTCAATGGAAACATCGTGTCAATTCCACTTTTCGAGCGTATTAGTAAAGGCATTGTCGTTTCCCGTACACCCTAACTACAGGATGATGCTCATCCAACCCTTTCTGAGCCCAACAAATGTCGGGGATAGTAGGTAGCCCATGAAAATGAGTTTTTTCTGGAGCTGCTCTCAAAACTAGATAGTTATCTCAGGGTGAAACTTCCTTTTAGCGACCCTTTTCTGTGTCACCGACTTATTTCTCCAGCCTATCGAAGCGACACAGCCAACCAGGATGAACCTCTGGCTTGAGCCATGCAAGATGTGCAACGAATGCAAGGAGTGTTGCAGTCCGGCCCGCCCATCAGTAACGACTAATCAGCCATCCTCAATGGCGGGCGAAGGAACAGCCAGCAGAAGAGGCTAGAAAAAGGCGAGCACATGCGCGGAATGCTGGAATTGATTATTATTGAGATCCGGGCGGTACTTTTCTTTTGGGGGCGAAACGCACACACTCACCGCTAATTCTAACACTGTTTAGCCTGAAGATTAATGGATTCTCAGACCATTTACCCCTGGATCCTGGTTGAGCATGGATGTCGCACTTGCGCTCGCATGATGTAGGGATGAGCATGAACCCTCAGAACATCGCAGATGACCCCCCTAGTTTCGCCAATTCATCCGATCGACTCCGTACTGATGGCTGGGAACTTGCCGAGATACATGCAATTTCCTCGAATATGAATGGACAGAAATCTGGAACTGTTGGAGTCACTAACTGTGAGGTGCAGAATTCGTAAATAACCTTGGGCGGAAGAACTCCCTCGCATCGATCAGGGTCTCCCCCATGTCCAAATCACACCTGTGACTGACAACTCTCACCTTGACCTTGATTGGATCTTCGCGGTTCTTTCTTCTCCTCTCGTATAACGACGCCACGCCGCCTGAGAGGTCGGTTCTTCAGCTCGATTTTGAAGCCAGAATGTGGCTCTGCATGAAGTCATACCGAAAATGTGCATGAATGGAGAAATATCTGATATCTCTGCTCAATCCGGAGTTCATGGATGGCAGACTTGCTCGTTTTGGTGTCCCATTAGCATGCATGTGCCACATGCTTTTCATGATGTATTCGGATTACGGCTTCCTGAAAGTACTCCGCAACCAGTTAGCAAATTATTAGCTACATGGTTAGTGAGTGAGTTAGTTAGTTGAACGTCAGTGAAGCATCGAAACAGCTCATCCACGGTAACTACTAAAACAAGTCAGTTTTTATCCTTTTCGATGTCTCCGCCCGCAACCATTCCATTGGGATTGAACAGCGCGGGAGCTAGACAATTTTTGGCATTTCAAATGCCTAGGTTCCTCGTGTTTCAGCCGAAGAGAATTTTCCCTCTTGAATTTTAGTTGCCGCAGTGAGAGCGGGTGGAACCGAAATGTGTCGCCGTGCCGCTGACGGAATAACTCACTAATAACAAGGAGTTAGTGGTCCTCCGGAGCCTTGACTCCAGACTGATCGATCTGGGTAAAAACCCGGCCAAACATCTCTCGTCCATTTCAGCTAATTCCTGAAAGAGCATCCTCAAGCGCAGGGAGTTAAGAACCGAGTAGCTAGGTAGTTAGACCGAGAATCAATGTCCCTCTCATGGATAAGCTCATGCCGGTAGCAATTATTATCCGGAGCCCTTCAAAGTCGCAACGGAGGTCACTATTGGTATAAACTATGCATGTCTGTATACTGTACAAAATAGTTAGTTAACTGGAAATTTCAGGCTTTTATTTTTGACTTTTCAGCCCGACTTCCGCTCCTCTTCGCAGTAAGAAATGCAGAGTCAACCACAGAGCTTAAGTTCAGGTCGTCAAACTCACTCCAGTGAATTTAGTTGGACTAACGCTGGTTAGCACCAAGTCTCCTTTTTCGCAAAATTCTCATCCCCCTCCATACTGATCCACAGTAAAAGGCTGTAGCATCCCGAGGTTACTCTCATATTCAAATCAGGGAGGTGGATTCTCCTTCTGATAGCTTTTTAACCTCAAATTTTGCTCGAAAAGGAGGGAAATAATATGCCGGGCCCAACTGGGAACATTGCCTATCCGCTTCGTGTTGGTAGCTTGGGGATACTCTCTTTGAGCGTGGAGATCCCTGGCCGGCATATAATAGGGCTTAACGCGCCGTAGCGTACCAGACATTGTAATGGAGAGTCACCTGGCTTTTTTTGGACTCTGAAAACCGAGTATTGTTCATCCCCTTAGCTTGCTAGTTGTCGATTATTCTCTGGAAATTGAATGAAACCGCCAGCATGACTTAGTTCTTGTGCTTGATGCGTTGTAAATCTCTTGCTGTTGGCCCCTAGAAAAGCAGACTCAGCCCACTGGGTAGAATCGCTGGCCTTCAATTTATCATCAGGCACTACCGCTTTTTCGCCTTAAATCTCCTTTGCCCCTTGTTCGTATCTTGATATATCCCTGCGCATCCGTCAGGTCCCTTGCAACTCGGCGCATCGTCATCAACAAGCCATAAACTTGCCCTAGTCTGTATCCTATACCCACATACATGCACATCAGTTAAAAGTCATTCTTTATATACCCGGAACGCGTCGATGGAATAAGGACCAACTTCCTACAAAAAGAAGAAGAAGGTGTGCAATTCTTCCACCGCCTAGCACGCGCGGGTTTGCCTAGAACGCATTGATGTCTCTTTGCCATCTTTTAACTCTGCATCTTTTCCTCGGGCTCCACCAAGTCGCATCTGCATCCGCATCTGCACACCCTCCCGCTATTTATACACCGTTTACCTAAACGGTCGAGATTAACATCTGGCAAGCATTCTTCCGGTGTTCCCCTGTCCGTCCTGCTTTTCTCCCGAGGGAAGTGAAGACAGTGAAACCACATCGGCAGGCAAGGCTCTTGCAAGCAAGGAAGCAGAACGTAATTGTTTGTGTTTCTTGTTGGTACCCGACCTTGCAGATGTCGTATTATTGTATTGTCAGCTGACTTTGCTTGCATATCTTCTCTGGCCTTTTTTCGTTACCCTATTCAAATTTTCCCCCCGGCCTATTGCCCGTGACGCTCCTTTTGAATTGCAGGGTCCCTTGGAGACTCTTTTGTCTCTCTCCCCAGTGCCGGTTGTTCTCCACCGACTCGGCTCAGCTGGCACAATAAAAAGGTGTCAAGAGCATGGACATATCTTTCTTGGCGGGTGTTCCTCGCCAAAACCAACCTGAGGAAAGACGTGCCTCTGACAATGGTATTAACATCCCACCGGCACCGCGGGGGACTCAATTGTGAGCCAGCCCTCTCTCCTTAGCATCGTTGTTCATTTCCGGTCATCAGCCACAGTGGTGGCCCTAGACGAAAGAGCCCCGCCCGTTAGGAGTGTCGTAAAGGTTGTAAGTAGCGGTCCTAACCCTCAATCATTGATTTAGGTCGCGTGAACTCGAAGCCTATCCGACTTACCTGGAGAATGGACGCTGGTATCATGGCTATCGGCGCGGACAGTATATGTTTCCCTGCGATGAGCCGGAACAAGACCGCTTGGATCTATTCCACAAAATGCTCCGTGTGGCTAGGCACGAGAAGCTTCATCTTGCCCCGATAAACATTCCCAACCCAGTGACTATGGGGGATGCGGGTCCTCGGGTGCTTGACCTCGGTTGCGGGACGGGAATCGTATGTGGCTTCAATTTCCATGGCTTGTCCTGCCAGATGCTGACAGCCACCCTTCGTTTTAGTGGGCCATGGATATGGCAAGAGCGTATCCGAAAGCAGAAGTCTTTGGAATTGATTTGGCGCCTATCCAGCCGGTCAACCCGCCATCCAATTGTGCCTTTTACTCCCCACGAGATTACGAAAGCCCGTGGCTCTTAGGAGAAGGGTCTTGGGACTTCATTCACCTGCAGATGGGTTGCGGCAGCGTCACGGACTGGAAGAATGTCTATAACAAGGTCATCAACCACTTGCGGCCGGGCACGGGGTATTTTGAGCAAGTCGAGATCGATTTTGATATGCGAACCCATGGTTTCACCCTGGCGCCTAATAATCCCCTTGCCATCTGGTACCAGCTCCTGAGGGAAGCCACAGAGGCTGGAAGGAGGCCCATTGCCTTTGATCTCAGAACAAGTCAATATTTGGAACACGCTGGGTTCGTGGATATCACCCATAATACGATAACATTACCGCTCAGTATGTGGGGAACTGATCCTGATTCGATGGAAGTCGGGAAATGGTATAGCCTTGCTTTTTCGGAAAGCGCCCTGACGCTCCTTTGGGCGCCACTCATTCGAATGAAAAACATGTCAATTGACGACATTAGGAATTTGGCTCAACAAGCAAAAGTGGAAGCATATAAGAAGGATATCAGGGCGTACAATGTCCTGCACATCTATACAGCAAGGAGACCAACGTAACTTTTGTCCAGATGTGCCTTGACGGAAAACGCATGCTAACCCTTCATTTTTGACAGGAGAGAAGAGATGCAGGCCCAAAATAGCCAGTGACCTTTCGCTTAGGACTCGTGGAAAAGAGCTCTGCCATGACTGCCTCTTCTCCAAATGATACAATTCAACGAAACGGTTTATTCACCTTATCCAATTTCGCCAAAAAAGCTGCCCCAGCAATAAACACCTCGGATAACCAGTTGGTTGATTCTCGGACAGTCTTCTCCAAGCAATGACCTCAAAGAGCCGTCGTCTAAGGTCTGTTCATTGTTTGGGAAGCAAGTAACCAAGTTATGACTGGTTGTATGAACTGCAAACCCTAGCTCTGATTTGGCCTTACCGATCGTATATCGACACGCTTGCCTCATGGCACATAGCAGCATAATAAATCAGGAAGTATGGATGGAATGTTATGACAGGCTTTGGAGAAGGTGGTATAATCACCTCAATGGATCTCTTGCGTAGCTGAGATGGTCCATACTCCCCTAATTCCCCCTCTACCTTGCTTACCCCCCCTTTTATCTCCCAATATTTTTGACTTTCCATCTTCTGTCATACCTTCCTAAAGTTTGTTGAATATGCACTTATGCCTCATTTTTGCATGGAACTTGTTCTCAATGGGAAAAGTCAAAAGAGTAAAAAAAGTTGGGATCGATTGCTTTGTCTGTTTCAATATTCACCTTACACCTGGGCAACTGATTTTTCTACTTTGCAATCACCATGATGCAATTTACCTTTTCTCCTCTTCAACTACTAATATCTTCTCAGTTTCTTTGCTATACCTCATATTGCCATGATTCGCATTATACCCCTTAGCAAAATCGCTGCGGTCCAAAATCTTTGGCAAAGCTCTTGTTTAATCTTATTGTTGCATTTCTACCTATTTTACCTATATGGACACAGGGTTTGAGTGTCCCTTTCTGGCCCAAATTTGTTTGTGAGTCTAACTTTTGGATAAAAGCGCTCGATTGGGATGTTTGGGTAGACCGAGCATTAATAGATAAAGATTAGCCGTCATGTATTCCTGCTGAAGATACAACTCTAGTGAGCCACGCATGCTCGTCCTGATAACAAAAGGGCGAGGGGAGCAATAATTGGAGGTCAATTTTAACTTGGAATGACGCCACCGCCATTTCTCTGTCGTTGGGCCCATTGCCGGGAACAGGGAGCCTATGAACCGCTTCGACCCGTTCCGACAGTCCGGCTCCTGCTGAGCGCCAATTTCCTGATAAAGGAATGGATGAACTCAAAACACACCGCGAACCACAGCTTCGGGACTGTCTATCACGAGCCTGACCAAGAACAGTACACGTGTATCGCGCTGGTAGGGTTACACAGGGATACGGCGGGAGGTTCGGAGCCCGATAAACGGCATGGATATCGAGAGGCACCGTCTGGGGGCGGGCACCCGCGTTTCTTTTTGTTCGATTCATTCTTAATTATTGATATCTTCCCTCTTGACCCTGAACTCGAATTTCGGATATGGATCGGGCAAGCCCTATCGGAATATGTGACAATCCCGTTTTGCCCAGAAATGGATAATTTCGGCTTGGCTTCAGGTAAAGGGGTAGGGATTTGCTAACCTCCTTCCTGTGTTTTTGGAGGCTAATATGATCATCCACCGCGTGGCCAGGCTGAGGACTCATCTTCTTGCACTTGTGTATCGTTTTGACTGATTACTTTCACCTCCGGCGCCCTCTACCGGGTCCTCTCGAAACGCCGTTTGAAAGGACACCCCCCCGGCGGCTGTCGGTGTCGTCAAAATTCTCGCTTGTGTTCCCACTATTCATCCACTCCCTTCCAGCGGCAGGGCTTTTTCTCCTCATGGTTCCTGGCCCAACAGCCACGACATCATTTTCGCTTTCGCTATCTGAAATGTCCAGCAAGACGGGCATCCGAAACGGCTCCACCCCATCTTCGTCCACTTCTCCCTTGACAGGCTCAATCGTTAACACGTCCGGTTCTTCATCTTCTAGATCCAGTCGACGCTGGTGGACCTCTTCAGCGGGATGAATATCATACTCATCCTCACGTTCGACATATATCACGTTTTCTTCCACCTCCTGGAAATCGGGGGCCAAGGCAGACCATTTCTGGGGTGTCACGATCGACCACGTGTATATGCAACCAGATTCTAGTCCGCACGCTGCAACCATCGGTTTACTTGGGTGCCATTCTACAACGCCAAGCTCCTCCTTCGGGCCTTCGAGAATTTTGACAAGGGATCCGTGGCTACGTTCCCAGACATAGATGTCATGGTTCATAAACGTTGAAGCGGTGACGAATTCTCCAGTAGCAGAGAAGGCTACGTGATTCCAACTTAGTCTGTTCACCACATCTTGAAATTTGTGCTCGATTTCGAGTTTTATTGCCGAAGGGTCTATGTTGACACCTAGCTGAGATAAGTCCGGCATAAGGATGGTTCGGATTACCCTATCTGAGCTGTTTACGAGAAGATCGCGCCCGTTGCTAGAAAGGCGGAGAAGAATCACGACTCCGTTGCACAGCCGGGTTGAGTGGATTGTTCTGCATGTTTGAGTTTCGATAATGTTGATCCAGCCTTTTGACGTTCCGGCGAGTATGTGATTTCCCAGTGCGGTAAATACTGTAACACATGTTGATTGTTTCGCGTCTTGGGCAGCTTGCTTTGCAGCTGTTGTAGGATCAACATTCTCGGCGTTTGGTCGCAAAGGTGCCGACGGGAGGATCCGTTTCACCGGTTTTAGTGAAGTGATGTCGACCAACACGGGTTGATCTTCAAATAAAGATGCGACAAAAAGCCAGCTAAATAGAAAGTTAGCACGTATTATTGCGGTATCTCAGTTGCACGGTCATCGAAGACATACTGGTTAAAAGGATGGATTTCCGCAATGTAGACCGGAGCTTCAAATCTGACCGTTCTAACCCGCGAACCATCCCTCATGTCCCAGAGCACGCATTTCCAATCTTGGGAAGAACTCAGTAGATATCGTCCACATCGTGACCAACTAGAAAAACACTCTCAGACTTCATGTTGCGGTTCCTTGTAAATCACATGTAGGTACCTTAACGACTGGATTTGTTTGCTATGTCCTCGTAGCTTTCTAGCGACACCGTTGGTTTCCACATCAAAAATCACTATCGTACCGTCCACCTAAAAACCGGTCAATTGAAAGCGGAGTATGGAGCGGGGAGCGACGGGCAACTCTTACTCGTCCGGACGCAAGGAAATCGCCTTTCCTATTGAAGCGGAGACACGTAGCATGCCCGCTGCCTAGTATTATCAGGTTAGCCTCTCACACCGACAAATTTAATAGTTGACCAGAGCGAAAGCATACGGAGTGTCCCCGTCAAAGAATCCGGGTAGTCTTGAGCAAGGGCAAAAGGGTCAATCAGTGCAAGATTCATGGCGGTTGCCGGCAGCGTACTACAGCACTAATGTCCCTATCAAACCATATAGCAATTGAAAACAAGCAAAGAGAACGGAAGACTGCCCTTATTTGGCAAAGTCCATGTTCGCTCTTGTTGATGAATAATAATGCGGTCAGACAAAGCTCATAAAAAATCCGTGGGGGAAAGTTCCGCGTGCCGCGCTAATCCTTTCATAGACGCCGAAATCACTGTGGCGGCCAATCAGCGAACGCGTTGCTCGAACTCCTGTGGCTTGTGTGGCGCATGAGCAGGGAGCCAGGCGCGCTTAGTCATAGATTACCTAATTACAGGCTCCAGACAGCGAAAAACTCGAGCTAAAGCCCATGGCAGGTCGCAAGTGAGGCAAGACTCCGACAAACCTCCTTTCATCAACCTCGTCAGTCCTCCCAACAGTCACAACCGCGCAGAGATATCGCGTTTCGTATCGTGATATCTCTCTTGGCATCCGCATATTCGAATACATCGGCGATTTCGCTCGTCCGCAGTCAGGTGTCGCGTCCGGAGACGGCTGGGAACTTCGAACAGGTTTTCAGGCCGCCCTTGTGGCAGGGTCTGCCAAAGGGCCGACAGCAGGCCAAATTCCACGGTTATCGGCTTCATCGCTGTGAAGCGCCTGTCTTTAACGTCTTCTTCACGATTTGCCGGCCAAACAAAACTGAGCCACCCCGGCGCCAGTTTGACTACATCAAGACCTCTGTGTTCGGCAAGTTTCTGTCCGCCAACTTCTCAACAACGGAAGAGTCTTCATCATCAGCATCATGGCGTCCGTAAAGTTTCCGTTTTCCAAAGCGCCTTTGCGCACTATCAAGGAAATCCAGTTCGGCCTTCTCTCCCCAGAAGAGATCAAGAGAATGAGTGTTGTTCATGTGGAATATCCTGAAACTATGGTTAGTCTACATTGTTGAATAAACACCATTTTATGAGATAGTACTAATATAGTATGCATTACAGGATGATGCAAGGCAGCGACCCAGAGAAAAAGGATTAAATGACCCGCGACTTGGTACCATTGATCGAAATTGGCGTTGTGCGACCTGTGAAGAGGGTATCAATGATTGCCCAGGTCATTTCGGTCATATTGAACTATCTACACCAGTTTTCCACATTGGTACGTGTTTGTTATTCTGACACTTCTGGCTTCTAACCTGCTAATACTGTGCGACAGGTTTCTTGACTAAGATCAAGAAGCTCTTGGAGACTGTTTGCCACAATTGTGGAAAGATCAAGGCCAACACGGTTAGTCATCCCTTCTGGGATGGCAAAATCTGAACTGGCGATTGTTGCTGACATGTTTCTACTCATCCAGAATGACCAGAAATACCTAGATGGTCTCCGCTTTCGCGACCCTAAACGGCGCTTCGACGCGATTTGGCGATTATCAAAGGATGTTCTTATATGTGAAGCTGATCCTCCTGAAGAAGATGAACCGTTTGGCAAGGAAAGCGCCAAGATGCCCAAAGGCCATGGCGGATGCGGAAATGCACAGCCTCAAATCCGAAAAGAAGGCATTAGTCTTGTCGGCACGTGGAAGCCCAATAAGATGAGGGATATAATGGATGATACCGACATTCAACAACCGGAGAAGAAACAAATCACGCCTCAGATGGCTCTGAATATATTCAGGAACATTTCGGAAGAGGATGTACGGATTTTGGGTTTGAGCAATGATTATGCTAGACCAGAGTGGATGATTATTACCGTACTTCCAGTCCCTCCTCCACCGGTTCGCCCCAGTGTTCTTGTGGGTGGAAGTTCTGGCGGGCAGCGAGGCGAAGACCATTTGACCTATAAACTGGCTGAAATCGTCCGTGCCAACCAACATGTTACCCGCTGCTGACAGGAAGGATCACCTGAACACGTCGTCCGGGAGTTCGAGTCCACTATTACAATACCACGTTGCAACGTACATGGATAATGATATTGCTGGGCAACCCCAGGCCTATGCAGAAATCAAACCGCCCGGTCAAAGCTATTCGTGGGCGTCTAAAGGGGAAAGAAGGCCGGTTGAGACAAAACTTGATGGGCAAACGTGTTGACTTCTCAGCCCGTACCGTTATCACTGGTGACCCCAACCTATCTTTAGATGAGGTTGGAGTTCCGGTCAGCATTGCACAGACTTTGACATACCCGGAGGTTGTCACTCCTTACAATATCAATAAGTTAGGTCAGCTTGTCGACAATGGCCCCGACATTCACCCTGGAGCGCGTTATGTGATCCGTAGCTCTGGAGAACGCATTGATCTCCGACATCACAAAGGTGGTGGCGGCCGGAATTTCTTGCAATGGGGTTGGAAGGTTGAGCGTCATCTCATGGACGGAGATGTCATCTTGTTCAATCGTCAACCCTCCTTGCATAAAGAATCCATGATGGCTCACCGTGTTCGAGTTATGCCATACTCCACATTCCGTTTGAATTTGTCTGTTACAACTCCCTACAACGCTGATTTTGATGGTGATGAAATGAACTTGCACGTTCCACAAAGTGAAGAAGCCCGTGCAGAGCTTAGCCAGCTCTGTTTGGTTCCCTTGAATATCGTCTCGCCGCAAAGAAATGGGCCGTTAATGGGTATTGTTCAGGATACACTTTGTGGTATCTACAAAATTTGCCGCCGTGATGTCTTTTTGACAAAAGAGCAAGTGATGAACATTATGCTCTGGGTTCCGGAATGGGATGGGGTGCTCCCACAACCCGCAATCTTGAAACCCCGCCCGAGATGGACTGGCAAACAGATAATCAGTATGGTTCTGCCGTCTGGCCTTAATCTTCTGCGCGTGGATCGTGATCGAGTGCCCTTATCTGAGAAATTCTCGCCCTTAACCGATTCAGGCCTTTTAGTGCATGGTGGCGAGCTAATGTACGGAATGTTTTCTAAAAAGACTGTTGGTGCAACCGGTGGTGGTATTGTGCACACCATTTACAACGAGTATGGCCCAGACGTTTGTATGAACTTTTTCAATGGCGCCCAAACTGTGGTCAACTACTGGTTACTGCATAACGGATTCAGCATCGGTATTGGTGATACAATCCCGGATCTTGCTACTATTCAAAAGATCGAGGAAGCCGTTCGCATTCGGAAAGAAGAAGTCGACTCGATTACTGCCAGCGCAACAGAGAATACACTTGAACCACTTCCTGGTATGAGTGTTCGAGAAACGTTTGAAAGCAAAGTCTCTCGGGCACTCAACAATGCTCGTGATGAAGCAGGTACTGAGACTGAAAAGAGCCTGAAAGATTTGAACAATGCAGTACAGATGGCGCGCTCTGGATCCAAAGGATCAACAATCAATATTTCCCAGATGACAGCCGTTGTTGGGCAGCAGTCCGTTGAGGGAAAGCGTATTCCATTTGGGTTCAAGTATCGCACATTACCCCATTTCACGAAGGACGATTACTCCCCAGAATCCCGTGGGTTCGTAGAGAATTCTTACCTACGTGGATTGACACCAACTGAATTCTTCTTCCACGCTATGGCTGGTCGAGAGGGTCTCATTGATACCGCCGTGAAAACTGCTGAAACTGGTTATATCCAGCGAAAACTCGTGAAAGCTTTGGAAGAGGTGATGGTCAAGTATGATGGCACCGTTCGCAATTCGCTTGGTGATGTTATACAGTTCCTGTATGGAGAAGATGGCCTGGATGGCGCATTCATCGAGAACCAACGCGTTGATGTTATTAAATGCTCTGATGAGCAATTCCGCAATAGGTTCCGTATCGATCTTATGGATCCTGAGAAGTCGCTTTCTCCCGAAATTCTCGAACAAGCTACGGAGATAACTGGTGACATAGAAGTGCAACGTTACCTCGACGAAGAATGGGAGCAATTGCAAAAGGACAGAGTATTTTTACGTTCTGCTGCAAAAGAGGACGAAGAAATGATGCAATTGCCAATCAACGTCCAGCGGATCTTAGAATCTGCCAAAACCACCTTTAGAATTCGTGAGGGAACCATTAGCGATCTGCATCCTGCAGAAGTCATTCCTCAAGTACAAGCATTACTTGAGCGTTTGGTTGTTGTCCGTGGGGATGATATTATATCAAAGGAAGCGCAAGAGAACGCCACCTTACTTTTCAAGGCTCAACTCCGCTCCAGATTGGCATTTAAGCGCCTGGTTGTGGAATATTCATTGAACAAGCTTGCCTTCCAACATGTGCTCGGCGCTATCGAAAGTCGATTCGCGAAAGCGGCAGCCAATCCAGGTGAAATGGTCGGCGTATTGGCAGCGCAATCTATTGGAGAGCCTGCAACACAGATGACATTGAACACTTTCCATTTCGCTGGTGTATCTTCAAAGAACGTTACACTTGGTGTCCCTCGTTTAAAAGAAATTCTGAACGTTGCCACCAATATCAAAACGCCATCCATGACTGTTTACCAAGACCCTTCTCGTGCAATGGACAAAGAGTCCGCCAAACAGCTTCGCAGCATTGTCGAACATACAAGCTTAAGATCGGTGACAGAAGCAACTGAAATCTACTATGATCCTGATATTCAGTCAACTGTGATTGAGAATGACCTTGACATGGTTGAGTCTTACTTCATTATACCAGAAGATGTCATGGACGATTCATCCCGTCAGTCGAAATGGCTACTCCGTATCATTTTGAGCCGTCCGAAATTACTTGACAAAGGACTTACTGTTCAGGATGTTGCGATGAAGATTAAAGAATCTTATCCTTCGGACATTGCGGTTATCTTCAGTGACAACAACGCTGACGAACAGGTCATTCGAATTCGCCAAATTCAAGACCCCAAACAGGATGAGGATGATGACGATACTGAATATGATGTAACATTGAAAAAGCTGGAATCACATCTACTTGATACACTTACTCTTCGTGGTGTAGCAGGAGTTGAACGTGCCTTCATCAATGAAAAGTCCCGGGTCCGCCAGGTTGAAGACGGTTCACTTTACAAGAGCGCCGAGGATCCTCAGTGCAAGGAATGGGTGCTTGAAACTAGCGGATCCGCCCTCGGCGATGTCCTAGCACTTCCAGGAGTCGATTCTACCCGAACGTATTCCAATCAGTTCATTGAGATTCTCGAGGTTTTCGGGATCGAAGCGACACGAACTGCTCTCTTACGAGAACTCACCCAAGTGCTGGCGTTCGACGGTTCATATGTCAACCATCGTCATCTCGCTCTACTCTGTGATGTCATGACTTCGAGAGGATTCCTCATGGCTGTCACCAGACACGGTATCAATCGCGCGGATACTGGAGCTTTGATGAGATGCTCCTTCGAAGAGACTGTGGAAATTTTGCTTGATGCCGCAGCGTTTGCTGAGCTCGATGACTGCCGGGGCGTTTCCGAGAATCTTATCCTAGGCCAAATGGCACCTGCGGGTACTGGTGAATTCGATGTTTACCTTGACCAGACCATGCTTATGGGAGTTGTATCCAATAATGCAGGTCTGGTTACTATGGGTAATGTGGACAAGGGATTGATTTCTGATGGTGCGGCAACCCAATACGACAGTGGTTCTCCAATGCAAGAGAATATGTACATTAGCTCGCCCGATCCTGATTCACAGTTCTCTCCGATCGGACAAACCGGATCGGAAACTCCAGCGGGATTCACTGAATACCAACCACCAGGTTTTGGTGGCTTTAGCCCTGCTGGAGCAAGAAGCCCGGGAGGTGGTTATTCGCCAACCAGTCCTTTTAACACCAGTCCAACGTCTCCTGGATATTCTCCCTCCTCTGGTTACTCCCCAACTTCTCCTGGCATGGGTATAACCAGCCCGCGGTTCATGACTTCTCCGGGATTCTCTCCAGCAAGCCCTAGCTTCGCCCCTACATCACCAGCCTATTCTCCCACTTCCCCCGGCTATGGACAGGCTCAATCTCCCACTTCTCCTTCATATTCACCTACCTCTCCCGGATTCTCCCCAACCTCTCCAAGCTACAGTCCTACATCACCAAGCTTCAGCCCAGCTTCCCCTGCATTCAGTCCTACCTCACCGAGTTACAGTCCAACTAGCCCTGCGCTTGGTGGAGTTACTGGCAGGCACCTCTCACCAACTTCACCGACATCTCCGAAATACACTCCTACCTCACCTGGTTGGTCGCCTACCAGCCCAGACGCTTATTCACCAACGTCTCCAAACTTCGCTGGTTCTCCGACTTCTCCAGGGTGGTCCTTACTTCCCCCAGGTTACAGCCCAACGTCCCCTACTTACAATCCAAACGTAAGTTGAGAGCCGACTTCATTGGAAACTTGATTACTTATGACTTCACAGATCTCCGCGCCAGTAAAGTTAACGCTTGGCTTATCTGACGTTTTGTTCCCAATATACCCCTATCTATCGACGACCCCAAAGTACCTTTGTACCACCAGTTGCCTTTTTTATCCCGTACGGGCATTTAGGCCTATGTCGCATGTGTGACTGGATTTTTGCTGTTAATTGGTTACTCTTTCTATTATCTGGAGAGCCTGTGCTACTGGGCTTGTACTCTTTTCTCTATGGTCAACTACCAAAGAATGGCTCAGGTTTGTTTTTCTTCGCGTTTTCTAACGTTTGCTTACCCTCTTCCCCCTCATTGACTACGGAAACATAATGACTCGGAGATACTTGGCTGCGAAGTGAAGGGAAAAGGGATACCGGCAAAACCCAAAAATAAATGAGAAAAATATTTAATGCATCCACTATTTCTGTTTAGATTGTTGGCAGCCACACGGTGAAGTACTAGCAAGGCGTTGGAGCTGCTTTGAAAATTCCTTGGGCCTGTGCTGCTTTTTGATTCCAGCTGGCGGTCAATCAGACCTGCTTCCATTACATGTTTAATAGTTCGTTTTGTACCTAAAGTTAGCTAGTCCTTTAGGACGGAACTCTAGAATACGTATAAGAATGGATATGCAATTTGAGTGGATAATTAATCATGGCTTATGATGCTAAGCATCGAGGATGGGAGACAGTCCTGCCTCCGTCTGGACCCCCTGAGCCTCGTGTAGATACTACCTTAATATAAAATGTTTATACCAGTCACTCTAGACCATCCAATAGTCGTCCATCGCCTCATAGTTTTGCGGTCAGAAAGTCTGTGTTCTTATCACTTGGAAGGATCAACTTTGAAGCCTGCTAATATGAGCATCACAACCCGGTCTCCCTGGACTACATATATATATAACCGGCGAGTTTGCCGTCCATGTTCGGGGCAGGTTATAAATATCCTAATTCAATGGAACAATCAACTTCAAGAGTGAGTGATTCTCGCTTTCCGTCACTTTTTATGATACAAACACAACCTTGAAACTCACAGGTATGTACTTGACCATGAGTCTATAGACTAGGAACGCTGGAATAAACCGATAATCCCAAGGCGACAAGTCTTGCTGGTTGCAAGGCCGTTGAACCACCTGATAACTCGCTGAAATGCCAATCATCAAAAAATCACGAAGTTCGCCAGGCCCAATTGTCCCGAAGGACTTAACTCCATAGACATAACGCGCTTCATGCAACTGATATCCATATAACCATATAAGAATAAACTTAAAGTCTTCACAATCACCGCCGGGATAGAACCAGTCACTGACGCCTCTCATAAAGGCTCAAATTCTGGATTGGAATATTTCTGTTTTTAACGTCACCTTCATCCTCAGATTCGTATCCCAGCATCGACTCCGCCGGATCACCGGATGCGATAGACCCGCGAGAAATATAACTCTCGCCCATTTCATGCACATCGTCTTCGTCATCATATTGATCGCTGCCCCCGTCCTCGCTAGGCAGGTTGTCATCTTCTGGTTCGTTATCTTCGTCGCTGTCCGTAACCGAAAAATCTTCCAAGTCCCCAGGGCTATCTCTCCAGTATCGAAAATCGGTGAAATCTTCGCCACCCTCTTGTACTAGCAAGCTTACCGGCGGAAAAAAGTGATCGACCAATTCCCTCATGGAGACGTAACTACTCCTGTATTTGTTCAGGCTGAGAAGGTCTATATTGACCTCTGCATTGGAATTGATGGTAAATATTCTGGTAGAGGGAATGTTAACCGACCGATAACTCAAGGCGTCTGTGAGGCGGTTGCCAAATCCGGCATAGAAAGGGTTCTTTCGACCCTTAAACAGGTTTAAAATGTCGCGAAGACAGGCCATTTTGAAAACTTCTGGCTTTCGCAAATAGATCTCACGGCGTAGGGCAGCAATTGTACGGTCAGGGCTCATGATAACTGGCCCTTTGGGAACCTTATAACCTTCTTGCACGATCCCACTGAGATACGCTCGTGTAGTGTCGGCCTGACCAGTTGAACGGCTTGTCAAATACATGATGTTATACCCATTATTTACGATATCCGTATAAAGTTTTGCGACCCCAATATGGGTCCAATCGCGGCCGATCATGTTCAGGACGTGTCCTAAGGCATCTGACCTACAGAGTGGTTAAACTACTGCGGGAACATTTCCAGGGTTGAAACTTACTTTGTAATGGTCCCGTCTATATCGGAGATCACAATGGGTGTCTTATAGTTCCATAAATACATTGTAGCCGGACACGTCGCGCGATTTACCGTAAAACTCATAGGGTTGGCGCCAGGTTTGAGATCCAGAGCTTTGAGCTGATCGCTTGTTAATCGGAGAGTTTTGGCATAGTTTCTCGTCTGATCATCAGTTACAGAATCACCTGTGGGCGTTTGTGGTGGGGTGGGATAAGCACCCTGTATATCGGATTGAGAACGATGATGCCGTTGGTTATGCATGCCCATCGTTTGCTCATTATCACTGTGATAGCCGGGCTCCGATATGGTCTCACCAGTCAATGGGTGAGTGTTTGGAAGATCGTTGAATGTCGCCCGACGAGTAGCAGCCTCCTTAGCTTCTTCGCTACTATATATCCAGAGATTGCCATGCTCGTCAGCGCCTATTAGTGCACCAATATCATAGTGTCCCTCCAATTCCTCTGCCAAAAGCTTTCGAGCAATTAGCTCTGCCCGTAAGGCGTCCTCATCGCTACTCTTATAACCTGTCATATCAAGCATTAAGTCCCCGGTTTCAGTCACTTTTGACGGGATATTCGAAACCTCAAGTTTCTTTGAGAGCGATACTGCACGGGAATATGCTTCTTGAGCTGAGACAGGTGGGGGGCTTTGGGACCGTTGCGAACTCGGCGAATTCTTCTCGGGATTAAAAGCTGAAGTAGGCGGTGAAAGGCGAGCGGCATCAAGGTCAGCAGTAGTTCCAGCCCTCAAGCGCGTTTGATGTGGCAGAGATAATATATCGGAAGCCGGGGTGGAGGACCGGTCCAGCCACCGCTGGTTGTCGTCAAGCGATTGTGAGGTCGTAGCTAGGATATCTGTGCTAAACGTCAATATGAGTGCAGAAGAGGAGTAATACTCGACGCAAGAGTAATACCGGAGTTTATTTTCTCCCTTAATATTGGCACAGTAGGCTCAGTGGCACTTTTCGAGGGACTGTTCGGCCTACTCGAAGAAAGGTCCAAGAACTCGGGCTCCTGGAGAGAGGCGACGGGAATATCGGACTCGTTGGCAAAGTGTCTAGGGCTAGCGGCTGGTGATACAACAGGCGACGTTTGCAAAGATTCAGGAACCTTGCTTGCGGTTTCGAATACAAAGAAAGCTTCACCCCCTTCCCCGAGCTTCATAGCGTAGTTCTGCTTGACACCGTTTACGCAAAATTCCACCTGTCAAGCCGGTAAGCTTTCATGAACTCCGAATATATGTCCATCGATCATACCTTCTTTTCGTAGGGCCGGAGGAGGGAAAATTTGCCGAAGCGAACATGGAAGGGAGAGCACGCCAGCGTGCCTATATGGTGGGATTAGACTCAAATCAATTTTGTTGGTTATTCAAGGGCCTCACCATCTTCTTGTTCAATAACAATCACATCAATAGCTCCGCTAAGAGTGGCCGGGTTGATTGAATTCCATGTCTTCGAGACAGAGCCACTGATGCTTCTGACGTACTGCATTACTTTGAAACACGGCGCTTGGAGTGCGAAAAGAGAATCAGAACGACGTGAGTTTATAGAGGAGGCAGCAAAGCATGTATTATAAGCACAGTATGTCGAAGCTCGGGCACAGGCTGGTTATAGTAGACCGGGATGCCTCAGAGTCAAGGAACAAGAGCAAGTTCAGGCCGAGAATCGCATGTGACGCATTACTTCACGATCGGGTGGAGACGTTCTAACACGGCGCTGCTAACAGTCCGACTAGGATGATAGATATATCCACAAATGCAAACCAGAAAGGCGCCAGAGAAGCTTTAACGACAGGAATTCACGGCGGTTTGTTGGGAGCAATGCGAGGATGTCGTCGATTCAACAAAACGGCGGGTTGATCGAGGCTGATTTGAGGATTTGCCGCCTACCGAGCGTCTGACTAAGCAGCAGCCGCGGCAGCGTGTCTTTTGGGTAATTTTCTCCGGCGCTAATAGAGTTTAGGATTTAAAATAATCCGAAAACCAAATAATCAGTAGCTTACATAATGCTGAGCCGCGAACGTCCAGGCTCTGATTTTCGAACAGCCAAAACCTCATCCGGCCCGGCATTGCCTTGCAGTTGCGGGTGTGGATTCCGGGGATGTATGAGCCACTGCGTTTGGTGTCGGACACCTACCCGGGCGTGGTCCCTGGGGTAAAGGCCCAGGGCGTCATGACATTGTTGATAGCTGTGTCTATCCTGTGGGCACTGGTATGGTGAGCATGCGACAAACCCATTGCTGCGTAATCAATATGAAGAGCTTCTTTCCTAACGTGATGCTAGGCTGTCATATCGTGCTTACCAGGTCTGCGTGACTCCAAATGACGTCTTGGTCGACAAGTTGGGACTGGATATCCCTCCCACTCCAGAGGTGACACTGGAAGACATTGGGAGTCGAGAAATCCGTATTGCATGGAAGTATCCTGACTCGCATAATTCAATACATAAGCATGTGATTCAGGTGAATGGGATTAGAAGTTTGTATTCTCTGCCTGACTATTCTTGGCCGCTTCGGCTGACGGGTCTTCTGTTTAGTTGGCGAATCCAAACGCTCCGAAACCGCTGTCTCCATTTTAAATCTGCTTCCGGGGCATATCTATCACCTATGCGTTATTGCGATCAGTGCCGCTAATTTTCAAACTTCGAGTGCTATGTTGCATGTCCGAACAAGCCTCGATCCTTCCCAGAACGAACCCAGTGATGCCTGTGGTGGGCCATACATTCAGGCTTATGCGCCACGACCATCATCACTCATAGCGCCGTCGGCCCCGATAATGTCACGGGAGCATAGTTCTGGACCGGTTCAAAGCAAACGTACTACCAGTGGAAGAAAAGCTCCAGTCTCGACTTCTGCGCCTGAGTATACGGCAATAGGGGATGACAGTATCGTTGAGGATTCGGAAGATACCGTTGAGCAGCTTGCTGAACGACTCAAAAACTTGCAACAAGAGAACGACGCCTTAGCTAAACAAATTTCTCAGGATAAAAAAGAGTACGAATCGCTACTTCGGGAACTTGAGGAGCAGCGGAATGAGCTACGGCAACGGGTCAAAGAGAAGGACGAGGCTAGTAGTGATCTTCGGAAACATGTGAACAAACTGGAGAGCGTCAATCGCAGTGTCCAAAGTGAACGGAGTAAACGGGAAAAACTCCTTCAGCAAAAGGAAGCTGAGCGGAAAAAGCGCTCCGACGACATGAGACGATGGAGTGAAGGGATTATCGAAACGAAAAAACTGGTAGAAAGATTGCAGAAGGAAAAGGCGCAAACAGAAGACGAGTCGGAAAAGCGAATTGCGGACTATCGTGCCAAAATTTCCGATGAGCACCTTGGGATGAAGACTCTTGAGGAAGATATCAAAATGAAGGGAAGTCGCATTAAGTTGTTGGAGGAAGAAAGGCGGCGTCTTGAAGGTGGAGATAATGAGGAAACAAAGGAGTTAGATCGGCTGGAGCGGGAGCGGGATCGACGCTGGGAGGTCAAAATGGCCAACTTACGGGCTCAGTACACCTCTTTGATAAACGTGCACACTCAGGTTTGTTATGTTTACCTTGAGGCTTTGAACGTCCGACTAACCTAGTTTCAGGCTCAGCAACAGTATTACGAGGCCCAAGAACGCTTAAAGTGGATTTCTGCGCAACGCTCTAACCCAACCTTGCCCTATGTCCCCGTCCCAAACATGGATCTCGATATTGCACGAAGAGCCAATTCATACCGACGAAGCCGCCACCGGAGCTCTCTTACAAGCAATGTGTCGTCTCCTCTCGGCTACACTCTCGCTGATACTACTTGTCAAAATCCAAGTAGCTACAGGCAGCTCAGCACCGCGTCCCCAACGGTCCCCCCAACCTCCGCGTTTTTCAATATCAACAACGGAATGACCATTCCTGACCCTGCTGATCAGATGGGGTCGGTTCGCACGGAGCCAAGTAAACCTCCCATGAGTCCTAGAGCGGATGCCTTGCTTCCTTCGGACCTCCTTGGGGACGAAGATCAACCGCCTTCCTCTCCTCAAGAATCTACAGAGTTCCCAACCCTACCTGTTTCAACTGCTTCTTTCCAGAATCTATTTCCTACATCCCGTCGCCAGTCTCGTCTGCCAGTCACCCCCCCAGCTTATTCACGAGTCCCCGCGAAAGTTTAATTAATCTCCCGGAAAGCGAGCGTAAATCCATGCAAAAGGCAACGTCTCAAGCACCATCGGATGCTGCCCAAAGTGCTTCGCGGAAGTTATCTGGGCTATTCGGATTCAGTCGACAGCGAGGAAAGACAATGGCGGATGGACCTCTTCTTGGCTCCCTGAAGTCAGGACAAAGCCAATCATTCCCACGCAATATGGATCAGGACCTTGACCCAATAGGGACCCGTCGTCGGCGTTTGAGCTACACAGGCGGGTGGGCAAATCCAATGTCGACACTGTTTCCTCGCAGTTCAACAGGGAATGTCACCGCAGACAGTTCCTCCGACCGTTTACCTGCGTCACGCAAAGCTATGCTTCCAAGTTTCTTTACAACGGGCAAGTTCTCGTCCTCGGCTTCCGGAACCTTGGGTAAATCGGAGTCCAACGTCGGATACAATCAATTCAGCCCAAGCCACGATCCAATTGACCCATCTCTACTTGGGACCGTCCGTCGTGACTCGTTATCTCCTAGACCGGCTTCCACTTATTCCTTTGATAAATTCCTTCCACGGCCTACTTCTGATGTACAGCCGTTTGGTTGGCCGTCCTCCGACATGCATAGGAGCAGCCCTCTTAATGTAGATTGGTCCACTCCTGGAGGGGCATGGTCGCGTAGTCAGTCCCGCCGTCCATCCTTTCAACTCGGATCCTCGAACCATCTTCCACTGGGTTTACCCTCGGATATCGATTTTCTTGAGACCCAATATGAACCACAACGGCCAGTCCAAGCTCCAATTGGGACTCGACCTCCATCGTCACATCGCCCAATGACTCCTAAATTGAACCCTGCTGCACCGTCATTCAAGACTCTGTTCAATAAGAAGTCTGAGAAATCGAAGAGTAAAGATTCAGACGCTTCAAAGGGTCGTGAAGAGCTGCAGCTGGATACTTCACCGGGCGAGTCCCGACGATCAAAGGACGCAAGATCCATCCGCACCTCGGCTGCCGAATCTCGCGAATCCCTAGAACGTATCTCCTCCGGAACACCGTCCGAGGCCGTGAGCGCAAAGGAGTCGTTTATCCAAAAGATTACTCGCAAGGAGAGTTCGAGCAAATTCAACATGCCTTGAAAAGATCGAGCTGGTTTATTCTCTAGAAAGGGTGAATCTAGTGCTCAAGGGGACATAGACGATGATGGAACGAGCGAAATGCAACTAGGAAAGAGTGTTGATAGTGTCGTGTCAAGTGCACCATCGATTGAAAGGTCGAGTAAAGGCGGGTTTAACCTTAGCTTCAGGCGGAAACCGAAGAAATCTGAAAGGAGGAGCGAGAGTAGTGAGAGGGCGAGTGAAGCCAGCGAAGATGATGCTCCTGAAGATGTATGATTGAACATACGTTCTGTCCGGTATCCGTTGTAGCCACACATACTTGATGCTCAGTAGATAGCTCAACCCCATAACAATTATTGTTATGCTAAGATTTGCAATTGCATGCTGTAGTGACCGCTTTATACACCAAGGGATTGTGAGGTGGTCCAAAGAGACATGTCACTTCCGATGTTATAATAATCAGATTAATTTCTATCCCACTGAACTGAATTTGCGAGTGGCATATCCGCCTGATTGCTAACTACACCACACCACGTAGAAAACCGATTCCTAGAATTACTAAATGGCAAACTCAAAGTAATGATTCTATTAACCGCTTTGAATACCGTTTTCTGGCTAATCATCTAAGCAAAGGTACGAATATGTCAAGTCGTTTGAGCGGGATGACACGCTGCTCCCGAATACATGGATCGTCATCCGAATCGATGGACGAGGATTTCACAAGTCAGTCCCTCCAAGTGGCCAGACCTGAATCTAGCTGCTGGCTGCCTCGTGCGTCGTTATGCATTGATTGCCGCAAGATTTTGTCTGCTGGTCGCGCCGTGATGTCGCCTGCACTAGACGTGATTTCAGGACAGACATTTCTACTAGAAACTTTCTGTTGCGGTTTAGTTTGCTTAACCTATCAATAGGTTTTCCACGCGGTATCAATTTGAAAAGCCCAATGACGTTCGAGCCTTGAATTTGATGAACGCGGCGGCGAAAGAGGTCATGAGAGATCTTGCCGATTTGATCATCGCATACGGTGTCAGTGATGAATTCAGGTGTGTGCCAATGGGGCGAAGGATACAAGTCTCCTTGCTTATACATTATACACACAAAAGCTTCGTTTTCCACCGGACTTGTCAGCTATTCGAGAGGCGGGAGAGGTGAGTGTCTCCTAAACGTTTTGACAGCGGTGGCGGAGAGAAAGACCTGATTGCATTTTGCCCACCTGTGCTGGGCTGGCCCTCAATAGCAAATTAGTTTCTACCGTTGTTTCGACATTTACAGCGCATTATGTCCATAGATGGCCTGAGTTTTTCGCATCGACGCCATTAGAGCCAGGCTATTTACCTACCTTTGATGGCAGGGCGGTACAATATCCAAGTGTGCGCAATCTAAGAGACTATATGAGCTGGAGACAGGTCGATTGTAGGTTGCTGCTGCTGGCAGCGCGGTGGCCTCAAGTTTCGGTTGAAAGTGCAGGAGTATATATTAACAGTCTTTCAGGCCATATCAACAATCTATACAACACCACATTTTGGAACATGGTGCTCCGAGGATGCATGAGCAACACAGATGCAGAACAGGAGCTCAAGGTGGGCAGTTTTTTTACTGCTTGATATTAAAAGGGATTGAACTGAGCGTTCGACACAGGGAACTGTCTCATCAGATAAACATGAGATATTGTTTTCGAGGTTCGGTATAAATTATAACAACGAACCCGAGATGTTTAGGAAAGGGAGTGTGTTATATCGAGATGTGGGTTTTTTCCCCTTCAGGATATCGGTCTGAATGTGACCCAAAATTACTGAACGGGGAAATATCTATAGTTCGAGTTACAGGCCATAGAAGAAGCGCAGAGCCAATCACTAGGTGGCAGTGAAGATGATGACCAGCCGGAGCTTTCAAAGACCCAGCGGGAGAAGCAGAAAAAATTACAACGAAAAGCCGACATTGTAGTCGCCTACGTGGATATTATCAAGGATGAATTCTGGGAGCAGCGGCCATGGATATTGTCGAATAAAGCAGGAAAGCTGCGAGGAGGCTGATCGGCCACCACGAGAGTCTTGTTTAAAAAAGAGCAGATTGATACCAGTGGCATATTACACGATTATTTGGAGATACTGCACAATCATCCAAGTCAATGAACATTACTCGGAATAGAAATGGCTACAACTTGTAACGATGATCATAAGGGTATCTAAAGAAGCCTCGGGGGAAGGTAAAGAGCAAGACATCGGATCTATTTTGTGAAAAGTTGATGGTTTTTCGTCTCAGCAGAGTGTGAGCTTCAGGAGCTATATTCCCTCCTCCTGGTCTTCCTTCTTCTTGCGCTTTTTGCGGCTTCCGGACGTCCTGGTGGCTTCGACCGATGCATTCCTAGCTTCCTTTTTGGTCTTTTTCAGCTCCTTTCTTTTCCTCTTGGTATCCTCTTCGGATAACTGGGCATTGGCCACGCAGGGTTCTTTGCTTGCCATGCCGGTTTCTAAAGGTTCGGCGGATACATTTTCATTCCGCCTGTTCTTTGATTTCTTCTCCGACCGTTTCGTCCGCGATTCTACTTCGCTAGTCGAGGAGCCTTTGAATTCCTCCTTCGATTTCCGTTGCTTCTTTTCCCGCCGTATTCGCTCCGAAGTGTCGGCGCGCCCATCATCTTCCAAAGCTGCCTTCTTCCGCCTCTTCTTCTCCTTCTTCTCCTTTTTGCTATCCCGATCTTCATGCTCAAGCGTGCTCTCGTCCCGCTTTCTCTTCGTGCCATGAGCTTCACTACCAGCATCGACTCTAGTCCCAATCGTTCCCTTCATACCCTCACCCTTTACGAAGAACTTGTACAGCTCACTCCGCATGCCATTATTGCCATTATTGCTATTCTCCTCGCTCGTACTGGTGGCAGGCGATGCAGTCCCATCGTTCGCGATACCGCTCAGCGCCGCTTCAAAACCTCGTAGCCACCATTGATTCGTATGATCGTGAACCTTCTTCCCGATACCGTGGGTGTTCTTCTTCCGCGAGATGAGAATCGGCTTGGTGAGACCGAGGCCGGCGTGTGGGCCACCGGCACGGCGGGATGGGTTCAAAGGATTACCCGGGCCGGACCATCCCTGGCTAATTAAATAGGCCTTCGCATCCATATAAACGTATTCGCCGCTTGCAACCCTGGCTTTTATGTGGAGGGGATGGCCGGATGGCACTGTTTGCTACAGTGAAGACTGTGGTCCGTGGGATAAACGGGCAGATAAATCGCAATGGTGGATAGACGCCAAGGTCATCGTTCCCGCATCAATCGAGAGCCATGATTCCGCTAGAAGATCTGATAAGTTGGACGTAAATCTGGACACATTGATTTTTGCAGCTTTTCAAAGATTGTGGTTGACCGGGGTCCTTTGCTGACTAACCAGTCATGCCAAGCCTCGGCGGAATCAGCGTGGAGAGCAGTTATGGTATTCTGTACAGAGTAATTCCTAGGGAGTACCGCATAGTCATCCCGAGCACTCTATGCCATACTATGCGCTGTAGCCAGTCCAGGTCTGAAGCTCAGCTCTGCTTCGTACGTCGTTCTCCTAGCTATGCTTCTGTACGGGGTAGTGATTTTTGAATAGTTGATCAACTTGAGAGCAAGGTTTTGATAGAACTTTTGATTGCTCTAGGGCTAATTAACCAATTTTGGCAGCAAGTTTGTGGCTGATAACAATACAAATTAATGAGAACAGGATACAAAACAGGGAAAGAAATCTAGCACAATGCGACAGGTGCATCTTCCTGGCAAAACCCCAAATTAATCAGAAGCAAGGAATATTGCAAGTCAACCATCTTCAAACATAATAGTCCAGTTCTTTTAGCCGTGTTTCTTTAAGTCGACGTCTCGGGGCCCAGGTAGACCTGCTGGGGTAAATTTTGTATTCCAGTAAGAATCTCCGTCAGCTCGACAGTGATTCCTCACACAATAGTAGGCACTGCCAACGAAACCCTTATTAGGCGACTTGACCACCCGTGGTTTGCCATCTTTGAGACAGCCGTGACCAAGGCCGGGATCGTAATCTTTGACGGTGTAAGCGGTATGGGCAAGGGATACCCAGACACAAATTACATCTCCCGGCCCTCCATCGCAGTCTTGTGCTTCTCCAGTGGTGTACGATTCCTGGACCGAAAAACCGCCAGAGACCCAGCCCCCGATGCCTCCGGATATTGAGGATGTAATCGTGTGTTCATTGGCGTGATTCAGGGAGCAGGCGCCGTTTGTGCATGCTAACGGATTTGTCACTTGCATGTGCAAAAAGTGTTGATGAGGATCTCCGTCACCGACACGAATTGATGTGCGTTTCCCGCAAGTGTTGATGGGAGCGTCGAAAATTCTGGGGGCTTTTTCTTTCGGTGCCGGCAGAGAGTACGCTAGACCGACGACGGAAAGTATCGGCGTGATGGCGTTGAGGAGCCTGGATAAAAGCCATTAGTACGGAGTAGTGAATAGGGAGACAGGGTCGGTGCTGTACTTCATTGTGAATAAAGAAAGGATAAGGTGGTTGGATAAGGGCTTTCGTCTGGTTGCTGAATCTGATATCCATCAAATTTTTTGGGTTGAACTCCTCTATTTATGTTCTTTTTGTCTCTTTGCTCTCTGAGAGAACCCAGCCTGTTGACGGTATGAGATTGAGTTTATGCGCAACCCCTCATCATGCGATTCAAATTTGGAAGATGTCCTGGATATTGGCCCGGTGGGCGGTGATATGAACCTAGCACTGGCAGCAGCTCCGAGTCTGGTCAAGGCAAGGTTCTGTTCTCGCAAAGGCCCTTCCTCCTCCGTTGATTTTCGGGCATTCTCACATATCCAGCTAGGCTCCGTCACTTGCTCGATGAGACGCATGATGGCCAGATCAAAGGTAGAAAGTCATTTAAACCTTTGATTAATCTAAGTGTTGCGCGCAAAAATGGGCATGCAAAGGTTGAGTGCCTGGAAACAAGAGCAACAAAATCCGAGGATGTTTTAGAGAGGGTATCACACAGCGAGGAACCAACCAATAGTTGCCAGTTAGCAAATAGCTAACGAGTGAGCTACTCGGAGCTTTCTAGTGTAGATAGAATACAGTCTGGATAGTAATATAAATGACTAACTAACTATACGCGCTAGCCGCGTGCTTAAGTGGCTTGGCGCGTCGCGAAAAAGGCGCGTGTTGGCGTGTTTGATTAGTTAATCTAACTTCTCTCGCTGTTTACTCCAGCAACCACAAGAGGGCGGCGCAACAACGGAGCTCCCCCGGTTCTTTTCCGGCAAACATTTCTGCTTCTCTTCAGGCCTTGAGTTATCCAGCGATTTATCATCTGCCAACTGACATCCAAGTGCCACCGATACCCCTATTCGCCAATGGAGCCGACCCACAGCGGAAAAGCATCCCAGGTCCCTAAAGACGCCGGTTTCAAATCCCAATCTCCTCTTGATCCGCAGCGTCCTCATCCAACTCCTTCTACACACTCGGAATCCTCGTCCCGCTTACAATTATGCCGCGCCTACATCCTCTGCCAATCCCGTCTTACCAGATAGGGTCCAATCCTCTCTCTTGACTGTGGGGATGCGAGTTCGCAAAGCTGTCCCCGAAGGATATCAAACGGTGCTCAAAACGTCCAGACTTACTGCGTACTCGAGCCAGTCTACTTGCGACGCTAGGAGCGCGTGTGCGGAACTGACACCTTACTGTGGAGGCTTCAAAATCGACAATCTTGCCGTGCAGTCATTTCCCCAACCGGCTGTACAGGAAGGCTACGGAATTGCAGTTGGTCAACTCGATGAGGAATCATTGCCACCAAGCAGTCAGGGATCTACCGATTCCATGCCACTGGGACCGTCGAATGTACATAAACGACCTTTTGACGATGACACCGATCAAGACGAAAATATCACCAATTTATCCGATCCGCCGCCCGTAACACAAGACCCCGCCTCGCATGCAATTACTACTGTACCGTTGCGAACAATTCTTCGTCCTAAATTTGGGCGGAAAACGAGGCGATTCGTTCCTAATTCGAAACTAAGCCACGGCGCCTCGCAGAACAAGCTGGACCGAATGTGGAGAAGATCCGAACGGGAGAATTTGGACCCCATGTGTAGTATACCTGGGCTGGTAGATTTCGAGGACGCGCCATTTCTAAGACGGAGAGACGAAGTTGACGAGGACTTTGAGATGAGTGATGTGTAAGACCCGTGTATATTAGCATTTTGACTCTTCTTCTGTTTGATATCCAATATTTGGTCGGGGATTGGCTTGGAACTGGGGCATTGACACTGCTAAAAACAACATACGAACATCTGCTGTTTTGGTTGATTTGGGCGGGCGGCTCATATACTTAGATTTACGTCCAGGCAACTTGGAAAGTCTGCGATATGTAATTGAAAGACCGATATGCAAATAACCACCATTAGTTATTCCGTGCCGCGGATCAACCAATGTGACTTGAAACAAACCTGAAAGCCTCGTCACTAGGGCTCATGTCAGCTCACTGAGCAATTTCAGCCTTTGATGCCGATGGGATCGATCGGTGTTGGGACCGCGCGATGCGCACAAAGTAACTAGGCCCGTGTTACGTCTTGGATCGTTTTTACAAAACCCAACATCAAAGGACCGGAGTACTCCTTTTTAGTTAATGATTCCCATATTGATATGTCCGCAACTGTGAACATGCTGCCAGGCACCGGATAGAAACGTTTATGCAGTACCTACTCCGGAGTTACGATCTTTTCGCAGAAGATCACCAATATGTCTCATCAACCCTTGAGCACAGGGGATGATGCGACCCGCACACATCCGCCGCCAGGAACCCGGCCGCAACGAGCAGCCTGGGCCAAAACCCGGATCCTTGGGTTTTGGAACTCGAATACGAACTCGTTGCGCGGCGAACTTGTCCGGTGCGTCGGCTCGCAATCCCGCCGGCAAAGCTTGGGGTACTGGGAACAAACATCCTTTCTCGTCTCATGGCCCTGGGCCCTGTCGAGCTGGGATCTCTCGCGAATGGCCAGAGACGGCAGATCAATCATGATGAACGTGGTCGCATCGTCTTCATTTTTCCTCCAGCTGCATCTTTCAGTCCCAACGACGCTTTTTGCCTTGCTACGCGCTCTTCGCTTTCCGTCGATGACTGAACAGCCTGGAGGTTAGACTGTGTGTTTCTAGTATGTGTCGTCAAACGGCTCGACTAATATGGCGACACCTCTCTACTCGGCCCCGGCGAAGGGCTCTGAGAGCATCATTCGCTTAACTGCCATTGGCCCCGACCGCGCTGCTGAATCCGAACAAAGTCAGCATGCCCAGGAGCCTGAGGATGAGCAGTTTGACAGCCGCCGGAGAAAGGAGTCATTGTGGTAAGAGGAAGAATCGGCATGATGCGATGAAGATTCGATCACTGACGGGATTGCAGGAGGGATCTGGGCGAGACTCGTATTAATGCAAGTATTAGTTATTCGTGAAGAATAGTTCGCAAACAAGCGCTAAATTGGCACTCAGACCATCTGCTAACTGGTTCGATATTAATAGATGATTGCATTCTCTGGGTAACTAACTGTTCCCGATTTCTGTTTGCCCGTGCTATGAACGTGTGTTAACATACCCCGGTGAACACATAGAACGACTGGAAATGGTATGTTTTTCTTTCTGATCCTGCTGAAGCCGGCATTGCTAACATTCTTGTTAGGATTGTTTCTGGGGAGCGGTGCCACCCTTGCTCTGGCGGGACCCTTTGGCGGAGTACTTGCCTACCTTCTTGTGGGAACGGTGATATCCTCTGTCGTCTCATGCTTGGGAGAAATGACCGCGCTGATGCCCGTCAACGCCCCCGTCATGGAGTTTCCTCGAAGATTCCTTGACCGGGGTGTTGGGTTTGCTGTGGGATGGATGTATTGGTATGCACTTGCATTCTTCTTTTTTTCCGAGGTCAACTGCTCACTACGAGCCTCTACTAGGTTCACTTTCGTTGTCATTGCCGCCCACAATTTGGTCACGGCCGCTCGCACAGCCAAACTTCATTATGATGACGGCAAAACCTCGCTCGCCTGGGGCAGCGGGGAGGACGTCGATGTGCACATTTGGTTTGCAGTCTTTTTACTTGTTGTAATACTTATCAATCTATTTCCCGTCAAAGTAAGTCAAGCTCTGCGGTTATGGCTATTGGCCACCCGGCCTTCCACATTCCGTGCTTAGGGTCTATTTGTAGTATTTAGGAATGTTTGACTACGCCATGGGAGCCACAAAGCTGGTCTTTGTGGTATTTTTAATCCTTATATCCATCGTGCTTGATACTATCCCGCGTGAGTCCTTTTGTCTTCATTGCCAAACGAGTTACTGATAGTAGTGGACTGCTAGCCCGCGCAAACTCATATCACGATACGGTGATTGGTACAAAATGTAGGCACTTATATACAGAATGCTATACCGCGTTAGTCCAATATACTAAAACACGGTTATATAGATTGGGACTCTCCATACGAATCCGTCAAGTCTGTCTTTCAAGTAAAAGGTAGCGACGGAAATGTTCAACGCCAAATTATCGGCTCAACGGGAAAGCTACTTGGGATGTGGTAAGATGAAATTCGCGTCCCTGTCCAAATATACCTCTCTAACTCGTCCACCATGGATATTTGAAGGTCAGCTTGCATCAATGTCATGTACGACTATGCGGCCGTGGAGATATTCGCCACGCCCGCTGCAGAAAGCAAAGCGCTTGCCGACTCGGAGAGTATGAAGATGGCCGCACGTAAAATTTACATTCGCGTTGTCGTCCTATACACCCTTGCATTCCTGACTGGCTCGTTCCTCGTCCCGTCGGATCACCCTTTTATCAACGGTAAATCTCAGTCGATCGGCTCTCGATCTATATTTTTGATTGCTGCCGTAGAAGCTGGGATACCCGCTGTGGCGCATTTTTATAACGTCATATTCCTCGTGGCTACTCTGACATGCGGTGTCAACTCGGTTTATGTTGCTTCCAGGGTGCTTCATACCCTTGCCTTGCGAGAACAGACCGGCCCAAGCTTCATTACTCGGAGATTACAAAGATGTAATGGGGGCGTTCCGATCAGGACGGTTATAGTGACAGTCCTCATGATGTTCCTAGGATTCATGGGCCATAAAAATTCAGGGAAGAATGCTGTATGTTCACTACTATCTCCCCGGCTAACTCTGCTGACGGACATGTTAGAAACTCGACGAACTCGCACAGTTTGCAGTAACGTCGTTTCTGATGATATACATCATCATTTGCGCCACTTATCTCTGTTTCTACAAAACGTTCGTTCTTATATTCTTTCTCCCGACTCGAAAGTCACCCTATCATGGATTCTAAGTAGAGATACAGACTCCAAGCAGCCCTCACCTTCGACAACGCTTCTGAATCCCAAGCCGCCCTCTACGACCGCAACCACCCTCGCTACCCCTATAAATCCCACGGCCAATGGTTCAAAGCCCTCTGGGGCATGGTAGCCTGCTCCACACTATGCCTCTTCAACGGGGCAACGACTTTCCTTAGAACCCCGTTCGACACTCGCGGGTTCATAATATCATATATCAGCGTATGTTCTTTTCCCGTTCCAGAATGCCCCTTGATGCTTAAAATCTTTTTTAGATCTTCATCTTCCTCGCCCTCTTCATCGGCCATAAATTTCGCCACCACGGCCTGCGCTTTTCTCGCTGGCGACCCGAACGCTCTTGTGATCTACGGAATTGCGTACAGACATCGAGTGAAAAGAGGAAGGGTGTGTTGGAGTTTCCGGGACCATGGCTATACGCTGAACAATGCAAAAGGCACTTTTTTGGTGGGTTTGGGTGTGGATGAAATAGATCAAAATTCGCATAGAATCGGCACCCCCTGCCTTGCAGCCTGAACTCTCATGTAATCTAGTTGAACTGGAGATCGTGTAGAGGTGTGCTTATTTTGTCGAATTGCAGATACATAGTTAACAGGACAGACTGAAACCAACAATAGATCTTGGGAGCCGAAAACCATGAATCAAAATCGAATGTAAAAAAAAAGGCTTTATATATATATAGACAGCGGACTACTTAAATATATTTACAATTCATCTTTCATGCTAGATGACGCTGTTTTCTTGTCGCTGCCCTTGTTCGTCTCTTTCTTCTCTTTCTTCTCTTTATCGGCCTTGGGCTTTACCTTCGATTTGTCCTTCTCTTTGCCCTTGTCATCCTTACTTCCTCCGTTCTTTTTCCCCTGTTTCTTGCCATTTCCATTTCCAGGCTTGGACTTTCGAGCAATCTGCTCCACAACTTTATTCAATGTCCGCTGCAATTCTGCGCCTTTGGCTTCCATGTCTGCGACTGTGATCGCAGGATCATCGGACTCTGCCAGTTTCTCCTGGAGCTTCAGTTTTTCATTAAGCCAGGTTTCGATTTTGTCGTGAATCTCGGAGAGTGTGGTTACGTCGATAGGAGAATACATGGAATAGGATGGGGTGGGTTCGGATGATGTCGAGCTGGAAGTAGTCGAAGCTGAGGAATCGCTGGCAGAGGAAGCGCTGGAAGATTCACTCGATGACGACGAAGTAGCCTTTGACGAAGATGCAGAGAAGGCACTTTCCTCTGCCTTGATCTGCTTCTCCATGGCTTCCACGAAAGTCTTCGCACTTTTGAGGCTTTGCTTTAGACTTTCGATTTTGGATGGTCGCATCGCATTTTCGGTCTTTCGGTTCAAAGCCGGATCGACGAGCGCTTTTAGGCTGTCAAGCTTTGCCTTCAATTCTTTCGTTGAAGCGTCTGATCCTTCTCCATAGAGCCAGTCAGCTACCTCAGGGAGGCTCTGGGTCAGCTTCTCCATTGCTATCTTGCCAATCGCTCCTCCGAATTCCGTGTCATCAAGCAATTCTCGCGCACGATAAATGAAGGCCTCCAGACTATTCAAGGCCTCCTCTCGCTGAACGCGAGCAGAGTCAGAAGCATCGAATGCTCTCAAGCGGGCTTTAATCCGAAGCATTTCCTCCGGCGACGGCTTTGGAATACCCATAGGGACGGAGTCAAAACCAATGATTGAGCTCTCGACCCGGAAATTTCGCGGGTTGCGCGGGCTCTACTTCGGGTTGTCCAGGGTTTCGCCGGTGGAGATGCTTGCTCAGCAGCAGAGTCTGTACTAGAAGATAGAGTCGAGGAAGTCGCGTCTTCAGTTGATGGTGTCGCTGAGGAGGCTTGGCTAGCACTTGATTCACTGGATTCGCTGGCCTGGTCTTTGCTAGAATCATCCTTGAGAGGTTGTTGGCCTTTCTTCGAATCGAAGCCCAAAAATTCTTTGGCTTTATCGACAACGCTTTTCTTGACCTCTTCCTCTACTTCACAGCTCGCCGATCCGCGGGTGATCTCTGGAACGGCATTTACCGGATTCAGGTGCATGCCGAACCAAATGGTTACATTTTCTGCTCCGCAACCCAAATTTATCTTTCAACTGCGTAATCGCCTGGGTAAGATTTTTAGTCTCCGCATGGAAGACTGGATAATCAATGGTCTCGTTGCCACGAATGAATTGTTGGTTAAACCCGAAATCAAAATCATTCAAATTCCGAATGATTGTGATTTTCTCCTGACCAATCTGAGAAGTTGGAAGGAAGACCTTCTGCACTCTCTCCTTACCTCCGGTTACATATCTAATGGAGGCGCTGTATCCTGGGATATCATAAGTTTTGATATCTTTCACTCTAAAGGCACGGCTCAAAGCTGCGCCTCTAAAGCCTGCCCCAAGAGCGGCTGCTTCATCCGCATTGACGTTTGTCCTGATTTTATTTGCACCGTTGCAAAACTGTTCTATCTGTTTCTGGACAAAAGGAGTTCGAATGACACCTCCATGGAGAATAATCGATTCAACGTCATCCAAGCTAAGCTTGGCCATTTCAAGGGCGTCTGTGAGTGGTTTTGAAATGCGGTCCGCGTGGCTCTTGGCCAGGTCCTCAAAAGTGGCCCTCGTGATGGTGTATTTGAAGTTAACATCGTCCTCGTACAGGCCTTCAAACGAAGCAGCGGTCTCAGTATTTGCACTCAAAATTTGCCGGAGTCTTTCTGATTCTTTCCAGAGTTTTGCCATAGTCTTTCCGTGAGCTTTGATTTGCTCCGGAGTGGCCCTATTTTTAAAGGTCTTGGACTCAGCTAGCTTTGCAACCATATCATTGACGATCAATTGATTCAGAGCGTCTCCACCAAGCGTTTTATCCCAGCCAACTCCAACGGCATGAACCTCCTGTAGATTTCTGGTATATTTGCCAAAGTCTTTAACGGTACGGCTCTGGAATTTGAGAACAGTTGCACTGGTGGATCCGGCTCCCATGTCAAACACAATATGATGTTCGGGTTTTTCGCCGTTAGTTATGTTCGGAAATTTACGGCTGGTTGCATAATTCAAAGCGACAGAGACCCCATCGCTCAGCAAAGAAAGGACGTTCAGCCCAGCCAGTTCCGCGGCAAGCTGTACGCTACGCTTCTCTTCGGCGGAGAAGAATGGAGGAACGGTGATGACGGCGTCTTCGAGATTTGTGCGCTGAGCGCCTGTCTCCTCCGCGTTGGCTTTAATCTGTTTCAACTGCATTGCCAACAATTCCTCGACAAGGAATGGTGGTTTGCCTAGCCGTTTACTCGTAATGCCCACAGTTCCCCGACCATCGGCAGCGGGTTCGAGTTTGACTCTCGGGTACCGTTCCTTGTACAAAGCCACCATATTTTGTTCACCGCCATCCGAGCCTTGAATGCCAGTCTCAAATGGAACACCCAAGAGGGACTTTAGATTAGGATAGACATCCTCAGGAAACCGGGGCGCAAGCGCAATAGCGTCACTGCCATAAAATCTTTCAGGAAAAGCTGGTCCCTTTTCCCGCGCAGGCTTGAAAGCTACTGCGGATAACTCCTTTCGTTTCGAGTCCTTGGTCAAGACAATTTCCAGCGGAACACCGGGCTTCACGACGGCGGCCTTTATATATTCGGTTCCAAGATCGATTCCTATCACGCCTGTACCGGCTGCAGAAGCTGTACTGGGGAACGACGCAATAAGAGCTGAGAGGACAATTGTTGACAGTAGATATAGGAGGGAGGGTACGCTGCCGCCGCGTCGACGGCCAGGTGGAGCCATGTTAGAAGGAAAGGGTATTGATCTAGATCATGCAGATCACCGAGTCAGGCATGTCAGAACCGAGAGGGTGGCATCCATGCATACCTAATATAAATACATAAATCGTTAAATGCGGGCGCCACGAGTAGTTTGTTAGCAATTCATGAAGCGACTGAGAGCTCGGGCAAAGAGGCGTGAGCTCTTGCTCTTGAACTCTAGGCAGTGGTGAGTGAAGGAAGGAAAAGGGAAACCACAGCAATTTAACACGGGTGCAATTAAAGAAAAGGACACGTCTATAAGTTTGGAGAATGGTCATTCAGAACGGGTATCACCGTCCGAAACGCAGGCATCCTTCGGTTTGCGATCGAGATGATTGAGGACACTTTGGCAGCATGGGCAGCTTGATGCAAACATGCCGCTTTGGGAAGGATTTGCATCGCAGACCAAGGCTGAGTCAGCCCTCGGAAATATATTCATCCATAGGCCGGGTTACCTAAGCATGGATTGGATCTAGTCCGAAGGCGGCATAGTGCGCCAGACTCCACCAGCTTTCAGTTCACTCCATGTCTCAGGCAAGAATGTGCTGGATGGGAGACACCTATTCCCTTCCTTGACCATATTACTCGTATCCTCTCGTCAACGACATCATGTTCTGGGTGTCTGGCCAACTTCTAAAGCAACTTCTCCATTTCTCCGGCTAATACGAATGGCTGAGACACACAGCTCGTCTCGTTACACCCATCGCACAAACGCTTTTGCTATTTGTTGACGGTACTCGGTACTCCGTATGACAGGCAAGCTCGGAATTGGCCGACTGGCGAACGGGCCAATTGTTGGGGGCGGAGCAAACGTCGCATGTCGAGGTGAATTGGGGAATCTTGGTTGCATTTTCTCAACGGTGATGTGCATTCACGCCTAAAGGGAGGGTAGGTGCAGAGGACCGATGTAGTTACATGGAGACCACAATACAAGAGCAAGGAACATTTTGGCCATCGCGTAGCAAAAATGGAGTCGAAAAAAAGAGATAGTGGAACGTATTTTATCAATGTTTGCTACATTCGAATCACTTGACTGAAATATCATTAGGAAATCCGAGAAGAAGGACTTTGGAAATAGGTAAAAATAAATAAATTAAGGAGAGTCAAGTAGTAAAATCGTACTTGAGAAAAGTATTTGATTCTTGAATAGTTACGTGGAAACCCCTTCTATACAAAAGGCCATTGACAAAGAAAATAAAATATGAAATATCCTCGAAATGACAGATGAAGAGATTTGCCTTAAATCGACTCCGTCAAACCGGGTTGGATTTACGCGACAACCATCAGAGCAGCCACAGCCACAACGGCGGTCAATCCACCCTGGAGACGAGCAGCAGCGCCAGTGAACACTGGCGGTTGAGCTCCTGTAGGAGTGCTAGTGGTCTGGGGTGGTGGTTGCGGTTGTGGAATGAGGGTCTGTGTGGGCAAGGCTGGTGGTGGGTTCTCTGGTTGAGGATTGGATGGCGGGGGGTTGGATGGCTCTGGAACCGAGGGTGGCGGGTTCTCCGGTTGAGGGTTAGATGGGGGAGGGTTAGATGGCTCCGGAACCGATGGTGGTGGGTTAGATGGCTCCGGAACCGATGGTGGTGGGTTAGATGGCTCCGGAACTGATGGTGGTGGGTTAGATGGCTGAGGCACCGAGGGTGGAGGGTTGGATGGCTGGGGGTTCTCTGGAGGAGGGTTGGATGGTTCTGGGTGAGATGGTGGAGGGTTCTCCGGAGGACCAGTTGGCGATGGTGGAATCACCGTCACGGTAGTTGCAGTTTCAGTGCAAGTGATTGTCTCAGTGTTTGTCCGGGTCTCCGTAAATGTATGCGAACCGCTCGTCACAGTCTCGGTAGTGACTAGAAGTACTGTTAGCATTCTTAGGAGCCTATTATTCGTAGCATTCAATCTACTTACCAGGGCAAGTGGTGGTGGTGTAGGTGGTTGTAATGGTAATAGTTGAGGTGATGTCAGGTTTGCTGGAGGTCATAGTGGGACCTGGGACCTCAGTGGTCGGCTCTGGGACTTCAGTGGTTGGCTCTGGGACCTCAGTGGTGGGCTCTGGCACTTCGGTTGTTGGCTCGGGGAGATCAGTAGTCTCGCATTCCGTGGTGGTCGGCTCTGGGACCTCAGTGGTGGGCTCTGGCACTTCGGTTGTTGGCTCGGGGAGATCTGTCGTCTCGCATTCCGTGGTGGTCGGTTCTGGGACCTCAGTGGTGGGCTCTGGCACTTCGGTTGTTGGCTCTGGGAGATCTGTCGTCTCGCAGTCGGTGGTGGTTGGCTCTGGGACCTCAGTGGTTGGCTCTGGGAGATCTGTGGTCTCGCAGTCGGTGGTGGTTGGCTCTGGGACCTCAGTAGTTGGCTCTGGGAGATCAGTGGTCTCACAGTCGGTGGTGGTTGGCTCTGGGACCTCGGTCGTTGGCTCGGGGAGATCAGTGGTCTCGCAGTCAGTGGTGGTGGGCTCAAGCACTTCAGTAGTTGGTTTCTGGCAGGTCCCTAGTATCCCAATCAGTCCTTGGGAGATGGCCATTCAGGCTTCGTAGGTAGGGCCAATTGGGCCACTCGGGTTTCTTCGTGGGCCAGTGAGGCCACTCCGGCTTCTTTGTAGGCCAGTTAGGCCCCTCGGGTTTCTTCGTGGGCCAGTGAGGCCACTCCGGCTTTTTTGTAGGCCAGTTAGGCCCCTCAGGTTTCTTCGTGGGCCAGTTAGGCCACTCGGGCTTCTTTGTAGGCCAGTTAGGCCCCTCAGGTTTCTTCGTGGGCCAGTTAGGCCACTCGGGCTTCTTTGTAGGCCAGTTAGGTCCCTCAGGTTTCTTCGTGGGCCAGTTAGGCCAATCGGGCTTCTTTGACGGCCAAGGGTTCTCAGGATGCTCTGATGGCCAGAACGTGCGGGCATCCAACTGCTCGTCGCGCTTCTCGATGTCCAATTCATCATGCGCCCGTCGTTCAATGGCAGCTCCCAGCGTGGAGCTGGCGAGCACCATCAAGACGAAAAGTGACTTCATGGTCGGCTCCTTCAAGGGTGGTATTATTGAGATAAACGAATGTAAAAGGTTCTCCAATTAGTATTAAACAATATAGAGGGAAACGAGGGGAACGAGGGGCCTTGGCAGAGAAGTCCCTCTCAGACTTCAGTCAGAAAGCAAGTCTTCAAATGGCTGATGGGAAGACCATCAGTTCAAAGGAGGGCGTGGGAGGCGGCCAGATTTTGTATCCGTGGGGACTTCCCCCTGGATCTACCACCCAGCACGATTGGGCTCCGGCTCCGCGATTCTAGCCACTGAGAGACAAACAAGGAATTGTCCCGAAAAAGCAAAGCGGCATACAAAAGTCTGGTCACACTGTGGGCGCCGCGGCCATTGACCTGGAAATCATGAATCATGACCAGGGCCGTATGGAGTTACCGGATGCGATACGAGGAGAAACATGCCAGTGTGGATGGAAATCGCAAGGTTCAGAGCTAAAACAGCAAGTCGACGACCTGGCTTGGCGATTCATGGCTTCGCTGGAACCACTCCTGAAGGGGCCGGTCGAAATCGATTACCTGGAGAAGGCAGCGAGGCCCGGATCTGTGAAGAATTTCTCATGAAAACCGGGCAAGATTCCTGTCAAGACGACATCATACATCAACCCTACCCCGTATTTACTGCCTAACCTCACGACGGGTTGAGAATCGCATGGCTCGACCCCGTCATCAATTGAAGGTCTGTTTGCCTCGAGATAATCAAGCATCTTGGAGGCATGGCAGTGGGGGTTGAAACTGAAGGCATTCGTCCGGGGCTCCATTCACTACTCCAGACATTCACCAACTCTCCCCCAGACTCCAGTCCTCGGAGGATGCAGATGCATCGCCATGGCCGAGGGAGGAGGTCGAAACAGTTTGAGAAAGCATCATTCCCTGCTTTTGTCATGGTCCATTCTCTCAGTAGTAGTGACTCAGTCTGAATTCTTGGATCTGTAGGCGGTATGGAGGGGTGGGAATTTGGGTTGGAGCTGGGCTATTTTCTGCATCCCCTCAATCCCTGGTCCATGACTGCATGGCAGCACAAGTCTCTGCAGATGTCCAAGTGCTGGTGGTGAAGAGTGGAGCTGGTTTCTCCTGGCGACCCAGACTTGAGTGTTGACCGAGCCAGGGATCGTTGTCGGGTGAAAGTCGCGCACAAAATACCCTTCTGGGGGAGTAATAATGGAAACTTGTGGGTTTCTTCGCAGTGAGCACACCACCAGTGGTTCGTTGAGAATTCAAGACTCTCTCTTATATTATCGCTATGACGTTGCGCATTCCAAGATTGTGCCTGCGTGGACGCGGCGAGGGCAGATTGGCGACAATAATGCTGGCTCTTTCACTTCCGGTGTCCCATTCTTCCGCTGCAATTGAGTTTGTTTCTCCCATTGGTGTTCCTGCTGATCCTTCCTCGAATCGAACCATGTTGTGAAGGGAGGCGGCGGACAGCCCGGCGTTAGTATTGTGAGCCATCGCCCAAAAATTACACCTAGCAAGCAGGAGAAGTGACCTCCTCACGAGTCGCACTAGGGTCAGAAGCAGACACTGACAACGCGGACGGCTGGCATTGGCTGCTGGGGCGCATCTCAGGCCGTTGCTCACTTGCTGTGGCACGAATTTCTGGAAGAAAAGCAATGAGGCGTTGCGATCAGCAGGGCCATTGAGCCAGTGCGGAGGTGGCTGCGCTCGGTGTATTGCTCGTACGCTAGCGCGGAAAGATCGGATCGTGCGGTACAACGACCGGGGGAGAATTATCACCAGCAGCAACCAGGGCCTGTCGCCGGGATCCTGAGACGCGCCAGGTATTCAGGTCCTGATCATTTCTGCCCGTCGATCTTGGATGAGCCATGCCTCCGTCGCGCAGGCGAATGGCCTAGTAACCAGCAATTTCGCTTAGCCGCGCGAGGCAAGACACCCAAATCATCGCACATGTTTCCCACTACTACTCTGGCTCGAAACAACGGTCGCTGGTGAGGAGTGGTGTTGGCCTTTGGCCACCGAGGATCAACTACTGGGATTTGCTTGTGATAGTGAGACATTCGGGAAGCTTTTTAGCCAAGAAGTCGATCCTAGCAGCCCTGTCAATAACCCCCTGATAACCCTCGAGACGAAGCAAACGGGTTTGCGCAAAACAGGCGCTCTACGGAGTCCAAGTCATGTTCTTGAGCAGTTCAAGGGGTGAGTTCAATGAATGGCATCAAATTTTTCAATAGTGCTGTGCATGTTGCCATCTCACAAAGAACGAATATCACAGCGGCTAGTTTCTCATTTTGGACAAAGCCGACACTCGAGAAATTTACCGCTTGTAATGGTAAGTTTCATGCATGGTTGCTGAGAAAGAAACGGATTTTTAGCGGCCACGGGGTACAAAAGAAGAACCTCCACGACTTGTGGGCAAGTATGTATACAGTACTCAACGGCTCCCAACCGATGCTAGTAGTGCCCCCGGTCAACTAGAATCAGCTCAACATCATGTCGTGAGCTCGGTGCAGTGCTCGGCTGCATGTCGGAAAAAGCATGTGCAACTTGTTCAGTCATCCCCGGAATCAGAGTCGTTTTCCCAGCGCGCCTGATATGCCTCTGACAGCTCATTCAACCCATTGATCAGATCCTCTCTTTCTTCAACGGCGATTCGTCGTCCGACGACCTGTTGCAGGTTCTTGAGGTCCTTGCCGATGCCACTGGTTGCAGATAATGCAACATGAACCCCGAGCGTAGATCTTCCTGGAGGTTGCCTGCGAATCAAGTCCGGCGGGAAAGAATCAAGAATGGGGAATTCCAACGGGGTTTGGAAATAGCTACAACCCACGGTTTAGCTACTTCAATTTCCAAGAAATATGAGGAGTGTGAGAGGCCAGAACCCAAATAGGTCGGATCTTACCTCAAGACGCTGGGATTATATCCGGTCCATGATGAAAGTCGTTGAGCAGTGAGGCCTTGACCAACCGTTTTCTGCTTGCGCTCGCTGTCACCGTATCTCGAATCACGGTCCACCTGGACCCGGCTGAAGAAATGCGTCTTCTCCGGAGTAGTTGAGCCAATCGAGGAGAAATTCAAATCCAACTGCCGTTCTGAATTCTCTATGTCATCATGTCTGCCTTCACCAACTTTATTTTCTGTCAAATCATTCAAGCGACTGGCAAAGCTGTGCTCCGAGTCCTCCGTCCTTATGGTGGCGCGTAATGTGAATATGCGTTGTGGACTTGCATTATCAAGCAACCAGGGCTCCAATCCTTCATGCCAGCGAAGCCGCGCTGGTAACGTTACACTTTCTACGGCCACTGAAGTTAAAGCCGAGAGGTGCCACTCTGATGGCATATTCAAGTTTACATAATGCGGATGCTTCACCGGAGGCTTTGAGATTGGAATGTATGCAGTCGACTGACTTGACAGCTCACAAAGAGTTTTTGCAGAATTCTTTGCTCTGAGATACTGCTTTCCCTGTGGCACCTCGTCTTTAGCACTATGATCACGACGCTTTTCAGGAGTAACCTACTCGATCGAGCTTTCCGCCGCTCTCTGATGCAAAAGTCCAGATGCTCTTCTTACCAAACTCGTCCCTCAATCGGTCGATGTACCTGGCTGCAAACCCGCCCCAAGCATCATCGGCTCCGGTGAACAGCTGAATTCCTCGCAATTGATCGCATTCTTCTGCAAAAGTCCTAAAGTCACGGTCCAAAAGATCATGTTCCCGGTCCAGGCTATTGAAAAGGGATTCGCCAACTGACCAGTCTTCGAACGGCAACAGTTGGGAATTGAGATCATACTCGTTCAGTTGGACAATGGATTTTGGATGATAAAACAATCGATTGAAATCAGACCAGTACCGGACGGACTCCGACGTGAGTTTGGGAAGCGGAAGGCCGAGCTCAAGGCTTTTCTGATATTCATTTGCTGGGATGACTGTCTGGCGCTGGATGACTTCGTTGCCATCCCTGGATGGAAAGAATGCTTTAACGTCGGAACACAGCCAGCAGTTAAAAGCAAGAGATGCAGGCAAGCCTACCATAAACCTCTCGGCATCCCAACCTCCGTTTCAGCTTCATAAAGACTGTTATATTGTCGAAGAGAACCAAAACCGCCTTTGAGATCATAGATGATTGTTCGAGGGGTGAAGGTTTCCGACCCATCAGCCCCTATCCCTGGTCGGAAACTGATATCATGGTCGATAGGTGACACTTCATTTTCGGAATATGTGAAATAGGATTCCTGGCCACGGATTAGCTGGTGTTGTTCGTGCAACGGACATTTGCGGTTTTACCTGAACATTCCAGAAATGCGTTGCGAGGTAGTTACTTCGCTGGCCCAGCTGTAATGTTATAATTTCATGCATCTTTGATGGATTGTGCCAAATTGTCTGCAGTATGGAAGGTTCTGCAGGTTCAATTACTTTGCAAGATACGTATTGTCACAATCCAGCCAATGCCGCCCATCATTCACAGGAAACCTAGACACCTATTCAGTGATGATGTTGTCGTTTGCTATTGGTCTCTTAGCATCTATATCAGAGAAACGCATACACATCTTTGCTCGGATGTCTCTGTCGTTATGCCCGAGTCTCCTGTCCAACGCCACCGAGCGGACGTCGAGCCAGATATCCGCATTATGTAAGCAACACGTGATACTAGATTACATACGCAATTGCCCCGGCAACGCGATCGTCGCGCCTGTTGGTAAACACGAGACGCCGGTTGCCCGCTAACCAAGTTGGGGACCGTTGGGAGCAAGGATCTCGAAGTTCGAACACCCCGACTCGAAAAAAGTCGTTTTCTATCCATCTCCAGTCAATGCGGCGGACTGAAGTATCTTGACTTGTTTACTTCTGAGCACTCTTGGACGGAACAAATGGCCGAACCTACAACGCCTGTCAAAATGCCACAGCCGGCGGGATGCCCGCTGGTTCCCATCTCTCCAGAGCGTATCAACCAGCAAAGATTCAGCCTCTCGCCAACCAAGTCCCTAGACGCGATGCACTCCCCTAGCAGATCGGGCCGTGGAGCATCTGATGTTCAAGCCAAAGTCGCGTTTCTCAACCGACTGTCCAGCGCGACCACCCCCGAGCGACCCGCTTCTCACGTTTCAACGACCACCGCCGCACTACAGAGGGCGATCTTGGGTCGTGAGGAAGCCGAATCTGCCTTACAGAGCACCCTCGCGCAGCTTTCCCAAGCCAACGCGCGGGAACGCAGAGTTAGTGAGCGATTGGAGGCGTTGGTCGAGGAGCTTCATGCCCTCAAGGAGAGACAAGTACATGAACGCACCGTTTTCGAGAAGGAGGTCAGAAAGGCGAGGAAAGAAGCATTTCGTGCTGGATCGGTGCTGGTCAAGGTGCAGGAGGAACTCAAATATTCAAGAGGACAGATGAAAGCCCTGAAAGACGAAGTCAAGGCGGAGAAAGAGGCAAAAGAGAAGGCAAAGCAAGAGGCGTTTGAACGTGCCTATGCGCTCGCAGGCTTAACTGAGGAAATGGAGGCATTGAAGGACAAACTTCGCTCTTCGGAAGCTGAAACCCATCTTGGAGAATTCGAACAACCGCAGACAGAGGACGCTCAGGCGGAGACTCCCGCCAACCGTTTAGCTGCACCGGAGCCTGCTGTCATGTCTGTCTCACCAGAATCGAGAGGACTGAAACGAGGACAACCAGACTCGGTAGATCACCGGTCTCCCTGCCGCAAGAGAAGCCTGAATAGCCGGGATCGCCTCAGCGCCAATCTCGGTTCTCCTGTCAAGTTCTCGCTTGACTCATCGACCCAAACTGGCGAAGCAATTCTTGAAGAAGCGGATACCACCGAGAGTACGGGCCTCGTTGAGCGACTAAATGACGACCTTCGATGGGAAAAGCGGATGCGGCAGAGGGCAGAAGACATGATACATTTTCTAAAGATGGAATGTCAGTTCAGGCGCTGTTCATGTAGGCTGGCTGACAACCGAGGAACCCGATATATCCACGATGCTTCATGGGAACAGTTCTGCGAGACAGCGAAGCAAAGCACTAATCGTCAAAACGATGTTATGGAACCTACAAGAAGCCCACCGCTACAAGACCAGAGGCAGCCGTCGCCAAACCCAACACCACCACTGGATGCACACAATGAGCCCGAAGATGATCCGGATGAGCCCTTGGTTACTTTCTGCCCTGATACTGGGACATTTCAAGTCATACCCTCTCCCAACAAAGCTACTCTTGACGACCATCATGTCACTGAAAACGATGCAAGCCAGTCTACCCTTAGATGCACCTCCCCTACACTAGGACGGTCGCGAAATCACCCTAATGCGATGCGACAAGAGGATCACTTCACTCAGCTTCCCGAAAACGCTTCACAAATGTTCGAGAGGGAGTCGCCCCTGAACTTTGAGCGAAATCAATCATCGTCTCACTTTGCCCAGTCCGCAACCGTTCCCCAAAATCACACCAGCGCGCACAACTTGAGCCACGAGACTTGTCGCGTAACCCAGCCATCCCACTCTGCGGAAATTCACACCGTGACAAAAACTACCACCGTTCCCCTCCACCTAGAATCCCAAAACCCTCGCCACGAGCCAGCCTTTTGTCCTATCCCAGCCACTCCAATAAACCGCGAAGAAGCGCTCGCGCAAATCCGGGCCCGGCGCGGCCGCACCCAATGCGCCCTGAAACGATCTGCCAGCGCAAATGATGCCAATACGAAATCGGGTGCCGTTACGCCGGTCAACGGAACTAGAAGGATTCCAGCAATGGCGAATTCTGAGCGAAATCCCGGGAGTAACTCGATGGGGTTGGGTGCGGGCATAAGAGTGAGAAGGGATATCAGCGCGCCAATTGACAGCGCTAGGAGGAGTTTTCGGTGATCTACCCTCGTTTCCGGGCATATGCTGAGATTTAGACTGCGCATAGTAATCTTTGTTGCTTTGTTGATTTGGAGCGTTGTTACGAAGCCTGGAGTTCAGGCGCCTGATGGGTATATTTTGGGCCTGGTCTATATCCCATCTCTACCGGTTTTATTTGCTCGTTTATTTTGTGCTTTTGTCGATACGCGAGCTCTCGGTTCCCTATATGTTGTGTTTATATATCTTACTTGTTTGCCATGTGGTGACAGAATGCAGCTTACCATTTCATCTTGCGCCACTCCATATGCTAGCTCTTGACATAAAGGAGTCGGTATTATGCGCTATGAACGGATGGAGTTTGATTTGGGCCATATTGATAATTGGATATGAATCGTTCAGCAAAAACTGTTGAGGTCATCATTGATGTGACCGTTTAATCTTCGGCATATACCGCAAATTTGATCAGTATTTCGAAGAAGCCAGTGCACATCCACTGAGACCAGCATCTTATGCATATACAGTGGTTATATGTGTTAAAGAATCCGCACACCACAACACCTGATCTTTCCCCCTTGCACTTGGCCTTCCCGACTCCACCACACACGCACCAGCTCCTCAACAAACCTCCGATCTGATTCGCTCCATGGGTCGAGGCCCATCCGCGTTATGTCCTCCGTCGTGATGGGCACGATTTCATCATCGTTGCATCGCGCAGATGCCCGAGCGTCCAAAAGTGGATCAGTGTCCTGTTGGTTGGCATCGATGAGCAACGACTCTTCGGGTTCGTCTTGGTATTCATCGCCAGAATGGCTGGGTGTGTCCACTTCATCTGTTTCTTCGGCACTCTCGGTTTCATCTTGATCCTGACGGCGTACGATATCATAAAGGACGGTGAATATCTGAGTGGTCAAGCGTCGGAAATAGGTTATCAGTGCTATTTCTTGCGTCCGACTATCTGGTTCTTGGTAAGAGACACTGCCACGACGGCCGCCCGGTGCATATACGCTGTCGTCATCTGGAAGTAATAGTCTAGCATCCTGCTCTTTCTCTTCGTCGGACTGGCCAGCCCCCTTTTCTCCTGCTGAAGCCCACCAGATAAATGACGTGTAGGCTAAAAGGGGCCAAGAAAGTGGCTCAACGAGCGAGTTGGACGAGAACGTAGACGAGTTATCGAAATCTTCCGCGTCGTCCGCTGCGGCGCCAGCTCGGGGTAGGACGTTTAAACCTCCCCTAAGGGTCAAGTATCGTCGTATATCTCGTTGAGTAGCCTTTATTCCAATCTGCTTTTGGTCTTTCGGGGTTGAATGAGGCGAAGAGAATAGAAGCTTGGGGTATATCTTCTCCGGAGCATCTTTGGAATACGATGGTGGCAGGTCGACTAGGATATCGTATAGTTCTGGTTTTAGTCCCAAAACCCGATCGCTGGTACACGCAATCCAGTTGTTTTGCGCGGTGTCTTGTGCGCTCGTTTTACGCGACAACGAGGTTAGGTACGGTAAATCATGCACACCGACGTTGAACAATGGCCAAGGTCTGAGCGCTGGCGAGTCGGTCGATGGGAGGAACGGTAAGAGTGTTTGCGGAAGCGAGGATAGTAGGGCTAAATCATATACTCGAAGGCTGTCAGATAAAGCACAAGTAGCTAATGTTGATATGATAACCTACCAAAGTTGCAAGACGTCTCGACGGGCGCATCTCCAATAAGAAGGATACGCTTTCTCAATAGGCTTGCTCGATACAGTGGGAACATCAATGGGCCAAATGAATTTTTGAAGTCGGGTAGGCAAAGTGCGGGATGGAACGGAGCCAGAACCTGCGTTGCCGTCAACAGTGCTGTGGCATCGCTGATCGCACGGCCTCGCTGAAAGTCGTCTGGGCGCATGGCCTGCTTTGCCTTGAGGCTCGAAATGGAGGTCAAAGGAGAATCAGGGGGAGAGTCGTGTTGATTATTAGGTAGCTGAAAGGTTTCCCAGTATTCTACTAGGGGTTGGTGATTGTGATAGTCGTCTGCAAGCTTCCTAACTGAGGGTTAGCAGAGCACCACAATCGCGACACCGTCCTAATCATACCGAGCCAGCTCTTTCAGGCATGCAGCATGTCTCCAGGCCTTTCCCAGCCTTCCCTGGCTTAATGGAACCAAAACGCCCACGGCCAGCATGAGCGCGTTCCGTTCGCTCTCGTCGGCGGGCTGGTTGACAAAGGCACTGAGACCGGCGTAATCATCTTGAACGAAATATCTGATGATCAATAGCAATAGTCAGTAGCCTCGCTATCAAATGTCCACACTAAGCTCCACCTACACAAGATCCTCCTTCACGTTATGAAGACCGGACGGGAGAGACTTGAATTCGACGACATCTTGGAGAACGACTGTGGTGCTGGTAATCAGTAAAGGACAGAGGCGGACAAAGCCCGGAGCACTGACCATCGGGTAGACTCTCTTTCCACACAATTGTATATCTATTGAACGAAGATAATCAGCATGATCCTTAGAGATGACGGAACGGGCGGTTGAACTAACCCGGCTTTGATGTCGAAATGAATGAGAAACAAGGCCGCAATTCCAGGCGGAGTATTTGGCATCCGAGCATTCAAGCCGCTCCGAATGGCGAGCGAGCTTCTTCTATCTGATGCCATAGCTCCTGATGGTTGGAGAGGAGGCTGGCCGCTCCATAAGTGCTTCAGAAGGTGAGTCGAGATGATGCTTGCTCCCCGCTGGCGCAGCAGTTAGTTAACCAACGACACGATGCGCTATTTCCACCTCACTTTTGGCCTTTCCAGCCACGGAGTTTATGCAAACATTCTGCTTTCAGTTGCTAACATGGTTCTCAAGGCCTCAGGGAAGTGGTAACTAAACAAGCAACGGCTATAGGATTCTTCCTATCTGCAAAGATTGCTGTTAGATAGTTATGAGCGGATTGACTGTACTCCGTCCTGCTCCCGTCCAGCATGAACAATGCCTGCCGGAGGCAAGGTATCACACGGATCGGCTCAATACAAGCTGCCAATCTATCCTTGACCTACTGAGCAGTTACCCTTCTCCAATACTCGTCTGCTTGTCCATCCACAGTGCCAAAACCATCCTGGCCAACATCAAATCCAAGTGGGCGTTTCTCAATGGATATCTACCCCCCTCCAGATACCAAAGTTCAAACTATCGGCTTCTCTGAATTCTGCGAAGTCGAGGGCCAGACGTTCAAACGTCGAAAGGGAACACAAAAATGGGCTCAGCTCGACCCTGATGACAATCCAGGTCATCACGATCACCCGCTACAACTCTCACTTGTCCACCACAACCAAGCCCCCGGCGAACCTATCCACTGGGCACTCTACGTCGCTCGCGAAAACGATCCTGGCATGGTATACGAAGTAAACGGGGATGCGGAATGTATGGCTTACACGCCTTCCTCGGATCCCGTCCAAATCCTCGATTCCGATACATTCCAGGACATATTTCTTCTCGCCAACCTGACCGATGGACAAGCCGCCGTCGTGAGGCAGCTTGCTGAACAAGAACCTCCACCTAGAGCTGCGAGCCGGAAGGAAGTCAAGGAGAACTGTCAAGGCTGGGCCGTTCGTGTACTCGCTCGCCTAGCGGAGAGAGGAATCGTCGATACGGTCAAGGTCGATATGGCGAGGTCGATGGTGCAGCCAATTTGAGGAATAGGACTTTGTCAATTCACTTTGCTAAACCAATTAAAATGACTATCTGGCAGTTTCCTAGAATATCAATACGCGAAGGAAGATTGATTGATACTGCTGTTATACGTGGCTAAAAAAATCAGACCATTTGGGGATAAATGTCAGGACAGAAATCAGCGGTATAGCGGCAAAAGCCGATTATGATTTTCAGTTTGAGAACTGTACGGGGTACGTGAACACCTATTGCCCCATCCACCTCTGAGCGATTTCAGATGAACCCCTTGGATTTTTGCATCAAACCTCCAGTGAGTTCCTCATGTCTCATGATCAAATCCGCACTGAATCTCCTGCAAGTGAGGAACTGCAAGGACCGCCTGCTAGAAGTTTTATGGCTCCAAGCAGCCCCTTGCTTTCATTATGTGACGCCCCAACCTGTCTGCATAAACACCCGAAAAAGGATACGGAGATCAATATGTTGCTGCTAAAATGGGTATCTCCCTGCTTAATAGCCCTGAGGCCCCAGTGCAGTCTGGCGAGGTTCAATACACGCTGGTCTATAGGCAAACTATCTTTTTGGGGTGGTTGCATTCTTGATTCAGAGAAGAGAGAGGTCGCGAACTGTGGTATAAAGTGCACTGGGAAGGGTATGACAATGAAGAAGACATGACCTTGTGACCAACCGCCAATGTCCGCGAACTGAGAAAGTTACTGTATGAATTCCATTCTTGAAATCCCGGAAAGCCAGGCTTGCAGAAGCTTGCTTTCTGCGATTCAAATGTAGAGGCAAATAGAGATTTAGTCTCTGTGCCTTGGAGTCTGGTAGCGGTTCGAATATTGGAAGTTGGGTTGAATATCAGTCCAATTTACCTTCGGCGTGCTTCGGACTTAGGCTTGCAGTGATTTATTAGTATCTAATATTATAATGGGCCTATTCAAGGCATCGCCTGTTGCTCCAGTTGAGCAGTATGGCTTTCATAGACAACAATCACAAGACTGGTATGAGACCTCACCTTCGTCCAAAAATCGATAATTCGAATATTGAGGCCCAGATTGGGGATGAGCACTGAGGTACCTCATTGTCCCGTAAATAGTATCATATAGTGCTGCAACGGGAAGTAGCCCACAAAATCACTTCCCCATACTATTCAATTCCGTACTGAAGTAGTCGTACCCATATTCTTGATAGAATTCCCATGAAGTGTAAGTGGAGATGGAGATGCGCCCCCTTCAGATTCCCAGCCCATATTATAGACAATCATATAAAATAGTGCATTAAACTCGACGAGAACGATGACAAAGATCGATGGGATTTGCAATGAGAGATGAAGACCGAAAAGAGGCAGCCTGCGTGATCACGGGCTTTCCGATGGTACAAGGCCCAATTTGGATAATAACCCCTTCCCATGGAACTGAGCAAACTAATGATGGATCAGAGGGCTGGCAGGAAACGGAAAGATAGATGATAACTTACATGGCACGGCTCCTCCGAGAAACACACAAGGTATTTGTGCGTGATATATTTCCGGTTCTGTTTCAGAGACAAGGTCGATTTTCAGGGGTTTGTGATTGTGATATGTAGTATGTAGTCATGGTAGTATGTCGTTGTAACGGCATGCCAGGAGCCTTGTGCGCTCTCCTTTAGGGGTTCACGGCCCAATAATGGGTCATGTTGGTTGCCAGTCGGTTTGATAGAGGGCTTAGGTGCTTCCGACAAACTAGAGATCCTTGTGGGCATTCAACCGTGGCCAAGACTCTGACCAGCCTGTCTCGACAACAACTCTTGGTAAAGGTAAGGTGTCTGGGAGGATGCACGCATCAGGGTCTTTTGCAGCGAAGGTGTACGGAGTTGCAAAGTCCTTAAAATCTAATACGAGAATGTCCGTCAAGAGGGAGGGAAAAAGTAAAAAAAACGCTGAAATAGACGTAAAATACTTGTTCCAACCTGGAGTTTGAGTTCCTTTCTTTTTGTTATTGTCAAGAACCTGACCACAACCGTATTGAGCAGCTCATCTAAAAGCCACTCTTGGTAGTCATGAACTGTAGTCGGCATAACTCGGGCAGTCATGACTTGAGTCAACAGGTTGTAGGAAATCCTAGAACACCTGATATAAGTTGTTACAAATCTTCTTGTAGTAGTTGCTTTTAGTAAGAGGAAGAGCTCTTGATATGTCAAGGATCAATTCTCAAGATGCTAAAATATATAGGTGCGGATCAAGCCAGAGCCATACATACTATTTGGATTTCCCAAAAGTATCAAGACTTCAAAAGCGTGTGCATTGAGTGAAAGATTTGAAGGAAATCCAAGGCCATAGTGAGGTTTCACTGAGAGCCAGATTCACCTCGTGGTAGAAAGCGTCATGCTAGAATCCAAAGGGTATATTGAAAGATTTTAGATTGATATCAGGGTATGTTCAAAAGTGTCCGGCATCAACATTTGCAGCTCGATCATGAAGGAGTTTTGCGCCATTTTGCCCTAAAAGATGACTGAATCCGTTCTTTGAGTCACTGTTCGAGAATCCAGGTAGCTCTGTCTTCTGTGCATCTTTATCCCATCATGAAGAGAAATCAAAATCAACGACGGATCCCGGGGAGGCCGTGGAGCAGCCGATCTCCGGGACGTACGATGCACGCGGCTTGGCGCAAACTCGCTTTTTGTTCCTGAAAAGAAGCGAGCGAACCGCGAAGAAAGGAAGCAAGAGAAACGCGCTGCAGACGAAAGGGCACAACCTGAACGAGGTAACTTGTAAATAATCCCCGTCTTCCAATCCCTCGCGGCCTTGCCCCTCTATATCCCGCTAATCTTCACTGACACCCGTCTGCTGCAGTTATCCGCCACCCCTTTTGATCAGACAGCGCTTCGTCCCGCAAGCAGCACAATTGAACCGCCATGGCCAACCTAACGACATCTGCGCACCCTTACTACCCCGTTGAGGCCCAGCTCGTCGGGTATCTGGCAAACAAATGGTCTGTGCCGTTGCTCGTTGGTGGATTCGCGGTGTCTTGGGGCTTGATCTTGCTCGTCACGTTGGCCGTGGTGTCATATGTTCGGCCGAATTTATCCAAGAAAGACAAGGCCGCAGTGCTGTGGTTTGTTCTGAGTATGTCGCCCCCCGCGAGAATGAAAGGGCGAGACTGCGGTTGGCTAACGGTTCTTTTCGCTCAGGTGGAAGCATTCATCTTTTCTTCGAAGGATACTTCGTCGTCAACCACACCCGCATGGCACCTGCGCAGGATCTGTTCGGCCAGCTCTGGAAGGAATACTCGCTATCTGATTCGCGATACTTGACCTCCGACCCGTTCGTGCTCTGCATGGAAACCATTACTGCCGTAGGTCCCTCGCTCCAACAGAGCAAATGCACCTCAATACTGATCCGCATGTCAACAGGTAATGTGGGGGCCGTTGTCGTTTCTCCTTGCCTACTTAATCACCATGGAGTCGCACCTTCGTCACCCATTGCAATTACTTGTCTCCGTTGGTCAAATCTATGGCGATATCCTCTACTATGCCACCAGCATGTTCGACCACTACCACAACGGACTGAGCTATTGCCGCCCAGAAGGATACTATTTCTGGTGTTACTACTTTTTCATGAACTTCATTTGGATTGTGATTCCATCTTGTAAGCCTTTTCGTCCCTAAGGATCCTTCAACATACTAACAAACATGTATAGACTGGGTCAATAACAGCATCTGCGTGATGTCAAGAGCGGTGAAGGAAGTGAACGAAAACGCCAAAGTGCGCAAGCTGAATTAGCAGCCGCAGAAGTTGATTCAGGGCACAGGGCTCCTGCAGATGCATTTTCTTTTCCCTGCTGTGGAACCGTTCGATGACCTACTAAATACTTTTAATTGGTTTGTTTTCAGGTTTACAAAAGTAGTAATGGGCAGGCTCATCTGCAATGACTCTAGATATTAGACAACAGGCATATTCTCATGGGTGATAGTGGTCTCCTGCTGTGTCGCATTATTTTCATCTGTAGACTGCCCAGCAACTCTTGTCTGGCATGTGAAATGTAAACAAACGCCGCCAAGAGTGCACCCACAACAGACATCATCGACACCCAAGAGTGACAGGCTGCGGGAACCGCTGGTCTTGCCGTTTATTTGACTGCAGCCACTTTGGTTAAAGAGCAGTTGCTAAACACCGGCCGTTTGATTCTTGCTGCGCTTGACCACTGTCACAGTTCCACCCTTGCATGCATTCATGCATTGTTTGTCTGACTCCACTCAATCGCATCAACGTTGACGCAGCAAGCCCAGATGCAAACCAGACAGTTCACCTTGTCAATTTTTGTTCCTTTGGTGCTCTCCTCTGAAACCCTCCCTCTATTCCTGAAATTCTCACTATAATTTGGGTGCATCCAGACAATGCGGTTTGTGCTTCTGGTATGTAAACAAACAAATCCACTGCCAAACAAATCGGAGCCCGCTTTTGCAACTTCACACATCTGACCCCATTTTACAAAAGCACGATGAGATATTGAGATCAAACGCTCATGTTACCAGTCTCTTAGCTAAATGCCCTCGCCCGGTATTCCGCATCGGCCTTCCAATCGAGGAAGTGGGAAGAGCCCCGCGTCCAAGCCCAAGCGCCTTGACCTAGGCGATCCATTAGGTCCGCATGACACCAATACCGTCAGGGAAAAGGTGCGAAAATGGCAGCAACAAGGTGGAGGGGTTGTAATTGCTCCCGATGTCGGTGCAAGCGACGAAGACGAGGATAAACGCAGCAGAGAGAGCGGAGTCGAGCCCAGGCAGAAGCGGAAGGATAAAGATCGGGAGGACGCTGGAAGGATACGGACACGCGGGTCCGAAGAAGAAGGAAAAAAGAAGAAGGTAACAAGTCGGTCAGGCGGTAACGCTCCCAAGAAACGAGTTATCAGCGATGCGCATTGGAGAAAGGATAGGCCTCCAACCGGGTCTCCATCACCGTCTCCTACGAAAAGGACATCGCGAAGAGACGCGGAAGCAACATACGGATACGGGAATACAAAGGACCTTTCAGAAAGAAAGAAGGAAAAGCCCACCGAAAAGCCGTTAACTGGTGATGGGATAAATGTCTACCCTGGGCCGCTGAGGCCGCCGACGGCTTCTCAAAGTCCAATGCGTTCTGGAGACTCCGGAAGAAGCAACTCGTCGATTGATTACAAGGAACTCAGCTATGGGTCTAGTGAAAAGAAGTCGACTTCTCGACGTAAATCTACCAGAAGGGAAGTGAGGGCGAAGTATGTCGTCAACGATTTCCCGTACAAAAGCGACCATTCAAGGCCACATGAATCGAGTGATGCTGCGAGCTTTTCTGGTAAGGAAACCCGGATGGCAAGTCCTAAAATGAAAGCTCCGACACGGACTATGAAGCCCAAAGGGGACATCAACACACAAGCCATCGACTCGAAGACCAAATTCTCCAAGAAGGACCTGCCTCCCGTTCAACAATCTCACGGTTCCAAAGTGGAAGCATGGCTTTCTAGAACTAGTGACCCTTTTATCGACGATGATGAATCATATGTGGAGATGCCGCCTCCATTGAAGTCGTCCCCTCGCTGGAAAAGCATGTCAACTGTTAAAAAGGACGTCGATACGGACGAAAAGCAGTCTGCATCAGAAGACCAAAATACTTCCCGTAAAGACCCCCACAAACGTCGAAAAAGTTTCAGCGGCACTGATGGGAAATATCACCCAAAAGAGTCTAATACTGTGAACAATGACCCTTCCGAGACTTCTCCAGCCAGTTTAAAGCGATCCAAGGCCAGTAAACGACCAAAATCTATGGAGCATCGCAAGATGTCAATGCTACGCGAATCTGTTGAAGAGGCTTTAAAGTCGTCCTCTAGCCTTGACCGCCCCATTTCCTCGGATGGGTCCGAAGTATCTTTGACTGATCGACCTCCTCCGTTGACCCTAAGGAGGATGTTCCCCGGAACCGGTATGCACAGATTGTCTACTATTGCTTCGGTTGATACCTTGAACACCACAACGGAGACGGCGAAAGAGCCTGAAAAACACCCAAATGCAGCTTCTGCAGCCTTAGAGGGTGATGACGTATCGGAGTCTGAAATAAGAGATCAGTTCGATCCCTACTCTATGCCCGGACCCGGTGCAAGTTCTTCAAAACGGAAACTTGCTACTCATGCTGACTTGATGTCGGTTCTGTCCCTTCCAACAGGCGGTAGTCGCAGCATCCGGTCTGCAAGGAGTATTCGCACGAATCGGAGCCGCCTTGCCACTGCTACTGTGGGGGATATTATGCGAGAGCTCGCCTCTGATGAAGCTAAGTACATGCGGGAGCTTCGGACTCTCGTTGGCGGTGTCATCCCGGTATTGTTGACATCTGTTCTTTCAAAAACTGATTCGGCAATTGCTGCTGGATTATTTCGCCCAAATGCTAAACCCAACGACGACGACAACTTCACAAGGCCCATAGTGAATATGGGTGTTTCTCTTGAGAAGTTGAAAGCGCTTCACAAAAAGATTCCGCTGGATAATCCTGACGGGCTTTTAAATTGGGCCCAGGGAGCGCAAAAGGTATACGCAGATTACCTGTCGGCGTGGCGCCTTGGCTTTCAAGATGTAGTAGTCAACCTTGCTCCGCCCGATCCAGATGAGGTCTCTAAAGGCCCTAATTCGGACGCTCAAAGCCTCTACGCGGGGATGTCACAAGATGAGAATGGAGATGTGATTGATGGAGACGGGGAACGAGTTGACGTGGCTTTCTTGCTCAAAAGGCCTTTAGTCCGATTGAAGTATCTTGCAAAGACGTTCAAAGGTCTCAATTACATACAATCATCTCCAAAAGCGTCAGAGATTGAAAAGAAATATCAATCGCTTGTCACCGATGCACGACACAGAGCGAATGAAGAGAGAGCAAGACTCGAAGACGAAGCCGCGAGTGCAACTGATGCATGTAGAGCACGGGATATCCATACTTTGAAAGTTTTGAAAGATGTCGAGGTGAATCAAAATAGACGGGTTCGCGCACGCGACTTTTTTGATCTTTCATTTCTCCATTCAACTGGACAACAAATCGACTGCCGGAGTGAATTACTTCTACGAGATAATCCAACGGAACATGGACCTGGTGGAGACTTGTTCATCTGTGAAGTTGACAGCGCAGGCCGTTGGCTGTTGTTTCCACCAATCGACCATGGCCGCGTTTCTGCCAGGAATGGTGATACGAAAGGTGAAATCGTCATCATGGTTCGAGGTGTACCTGAAGAAGGTGGTAATTGGTATGAACTTCTGTCTCTGAAAACAGAAGATGAACAGATTGGATTCGAATGGGTCCATATGCTAGGCCTTAGCCCTGTTCCACCAAAGATCAATCGGTCACTGAGCTTCGTCAACCGTGCGAAGCAGAAGAAACAACGTCCTCCGATTGACCTTAAACGCTCGGAATCGGTCTTGTCAACAAGGAGTATTATACCAAGTCCAACTGACATTGGCATGCCTATTGGCGAAAGGCGCTTTGAAACGAAGCAGACCGTTGAAGATGACCAGGCCACATTCGTTAGCAATTTCCAGGCATCTCGGGAGTCCGTAGTTTCAGAGTCGTCAAGGGGTTCAATAAATCAACAGAAACCAGCAATCCATGGCTCCTCGAGCCCCGTCACGGACACGCTTGTACGGCCCCCTCGAAGCCTAAACGAGGCTATGGACATGGCTGGAGGTACTTCACCCACGACATTGAAGAGATCCCAAGCAAAGAGGCGATCTAAGTATGGTCCACTATCCCCCATATCCTCAGGAGATGCTCGAAGCCCTGAGGGAGATGTCAGGGGGTTAGATATTGCAGAATCAAAGACAAGAAAGCGCGAGTCAGAACTGTTAGCACGATCCGTTTCGCCAGAGTTGAAGGATTTCAAGACCATGAAGCGCTCCGAAAAAGGCGCACAAAGGCCTATCGCAGAGGTCACTAGGTTGGGCAGACGCTCTCTGTCCCCAGTGCCATCGCTAGACTTACCGTCGATGCCTAGGCTGAGACAAAAGACACCGAGAATCACACCTCCCTCCTCTCCTGTTCCTGTTGAGGATCGTTCCGGGTCCCCTAAACCCAAGTCTCCCAAGCAGAGGAATGAAATCGATGATAAGCTGTTTTTGAGAAGTGAATCGAGTGACCAACCAGTTTTTACTGAAGATGTTCCAGCACCGCCGCCACATCGGTCTCCAAGTCCTTCTCGCTCAAAGAAGTCCTCATCTTCAGCCGCAACACCAACCTTTTCTCCTTGGGCTCGTCACAGGAGAACCTCGTCTCCACTGAAACATGAATATGAGCCTTCAACAGCCACAGCTTCTACCGAGTCGGACACCTCAACTGTGGAACGCCATACTGTCTACTCCTCAACGGAAACCTCAGATGAGGAATTGGAGAGTAACGATCTCGCAACTCCATTACCACCAACTGGTTCGAATCGTGCCAACAAGGTGTCATCGCCACCTTCTTCACCGACTTTGCCTGATACAACACTAGCTCCGTCTAATTCCGCGTCCCAAGCTCCATATAAAACAGTCCCATCTCAACCTTCAAAAGCTGAAAAGACCATTGCATCTATATACTATTGGCATGACAAGGGTTCATGGGAAGCGTTATATCCAGAGGAGTGTAGCATTGTGGTAACCCCGGGCCTTATCGAAGCTTGCGAGATGGGACCTGCCCACTCACAACCTGAACCCGAATCAGATGAAGGCACGCCACGTCAAAGACCTCTTATTGCCTTGGAATTAACACCGCTAGTTCCGATACGACGAGGTACTGCGCTTGACATTAGTATACGCTCACCTCCAACCTCGAAATCCAAGTTGATATTCACCGGAACTAATGTCATGTTCCGTTCACGAAGTCCGGATGAGTGCGACAAACTTTACGGGCTGATTAACCAAGCTCGTATTAACAATCCAACATATATTGCTTTACAAAACGCTCGTGACCCATATTCGAACCAACCAACATCACTATCGCGTTATAATTCTACCAGATCCACCAAGGGAAGTGGTTGGTTTAGCTGGTACGGTGGCCTATCGAAGAGCAGCTACCGTGCGTCCAGCGCACCAGCCCCATCTGTTGCTGGCGTTACTGAAAGCAGCGTTGGAACGATGGCCAGCGCATTTTCTGCACTTAAGAGATTCGGTGCCGGTAGTAAGATGTTCAGCATCGCCAGGTCGACATTAACGTCCCGCACTGGAAGTCGAGGTGGTAGCTTATACTCTACATCGACTCGCTCCGGATCGAATCCTAGTCCTGCGTGGCAACCAAATGGCAGAGGACAAGAGGCTTCTAGATTTGCGCCTGGTGGAATCGGTTTGACCAATGCGAAAATTCGACTTTACTGCCGTGAATCAGCATCCAAGTGGCGCGATATGGGTGCTGCACGGCTGACCATTCTTCCCGCATCACCCGCCACTTCTCCGCCAGGCACTTCGTCCAACAGCATACACAACTCCGCCGGCGCAATTGAAAACGAAACCAGCGCCGATGGAACGACGGCAATGTCCCCGTCACACACTCCTGCGGCCGCACCGGCTTCTCGCCAGCTTGAGAAGCGAATTCTCATCCACAGTAAGGCCCACGGCCAGGTTCTTCTCGACGCATGTCTGGGAGAAAGCTGCTTCGAGCGCGTGGCCAGGACGGGGATAGCCGTCTCTGTGTGGGAGGATTTCCAAGGGGTAGCAAAGGAAGGAGGCGTTGTGGGAGGTAGTTTTAAGATTTATATGATTCAAATGAAGAGTGAGGCGGAGACTGCATATACGTTTGGGCTTGTGGGGAAGTTGAGATATTAGATTCTCCTACTTGGATTGAGCTTTTGGCATTGCTAGGAAGAGTTACTCTTTTGCCCTTTCTTTTGTTTTGAAATATTAATGGGTTTATTTGGCCATTTGGTAGGCAAATGTTGTTAGCGAGTTTTATATCCCTCTGTTCTTCAATATGCAACACGATTTTAGTTTCTGCACTATGCTCGAGGATCACAAAATGTCTAGTTGGGTACCCCGTACATATGTTGATAGTCTTAATGATTTGTCTCCATTCCATTTGCATGCTCAATAAGCTAGTGCATTTGCATGTAACACATTTCTATTGTGTATGTATTCCACATGAATGTATGTACAGTATAGATAGCCATCTGTACTGTTTATTAGTTAGACGAACATTGTCATCGAAGGTTTATATCTAAAGTGCATGTCTATCGAACAGCGGTCGGATCTGCAGCCAGATCCGCAAATCCATCCCTTTTAAACATATACCTCACTCCGTTTCCTTCGTCTTGAAGTAACGACCAGAGTACTTCGTCGGCAATCTGTTCCTTTATAGCCTTTCTATGGTCGGAGTTGAGAAGAGATGTATCGATATGGGAATATTGCATGAGATAGCGCATTTTCGCGTTTCGCTTTTTAATGGCGCGCTTGCTCTTGTGTTCTGAGGGTTGAATAGATAGTTCGGATGCCTTTCTGAGTGCGGGCATATCTGAGGATTCAGCTGAATCATCACTATCTCCAGTAATGCTGTCGGAATCGGCTAAGGTTCCGGCATTGTCAATGGCTTCTTCATCTGCTATATGAGCATTTCTGCCCCGTCCACCGCACTCACACGCCAGAAGTTCATGTGTTTGACATTCTGTCTCTTCATCTAATCTGAATAGATCTCGCAGTTCTTCTCTTGAAAAGTGCGCTATACCACCTTTCTGGTCCATCACGCTATCCGCTAGACCGATCTTGGTGACCTGTCTCTGCCAGATCTTTTCCTCTAGTCCTCCTCTGAGCAACATCCGGTAAATGTGACAGTGTCTCTTCTGTCCATCACGATGTATTCGTGCCATGGCTTGGATGTCTGTTGCCGGATTCCAGTCTACGTCAAAAAGAACTAGGCGACTGGCGCCCGTGAGATTGAGCCCAATTCCACCAGCTTTTGCGGAGAGAAGAAATGCGAAGCAAGAACTGGAAGATGAACGGTTGAAATCATCAACGAGGTATTGGCGCTTGTTAGCTGGGGTGGAACCGTCGAGACGCAGAAATGGAAGGGCTAAAGAAGTTAGGAGGGCGGCAAGAAGGTTGAGGGTTGACGTGTAGTTCGACACCAGCACAACCTTTTCAGATGTAGTACTGCGTAAGTTGTGTAGGAGTTGATCGAGAACGCGAATTTTCCCACTCGACGCGGGTGAAAAGTGTCGAAGAAGGTTAGGAGGGAGCGTCGATAGGAGGGAGCTAATTGTAGAGTTCGAATTTTCAGCTAGAGCTTTTTGGTTAAGTAAAGAAGGGCTATTACACAATTTCTTTAGAACTGTGATTAGCTGCAACGCACTCTCCGAGTTTCCAAGTGCTGACTGAAATATCGGAGAGGCGAGTACATGTCGGTATATATTGGCCTGAGCGGGAGTCGGGTTGCAAAACAGAATATATTCAGTTTTAGGGGGGAGGTGCTTCAAAAGAATATCTGCGGTCCGGCGCAAGATAAACAAGGACGTTAGACTTGCTAGCTCCTCACTCCTAGCTTTCCCCTTTTCAATCTCCTTTCTCGATGCCCCTGGTTGTCTAGACTTGACGATAGGTCCTTCGAACTCTTTCATAAACATTTTGAAAGTGCCTAGGAGCCCAGGATTGACGAAATCCACCATTGCAAAGAATTCACTCAAGTCGTTTTGAATCGGTGTTCCGGAAAGGATAATGCGTCGAGCGGTATTAAGCGACTGTATTGCTTGGGCACTTTTATTCTGAACAGTCTTCAACCTATGCCCTTCATCCGCAATGACGATATCGATTCCGCGACCCTTGGTTAGCTCTTCTTGTACTGTACGCAGTCTTTCATAACCGATAATCATCACGTTATAACTCATTCCCATCGTAAAGTCCGTCAGTCTCATGTGTTTTCCGTCCGCAACAAACACACCAAGCCGATCATTTCCTAGCCATTTTTTGAATTCCTTTTGCCAATTCTTTATAAGTGTAACCGGACACACGATGAGAGCCTTTTTGACAACTGGTGGCGCCTCATGAATTGGGTTCTGCTTCATTAAAGTCCAAAGTAAAGCAATCGTCTGCAAGGTTTTCCCTAAGCCCATTTCGTCCGCAAGAACGGCACCTTCGCCATTGAAAGGACGCATCCCCATTACACATTCATAAAGAAATTTGACCCCCTCACGTTGGTGCTCTCGAAGATGTTTTCCCAGGAGGGGGTCAATAACAACATCAACAAGCTGCTTTTCCTTTGGAACTGATGTGGGACGTTTCATTACGATTGCGCCCGGCTGATTCGGGTCATGGCGTGGGGTGGGAACGTTATTCGGCTTTGACGGCAAAACAGTATCTTCTTTCAGGGGATTCTTGAAAGCGTTGTTCATTGCCATGCTCTTCGGTGCCGCCACATTGAGCGTTTTTGGGGCAACCTCGTCGGCTGTTTTTCTGTCTACCTTAAGTTTCGTAGCGAAATTAATAGGTTTAGAACCAGATATAGAAGTGCTGCGCGAAATATGAACTGGCGCCATTCGTGGCAATTCAGGTTGCTTTTTCGATGTGGTGCCGGTGGTGCTCTTGTTCACGCTCAAAAATGGGCGACCGGACAGATATTCTTCCTTGGAGAGTAGCGATTCAACTTCCACATCCTTCCCACCAACCGATAACATCGAGCCCGGTTCGAGTGTAGAATTGAACATCATTCGTCCCATGTCCCGTCCCGAGATATCTTGGAGATAGGCGTAGCCGCCCCGTAGGGTCAAAATCCCATCACCATCCCAGGTTTTATGTTTCTTTGCCGTAAATTTCCGCCTAATTAAGAACAAGCTATTAGCCACAACTCATGAGATGAAGAACAACCGCCCACAAGCATCAAAGTCTTTGTTTACCAAAGAACATTATAGTAGGCTTCCGTCCCGCCATCATCATCAGCCTTGACTCCATGCTGCCCAAGCTTCTCAGGTACATGATGCGAATTATTCACCAACGTCAACGGTTTCCGGTAGCTAGACCCGAGTTTTGTAGCCTGCTGAGTTATCTCCACTGAGACCTCTGGCTTCGCCTTTTCTTCGGTCAAATCGATCGAATCGTCGCTGATGCGGCGCCGCTTCGTTGCGTGCTGATGGTCGGACTCTGAGCTTAGCCGCTGCGCTGGGACATTAGGTGGTTTTCGAATAAGCGGCGGCTTAAAGGGCTTGAATGGCATTTTAACGAAACATGCCGTTTGTATTTGAGCCCAGCGACTTGAGCTTGAGGAACGGGCCTTCACGTCAAGACCAGAGGTCGAAGCCGAGCTCTGTCGTTCGTTACACGTCGCGTGAGTTTGAGCAAATCACGAAGTCACGTGGGGTCGATGCACCTTGATTAGTTCGTTAGTTGAACCAACTCCTGTGCTGTAGGGAGAATATATTATTATTGATTTGAGCTTTTCAGCAATTTTGAATAGGATTATCTGTCCACCCTTCATTAAGCAATCTGCCTCCCAAAACTGAGAACACCGCTCTAACTACACAACCTTTTTGTTGTTAACAAATGCAATGAGAGATTCGCTAACCAGCAAAACCAAAAAAAAACTCATCAACCAAAACCAATGCAGAACCGTCATTTGATCATCAAATCGTGTCCATCATCTCCATTTCCATCTCCTCAATCACTCGTAAAGATCTTTGTCCCCCATATCGTCCTCTATCTCGGCAAGCGCATCATCCTCGTCAATCATCTCCTCATCTTCTTCCTCGCTTCCCTCGTGGTTCGGAATTACCTCAATACGTCCTTCGTGCATTACCACACGAGCAACTTCGCCACTTTGGATGGCTCCTCTGAGTATCAACACAGCCAGGCGGTTCAATACCTGTTTTTCAATGAGTCGAGATAGTGGACGGGCGCCATAAGCCGGAGAATATCCAGCCTTGCCGAGGTAATCTTTGACTGCTTCTGAGCAGGAAATTTGAATATTTCGATCGTTCTGCTCCAGCCGGCGTTGGATCTCGCCCAGTCTAACATCGACAATCTTCCGAATTTCTCGTTTGGACAGCCTGTTGAAAATGATTATGCTGGATATTCTGTTGAGGAACTCGGGCAAGAAATAGTCACGCAGTGTGCCCATCACAAGCTCTTTCGTCGTGGGGTCGATGTTGCCATCAGCGGTGTTGGGCCGAGAAAGATACTCAGCACCAAGATTGGAGGTCATGACGACAATGCAGTTTTTGGCGTCGATAATTCTGCCCTGACCATCGGTGATACGACCGTCATCCATTAGCTGGAGGAGAACAGTCAAGACCTCTTTCGCAGCCTTTTCGACTTCGTCAAAGAGTAGAATGGAGAATGGGCGGCGTCGAAGAGCTTCAGTAAGCTGACCGCCAGTGTCATGTCCTATATATCCTGGAGGAGCGCCGATCATCCGGCTGAGTGAATGGCGCTCCTGGTACTCAGACATATCGAATCGAATCATAGCCTTGGGATCATCGAAGAGGAATTCGGCCAGTGCTTTTGTCAGGAGAGTCTTACCCGTTCCAGAGGGACCGCAGAACAGGAAACTTGGCGGTTGGTTGGGATTGGAGAGGCCGGATCTCTGCAGCCGAATGGCATTGGAGACGGAGGTAACAGCCTCCTTTTGGCCAATAACTATCTTGCCCAAGTGTGACTCCATATGGAGCAAGCGATCCTTCTCTGTCGTCTTTAGCCTAGTGACGGGAATACCGGTCCAGCGAGCAACGATTTCATTGATCTGATCCGGGCCGACTGCGTCTGCGAGGAGTGTTTCACCTCCGTCGGCGCCAGGGGCAGCAGCTGCAGCCGCCTCTTGGCGGGCTCGAATGGCTTCCAATTGTTCGATCCGCTTCTCAACATCAGGGATCGCATAATAGACTAAATCGGAGGCAGTCTGCATGTCGCCGGACCGCGTGGCTTCTTCTGCCTTAACTTTGAGCTGGTCCAACTTCATCTTTGCGTCCTGAATATCACGGGTGCGTTGCTTTTCTCGCTCATACTTTTCACGGAGCGGCCGTAGCTCCTCGTTTACGTTGGCAGCCTCTTGTTTAGCAACTTCCAATCGTGATTTCGAGGCGGCGTCCTTCTCTCGTTCCAGGGCATGGATTTCAATCTGTAGCTGACGGAGACGCCTTTCCATGGTATCGATGGCCTCCGGTTGTGATTCTCGGGCAACGCGGACTGCAGCAGCTGCTTCGTCGATCAAGTCGACAGCCGAATCCGGAAGTCGTCTGGCCGTGAGGTAACGGGCTGCCAAGGTAGCAGCAGAAACGATGGCAGCGTCGAGGATGTTGACACCGTGATGAACTTCATATCTCTCTTTCAAGCCTCGAAGAATCGAAATTGTTTCGTTCACTGAGGGCTCCTTGACGAGGACCTGTTGGAAACGGCGCTCAAAAGCCTGGTCCTTTTCAATATATTTGCGGTATTCTCCGAGAGTGGTTGCACCAATACAGTGCAGCTGGCCACGGGCCAACATCGGCTTGAGAAGGTTGGCAGCGTCCATACCGCCGTCGCCGCCGCTGCCAGCCCCCATCAGAAGGTGCATTTCATCCACAAATAGCACGATCATATCTTTTGAATCTTCGATTTCTTTCAAGACGCCCTTCATGCGCTCCTCAAATTCACCACGATATTTGCTGCCAGCAACAAGGGCACCGACGTCGAGAGAGAGGAGCTTGCATTGAGCCAAATTTGCAGGGACATCAGCGTTGACGATCCGCCGGGCCAAACCCTCAACGATGGTGGTCTTTCCCACGCCAGGCTCACCGATGAGGACTGGGTTATTCTTCGTTCGCCGACTCAGGATTCTGATGACTCGTCTGATCTCCTCTTCTCGACCGATGACGGGATCAATCTTTCCTTCTCTCGCCATCGCGGTCATATCGATAGTGAATCGCTTGAGATTTTCTGTCTCCTCTTCGGCATCGGCAGTTTTGGAGTCTACTCTCTTTGTCCCCCGGATCTGCTGCACTGCGGAATCAATCATCTTAACGTTGGGAATATTCGAGTCCGCCAGGCACCGCTTGACGGATGGGTCCTGCGCCAGAGCGGTGATTAGGTGGTCGATCGCAACGTAGCTGTCCTTTTGTGTTTTGGATAGTTCTTTGGCCGCGCGCAGCACTTTGGCGAGGGCGGGCGAGATGGCCATCTGGGACGGCGGAGGGTCCTGGCTCGGTAGTCGAACGAGGGACTTTTGTAAGGCACGTTCAAGTTGCTGTGGATCGCCATGGGCTCTTTCAATGACCTGCTTGAAGAGTGGGATATTTGCGGATTTGTGAGAGTCGTGGACAGGTTGTTGGCCTTCGGCGTCCTCGGATGTGGGGTTGAGCAAGGCCACGGCCAAATGAATGGGGACAATCTCGGGGTGGGCAAACTGTTCAGCCAGCTCTCCAGCTTGCATCAGGGCATGGTTTGCCCTATCTGTGAATTGTGAAGTGTTCATTGTGACGTAGGTAGGGGATTAATGAAATGCAATCGGAAGAAGTTATTTGGTGGGGGGTAGGAGTTCCCAGTCATGAGTTGTGCGGTGTATGTACAGAGAGGAGAAAGTAAAAACAAAAGGAAGAAAACCTGGACAGCCAGCGGGCAGGATTGGGCCTGATATACGATGGGCCGTTGGGCAGCTCGTTCATTCTTGTGCCCGTTTTGCTTTCACGCGCTTTTCGAGGCGCTTCGGGAAATTGACGGCGGCTTCCAGAATCAACGACATCATACCACGTGACAGCGTGCTTTCGGTGCCGCTGATTGGTCGGTGAGCAGTGTGACTAAGCGCCACGGGGCGCCTTCCTGTTTTGCCCTGTCAATGCGGCTCTGGGCATGCTGGCCAATCAGATGCGCTGATCCAGTGTTTGTTGACGCTGTTCCCCTTTTCGCATGCAAACGGTTTGCTGAGGCGGCACGATTGATAAGGCTTAGTGCAAGGAGCCAGTTTCATCTAACCGCCTTGCTATAATTAGGGAGTGGGAAGTGAATACCTTGCACAGGTATCAGATGCCAATCGATTCGCAATGCCTTCCATCCTCAAAAGGATTGGCAAGCTGTGCAGGGCTCAGCCGGTAAGACAAATATCCATAACCTCTCGTGGTAAATGCTGGGACTTAGTCGCCATAGGGTGCTGCCGCTTACATGAAAAGCAGGTAAGCTGATCCATCCGGATGAGCTCTTTGCCTACACAAACGGTCATTTTCTTGTTGATGAGCCGCGCCAGCTAGCACGACGCTATGTCAGTTTCAACCTCGATGCTCTGTGCAGCATTGCAGCGGGCGCCGGCGGAGTATCATCTCCGATAACCGCCATTGAGAAGATGGAGGGTGGCTTCAGCAAAGCCTTTCTGATGAGAAAGCAAAATGGAGAGGAGGTCATTGCAAAGATCCCATGTCGAAATGCTGGACCATCAGTACTCACAACCGCGTCAGAAGTCGCGGTTTTGGAATACGGTTAGTCTACCGCATTTCTCACTCGGCGAGACTTACGGAGTATTTAAACCATTTATAAAGTACGGCATCATACGAGCATCCCGGTACCGCGGGTCTTTTGTTGGGATTCCGATAGCTCAAATTCCGTTGGCGTTGAGTACCTGATTATGGAAAAGGCCCCTGGAATCCCGCTTTTCCAGCGATGGGGCGAGATGCCAGAGCTTGCGAGGATGGAGTTGATCAAAAACCTGACTAAACTTGAGTCTGAGCTATCAGCTATTCGGTTTCCGGCATATGGTGGTTTATACCTCTGCTCTTCTGACGCTCATCCCTTGGACAGCTTCCCTCTTGACCACAGTATTGATCCGTCAAAATCTTACTACCTAGGATCAACATGTGATCGTTCGTTTCATTTTGACAAGGGAGAAAAGGCGCCTAGGCCCAATATCAATGCCGGTGTTAACAGCGGACCATGTGAGTAGCTGAGAAATGTAGCCGTTACTTGCTCTAAGATTCTTTTCCAGGGTCTTCTCTCTCAGAGCTTGGAATATCTATTGCGAGGCGGGAAATTCTCCGCATTACTCAGAACCCACCTGAGACAAAGGGCACTTTTCATCACGGAACCGTCGAAGAACAGATACATCTTCTAGAAATCGCCATTCCGGTAATGCAGCAGTTAGACTCCCATCCCATTCTGTCTCAATTCTCGCAACCCGTCTTGTGGCATACCGATCTGCATATGGGGAATATTTTTGTTTCTAGCAACGACAATTCAAAGGTTGTTTCATTAATTGACTGGCAGTCCTCCTCGATACTTCCTGCATTTCTCCAAGCGCAATGGCCAGATTTTCTGAAGCCTCCTCGAAAGTACGTCAAAGGGTTTGTTCATCCTAAACTTCCGGAGAACTTTGACGAACTGGACGAAGAGAGCAAGAGCATTGCGCTCTACGAGTGGAATCAGGCGAAGATGACAAAAGCGTACGAAGTTTCGAACTATCTAGAAAACAGGGCGGCTCACAATGCGATGAATGCCCCTCCCGTGTTTAAGGAGCTGTTCGTTCGCTGTGGAGAGACATCAGAATTTGGAGTTCTTCCTCTCCGCGAGTGCTTGATAGAAATATCCCTGAATTGGACGTCCTTGGGATTTGAGGGTAAATGCCCTTGTAGCTTTAGCGAGGAGGAAATTGAACAGCACGCTAGTGAATTCGAAGGAATATGAATCGTGGCACAGAATTCAGCAACTTGCGAGGGATTGTCTGGATACCGACGAGGATGGATGGATAGCACCGGATCTAGACATTGTGGAAAAGCGTAGGAAAAACCGCGAACTACTAGCCATGCTGGTTGAGCAAATGGCTGGCGAGAAATCACCCGAGGAGGCCAGGAGGATGTGGCCGTATCCTGACGGAAACTGAGCTTCCAATGATAATAATTGTGGATGGTTGAGTGTGTAATCGGGCAAAAGGGTGTCTTCTAAGTTTCTGCAACTGAAAGCGACGGAACTGACGTCTTCTTCGGCAAGCCTGCCCTCGTAGACAACGTTAAGATCTGGCCCTCGAATATATACAATGTACTCCGTACCATGGTTGCACATATCAGTCTTGATGAAGCGAAGAGCACAAGGTTCCAGCCATTCCGAAGGCCCAGCTCGAGGGTGGCGCCGCTTGTCCTTCATCGCACGAAAATAAACCGTCAGGCTGAGCTAGGATCAGTTCCACACCTTGTAGAGATGTACCTGTTGGTTGCATCTGATCCAGCAAGATAAACTCATTCAAGTATCTTCATCTCCGACAAGGACCAGAATTCCCGTTTTTCCCCTCACAGAGAACCCGCCCGCATCCACTCCATGCAACCGTGTTCCCAGGATAGCAAGCTGCGATGCAAACAGCAGATCAGCCCAGTAGTGAGATGCTCCGGTCCACGGCCGGATCTGACTGGGTGCAGAGTGGACAGGGAGTGCTCCGCCATCAAAGTCAAAGTTGTGGGCGAGCAGGCAAGGATCCAAGGCGCCGTGGAACCCGTCCAAGGAACACCCTCCCCCATGATAGGGCGAGGATGTTCAGGGCAGCGCAGAAAGAGAGACGGATTCCATCCGGTGGAGCGGTCCTTTTCGCTCGTCGACGTCATGGGCTGAGTTCTTTTGTTTCTCCCCGCTCCTTGGATTGCGGGTTGTGATGCGATTGCGTCCCGGGTTTGGAACGGCATGTATATATATATTCGGGGAGATGCCTCGATTAACTATCGGAAGGGTCTGTTTGAAAGTTGGACTCGTTTGCCGTTTATTGTTTTCAAGGGAGCCTTGGTGAAGAGAAGAGGCCCATTGCACGGCGACTTACACGTCTTCAGTGCAAGAGCTTTTGAACAGTGCGGCCATTCTCTCTGTTTTAGACAAACCTCTGGAAAGAAAAAAAAAGAGATTCCTTTCTTTTGGAAACATCACATATTGTTTAGAAAAGATCTTTTATCGCGATATAACTAGCGACAATGGCCAAGAAGCCAATCTTCGTGGCCACTCATCCTCGAGCCTGCTCCACGGCATTCGAAAGAGTGAGAAAACTATCCTTTCCCGCCGAGAAAGCGAGAGCTAATGTCGTCTAGGTCTTCATGACGCGCCGTGACACGCTGAGATGCGTTCATGAGCCATTTGGCGATGCCTATTATTACGGCCCAGAGAGGCTGGGCAGGAGATATGAACATGATGAGAAGGCGAGGATTGCCACGGGGTTTCAAAATTCGACATACAAGACGATTTTCGATCGTTTAGATAGAGAAGCATCCGAGGTCTGACCCATTTCCCTGTCGATTGAGAAATTGCGGTTTCGCCTTTGCTTTTGCTTCTTGTCTTTGCTTTCTCTGTCTTCTTGTCCTGTGGCTTTTTGCCCGTCACCTTCTTATCTGTGAGCATGGGTGTCTCATACCACTATCGCGATGCTGGCCTTTTTCATTCGGAGATCACTCGAACTTGGACGCCTATACGGTTGAACCTCCCGAAGACAAGCTTTCCACATTCGTCCCCTATCCCCACGGCCCGTAATTCGTATTTTGATGTCGTTGTGTGGCTCATACTTACCTTGAAACAGGGTCCTCGTCCTTTTATCAAGGACATGGTCTACTATCTCTTCCCCGAAGATGGGAAGCCTGCCAGCATCGCTCCATCATTGCAGCAGACCAAACGTGGCATCGGAACTGATGGTGGTGCGAACGGTACCCACACCAGCAATGGCGTTGGTCGTGATGGGATTGCTGAAGAACCGGGCAACCCGACGGTTGTTCCTGTTGAACTTTTGTCAAAGTTCCATTTTGCATTCTTGATCCGTGATCCCCATTACAGTATTCCGTCGTACTACCGGTGCACGATCCCACCGTTGGATAAGCTCACTGGCTTCTACGAATTCTACGAATCCGAAGCCGGATACGAGGAGGTGTGCCGATTCTTCAACTATCTTCGAGATATCAAAATGATCGGGCCTCATATCGCCCACGGCAAGAACATGGCAAACGGTGCCTCGGGCACGAACGGGAGCCATGCTGCCAACGGCGCAGGCGCACATGATGCCGTTGAGATCTGTGTGGTGGACGCAGATGACCTTCTCGACAACCCGGCTGGTATCATCGAGCGATTTTGCCACAGCGTCGGTGAAAAGTACACCCCAGATATGCTGAACTGGGACAACAAGGACGACCAAACCGTTGCTCAGGAGGCCTTTGAAAAGTGGCCCGGGTTCCATGAAGATGCCATGCATTCGACGTCTTTGAAACCCAGACTTCAAGTAAGTGGCACTGGTCTAATTCCTACCAAAGCGCACGTGGATAAGCTAAGACTTTTCGAATAAGAAGAAAAAGGCAAAATCTGAAGAAGAGTTTGATCGTGAATGGCGCGAGAAGTACGGTGAAAAGGGAGCGAGGATCATCAGATCGGCCGTCGACCGCACGATGCCGGACTATCTATACATGAAGCAGTTTGCTATGAAGGTCTAAGTAGTCTTCGTGGATTAGAGCATCTGTTTGGTCTTCCGTTCTTATTTTCGGGGCCTGTTTCCTTGCTTGTGTTGTGGGACGACACCTCGGACGTAGCATTGCCCTTAATATTTACACATTTGGACAATCGTATCAAAGTCGGGCAGGGCGCCGCCTTTTCGTATGCATGTACATTCATACATTGGTCTACCAAATTATATAGATTACTTTTAAAAGTTGGAATTCCGTAAGGCGAATACAGCCAACCTTTCAAGTCTCTAGATTTATACTCCTCCCAAACCGCGCGTACAGCGCAACTTTCAATTGCCGCAACTCATCTCGCAGTTCACCGAGCTGCTCTTCTATTTTCGAGACTTCCTCGTCGATCTGTTCCGTGGATGCTAAGAGAAGGGCCTGCGCTTCGGGGAGAGGAAGGGAGATAAACGAATCGCCGATTTTGTAACTGCACAGGGAAATTGAGGTGAGACAACGGACTGGCACGGGGCGAGGGTATATAGGCACTTACGGGACTGGCTCGTCTTCGTCGGCGAGATCGAGCTCGGCAGATATTTCTTCGAGGTCTTCTTTGTCTTTCTAGAGATTGCGAGTATGTGTTAGTTTAGGCTTCTATGTTACGGTGTCCAATGTCTTTGGACACAATGAGGAGCATTAAATCCAGTAAACTCCATCATAGTGAAAAATCATAGCGGTGTTCCCAATATAAGTTGAAGATGCCTGAACGTGACGGAGCGCGGGGGAAACGGATCCCATACCTGTTTCGCCTTGAGCTGGTCTTCTAGCACCGTTTCACGCTGGTGCAATCTGCTGAAACGATTGATTTTCTCCTGGTCTTCGCGCCGGACTTCGGTTTCTTCTTGTGAGGCTTCCTCCTCTTTCGAGAGCTGCCGGGGGAAACGTCAGTGGGCTGGGGATAATCGGAGGAGGGGTAATGGTACCATGCGCCTCGAGAGCATCATTTTGACGAGTTATAGCGGCTGACGACCGTCAATAGCTACGTTGTCTCTTCTCGAAGTCCTCTGACTCGGAGGAACTGGATACTGGATGGGTTGTCCGTGATGGATTAAAGTGGTTGGGCACAACGAGGCAGCTAACCAGTCAACAGTGGCACGCGAGCTATTCTCACAACGTTTTCCCCCCAGGGTCAACCCAAAGGCGGAGCAATATCAATGGCACCGTCAACGGACTGCCATCAAGATGCCAAATCCTCTCTTTTCCTCTCCGTCCTTCCGCTGCTGCAGTTCGCCCGCGTCGACGATGACGATTGTTGATCAGCCGCTAACGAGCTCAACGACCCTAGTGGCTTGGCACCGCAGTGACGACGTTGGCCATCACCGCCGTCACGCATCGCCAGGCACCGCGAAAGACAGATATCGCCTTCAATTCCAGCACTTCTCGTTGTCTATGAGTGCTGGCCTGACCTCTGTGCCGTCACAGACTTTGCCTCTTTTTGGAGCCTGGTGGACCTCGCAGCCTCCGACAGCATAGCTGTCTCACAGACGCCGTTACTGGAATCTGTCCCGGTGACGTCCCATCTACCGTCCATCTGCAGCGATTCCCACCGCCATCATGAGGGCAGCTCTGGACTTGCCGCTCATTTCCCTGCTCGCTCTTTTCCCCGTATTGCCGTCAGCGCAAATAAATTGCGCCAAGATCGTCGTCGATGGCATAACATGGAACCTAAGTAAACTGGCGGGACCGCATTCCGTCTACAACGTTGTAGAGCATCCCCCATCTACGATAAATACAACATATACGCTGGACATATGCAAGCCCCTGCCGAAAAACAGCCAATGCTCGAGCGGGACATTTGGTGCGCCCACCCCTTTTTATCAACCTGTTCTGAAGCAATCGGATGGCTGACACCTGCCTTTTTCCTGGCCCTACAGTATGCGGTATCGAACGAACAAAAAACAAAGATGCCGAAGTCATTTCGGGAACGATTCCCATAGCAGGGAATTATGCTCACAGCTCTGGTCGAACCCTCGACCCCAAAATGACCCGTCTAAAAGCCAGCGATTCGCAACAAGAAGGTCTCCGGATCGAACTACACGGTGGGAAATACTTGAAACGCAAACAACAAGCTGTGATAGAGTTGATTTGCGATAAGAGTCGGAGTGGATTGGATGACGAAGATAAGCAGCAAAGAAGTAAACGAGAAGGTGAGAGCCCCGAGGACAAGGACCCGGAATCGTCGGACGGCGATCAGAGCGACCCTAGCAAGGAGAAAAGCCTTCAGTTCAAAAGCTACGGAGAAGTCGGCGACATTGACGTACTGAGGGTGGACTGGCGAACAAAATATGCCTGTGAGGGGATGCAAGAAGGCGGAGAAGGTGGAAAATCGAACCGTTGGGGATTTTTCACCTGGCTTATCATCCTGTAAGTTTCTTTTTTTTTTTTTAACGGTGTACAAGGAACACGCCTATATTACACTTTTGTTATATACTGACAATCGCATTCAGCCTTTTCCTCTGCATCGCTGCATATCTCATTTTTGGCTCATGGCTTAATTACAACCGCTACGGCGCTCGAGGTTGGGACCTATTACCCCATGGCGACACAATTCGTGATATTCCCTACCTCATGAAGGACTGGGGTAAGAAGGTCATAAATACTCTCCAAGGCCCTGGGTCGCGAGGCGGCTATAGTGCAGTTTGAAATCTGCAGCGAAGGTTGCATTTCGGTATCCCCTTGCTTCCTCCGTTATAACTCGTAGAAAGAGGCCCGGTATATTGAAGTTTCCTCTAATTCCTTTTTATGCGCATCGAAATACTCGTATTGTTCTCTTGTATACCATGCACTCACGAGCCAAACCTATCCTATATGTGTATTTTTCAAATGGCATGATGCAGTCGAATTTGGATCAGTGCTTTAAGTGATGGGGCCAATATCATAATCTACTCTTTGTTGGTTTCGTATTGATTCCGCTACTTTTATTCATCCCTGCTTCAACAAGAATCCTTGGTTTATTATATCCGCAATAACCGCAGCGATTTCTGCAGGGTCAGCTGCAAGTATATCAACCAGTCAGTTTTGACTCATCCTAAGCCTGTGTTCGGATCAGAGTGCCGAAGAATCTAGATGTCCCAATTCATTGAGTCCCCGAATATATCTCCATCCTATGAGCCTGCCGATTTTCGAATTCTCGACGGCATTACGTGCCGTAGAAAGAATGCTTCAATATCTAGGTCTTTGGATGGAGTACATAGACAACTTGAACAGCACTCTCAGGGCAGTCGAAAAAACGGTTAATCAACTACGGGGTCTGGCGACGCAGATCACTTCACACCCAAAATAGCACAATCATGTATAAGAGGATCAAAGCAGAGACGCAGGCGCAGAGGTCGTCCCTGCGAGAGCGGAATCGCGAATGTTGGGCTTGGGGAACCATTCTCAAGGAAATGCAAATAGGGGCACAACTTGGCAAGCTGGCTTCCAAAACATTTGAATCAAAACGTTTTGTTAACCAAATGATTTCGAAACAGCCTTCCTCGAGGCTTACTCGATTCACCACATAATCGTCTTGCCCAGGGAGAAAAATCTCCTGAATTCTTTGACGATGGACGCAATCTTAAACTGGAAAGTCTATAAAAATCATTAGTTTAATTAATACCTGCTCATTCTAGGCAAATCCAAAGTACCCCGAGTTGATACCCAAGAACTCACAGATAGCACAGATTGTGAGGTCGAAGTGGCTTTTGAGACAGATAAATTTTGGGAAAAAGGAGAGCTTGAGTTCAAGGTCACCACTATAATGCGCTCAAAGGCCACGATTTAAAGTAACCCGTGTGGTATTCGATATTTCTAAATCTGTATCCACCCCGACGGCGAGAAGAATCACGGCGAAGGGGTGCAATGTCAAGATCGCAACAATCATGTTCATTTATTTCTACGCCATGGAGCTTACGACGCATGGGTTTAGAAGCCATCAATTTTCTTTACTGTTTTGTCCATTCAAGCTTCAGCTGTTTGTTTGGCTATCGCCTGGGCCCGGAGCCTAAGAGCTACAGAGCGGTAGCATGATCGTAAGTCGAGTTCTTGGGCTTTGTAGAACATCGCAGCCTTGTCAACAAACAGGATCTAATGCCTAAATGGGGCAGCCAGATTGTATCCACTTTGTTTAGGTTGTCGTATTGGGCCAGGAGACATTGCAACCCCAAAAACCTATTACCTATCGAAGCTCACACGTCCAGATTTTTGGCACGCGATGCATTGGTTCCCATAACAATTTCAGCCCGTCCTGAGGATGAAAAATAGTAGCAAGTTAATTTATGCTTCAAATAGCATTTATCATGCTTTAAGAGGTTTGCCCGTAAAAGGGCTAGCTTTCACCTGATTGGGTACATTATATCATTATTCCAATGGGAGGGTATCAAAAACAAAAAGCAAAAACTGAAAATCGATGCAGCGCGATGTTGTTGGATATCCACTGAAGGGGTATATCTTGTTTCCTTTGCCGCCTCATGCATGAAGTTCATTCCCATGCTGTATTCTATGAAACCGGGCATAATTGCGGCTAAAAAAAAAAAAAAAAAGTTTTGTCACTGGTGTGATCAGAAACAAATTTGACGTAAAGATTGGCATCGGAGACTCATTTCGTCACTTGGACAGTTGGCTAGGTAGAATAATGTGCGCTCTCATTAGGGCTTCAGAGTGTCTCAGCTGCATCCTGAGCAGCATTTTGCTGAGAAGTCGGGTTGAGTTTAGCGTGACAAGAACACGCCAACCGGTAATATCCAAATAGACCAGTTATGGGTCATATAATACTTGCAATAGTCATTTTCGAGTTGCTGGTGCGGGAAATGGTCAAATTTTCTAAGGGCCGGTCCGGTTTGGGCTCAACGAGGAAGGGCCTGTTGTTTTCTGCCGGGGAAAGCATTGCACCTCGCTGCTGTTGTTTTGATAGAAGCAGCTGGGTCGTTTGTTCAACCCACTCCCATCCTTCCCACTCCTGATCGCCTTCCTCTTTCCTTGACGGCTCACTTCTTGGGGGTTCTACGAACCGAGCTCTGACTGGCGATGCGGCTGAGGACGGCGATGAAATAGGTGGCGGTGTGACTGTGAGGGGTGACTGAATTTCACTGTTTTGCCATACCCAGCTCCCATCGATCCGAGCCTGAAGGTCGCCGGATACATACGCAATCATCTCTTCGTCCCGCTCCAAATTCACGAGTTCTCCATGTTGCTGTCTCTCTAAAACACATTTTAAAAAGAAAGAGAGGTAGCGCCCAGCAGCTATGTTGACAGGCCGTACATCACCAATAGCAGCACTGGCCTGAATACATAACAATGCAGAAGAGTACTCTGCTTTGAAGAGAAGCAATAAAATGCACCGCCAAATGTGGGTGCATAAAACCGTGCTTGCAGCGGCTGCGAGTAAATAACGCCACTCTCCAGTCCCAGTACCGCTGGAATCTAGAGAACTCGGAGAGCGCATGCAGCGTGCGAGTATACGGGTGGTATCATGAGCAACGGCTAAGCATTGTTCCAAAGCGTGGCGTCTCATTTCGGGTGAACAGGCGGGAGAGAGGTTATGTCGATGGAGAATGAGTCTGGTGTTCTGGAGATATATTATTGGTGATAAGGACTGCGGGTCGAGATATTGGTTCGAGTTAATAGCATATTCCGCAGGGAAGGTGGCCAAGCACATCCTAAAATGGCGCTCGAATTGCTCCAAAGTTTCGGTGGAAACCACTTGGGATCGAAGTCCTTTTGCCAGTTGAGATACAGAACGTAGAACATGAATTGTAGCTAGAAGCGGTGTGGTTCTCGGCTCCGCTACGGCCGGAGCTCCTTCAGATATTAAATGCTCTTCAATTGCTGACGGCAATTCGGCGTCGCAATCTTCATCATGAATTAAAAGCGGTCGGCCTAGTTCGAGTACAACGATCCTATATAGTTGCATATTAGGATCCCATTTTGAAATGCGGAGAATCATACAGCTTCACCTTTCCCAGGCATATATTGACCACCAAATTCTCCTTCTCATTTCGGCATCAACAGGTGTCCATGCCGCAGACTCGATGTGCAACCCTAGATCCTGGGATATTCGCACCGCGCAACCCAACCAAACCCAGCTGGCCGACTTTAAATTGATTTCATACGAAAAAAGGCTTATTAGCATGGCTGCACGGGCCGGATCCACCGAAAACGCGTCTTGCCAGAGGTCGGTTAAAGTGAAACTTGTCTGAATGTATTCCTTGCCTTTCGCTATCAGTGCGGGGTCTAGAGAGTGCAAGGAGCCGCACGCTAAAACTGCAAAGAAGACAGATGCCCATCCTCGCGGAACACCTCGGAGTGATCCAGCGCGGTATATCCGGTCGTAATCATCTAACAAAGCCGGCCAGTGGAGGATTGGGAAAACTGAATGTATGCAGGAGAAATAGTGCCTCAAAAGGACATCAGCCACACTTTTAGGCGGTAGAGGGGGTGAATCTGTCGTCAACAGGGGCTGAGATCGGATATACGAAGGGGTAAGGGGGAAATTTATCAGGCCCTGTCCATGTTGTCGCATTTTTGAGCATACGCTAGCATAGTTCTGCTTTGCACTCGGCGTGTTAATGCGGTGCGGTCGACAGCCGATCTCTGGGATTTTCGGCGGTCCTTCGTTTGGCTCGTAATCATGATCCTCTAGCTTTGGCATACCCATGCGAAGTTGATGTAATTGCTGTTTGGCTTGAGCAAGCTGTCGCTCGAGGTCTTGAACCTGCCTGCGGGGCGTGGTTAAGTCCTAGAAACTTAATCGAGGGATATGAGAGAACCAACTTTATGGAAGACATCCGCCTATTGGTCTCCTTAGTGAAAAGGCACCTCACGTTGCGATTGGAACATTCTGTACAGCTTGAGGATTCGGAGGCGTCGCACTATGGAGAGAAGTCGGATATGCTTCGTCAACAGAAGGAGAAACCCGCCCATTATCACAGTTTCATACCTTGACTTTCCGCTCGCGACAGGCATCGCAACTAGGGTCTTTTCTTCGTTGTCGATACGCCCTTTTGTGTGGTTGCTGGGAGGCGGGAACGATGTGTCCAACGGGTATATTTGTAGTTTCTGGAATTGCATCCTGTGTGTGACGTGCACCAATTAACAATGAAGGTGGTGGGCCAGGCCCGCTCGGAGGCCGCGAATATGGCGATGGGTTGGAGAAGGAGTTCGAAGGCGCGGTTGGCCCCGGTGATGCGGAGTTGTAGAGTAGATGGGAGATTTTCAAACTATCGCTGGGGCGATCAGGGGAACGTGAACTTGGATTCAGTGAGGAATCACGAGCAGCAGGAGGTTGCGGGCCATCGGCGGTTATGGCAGACGAGCCGTATAGAATTGGCGGTTTTGCTTGCATTGGTTGCGACGGAAGGTAAGAGCCGTGCATTTTCCCTGCTAGAACCTCCTTCAGGTTGAGAAGTGACCCTCAATCTCGCATCAAAGCTGAAGCATTGGGGCGGCGAACTGTTGATGAAGTCGTTGTATGAGTCGGGTACGGCAACAGTACGGGCGTTGAAAGGAAAAATTATTGAAGGCATAAATCTACAAAAGGCTGTCTTGGTTGCATATGTAGCCCAGGGCCCAGAGCCCAAATAATCGAAGGCTCAATTTTAGTTCGCGGAGGCTTCGCGATCAGGGATTAGTGGGATCGAACCGAAAGTAAATTCGTGGGTTCCCTTGGTCGTCTTATCGGGTGGATTCCCGCAGAACTTGCACACAGCTCTGGAGCCGGCGCATCCTACCGAAATCATAATCAAACTTCAAGAGGGAGTTTCAGGGTAAACCTGGTTGCCGAGGTATCGCTAAATTTTGACAGGTTTGTTACGGCAGGATTGCACGAATCGTGTGGATCCAATTACACGACGCCGTTCCCTTTCTTGGGATCGATTTCATGACGATCAGGCTTCTGCAGCTAGAAAATCGTAATAAGATGGTTGAAGAAGGGCCCAAACGCGTGCCACAGCGTAAATGTTCCGAAAATAGCCAGGCAGGTTGAGCGGCAGATACAAGGGTCGAGTTGTCGGTCAAGCCAGGAGTTGATGTTCCATCGAATCCAACAGAATATTGAAATTCGCGTCTTAAACACAAGTCGACCCCGTAATGCAGGCCTCGATAACATTGAACGGCCCTACAAGGGTTTGCGGCAGGGTCGCGGAAAATTGCCTTGGAGAAGCTGTGGGAAAAGCCTGGGGTCCCTCGTATTTCATGATCAGGCTAGAAGACCGATGGAATTCACCTCCCCAAATCGAAGATAGCCCGCTCTGGTGCCACTCCACCACTGCGACCTGGAGCCGGATGTTCTTTCAGCCTGCCCGTCGTGCCCGACGGTCCCCACGACGCAAGATCGAGCATTGCTTTGGCAATTCGGCCTGATTTACATTCTGCACAACATTGCCCTACTCCATAGTCAAAATTTTGTTTATAGAATCGCTCCTCGAGAGAAGTTGCCCGCTGATACTTCCCAAAAGTAGCATCAAGCACTGGTATACAGTGTTTCACATCAAGGTTTGTCAGACCACGGTGACCGTCTGGGAACGGCCAGGGATCGTCCAATATAACAAGACCGGCCCAGCAAAGTCCGAAAGTGAAAATTGGCTCATCAATCCTCTCTAATTGGAAGAACCAAGACCTGAGAGTGACGAGTGAGCGGTCTCCTCAGGATAAGCATCTTGAATGTCGGATGCCACGCTTTGTGATCCACCAACACGGGACAAAGACATGGTTTTGACTCCATGTGGCTGAGATTGTGGTACATACGTGCAGTAGCGCACAGGACTGGTCTGGTTCTCCCACTGTTGTTTGGTTTGAGCAGGTCAAATCGTATGCAACATGACGGGCTGCAGCCTCGACGCACGGGCAAAGGACAGGCAGCGGCTTGGGGGACAGAATGGTGGCGAGAGAGAACGAGAGAACGAGAATCGTCACGCCGCTAGCGACTGATTCCGATATATCTGAGGAAGAGAAGACGCCAGATCAAAGTTGATGGTTTGAAGTCGAGGACGCCAGAGATGAGGAGCGTCGTTGTGCTGTCACATGGTGCTGAGCCTCAGACTAAGCGAGCGATCATCTTGTTCTCTGCGCCCCTCCGCAGCTGCTCAAGAATCTCCTCTCCGAGCATCAATAATCTCGCTGCGTTTCTTCTTCCGCAAGCTGCTCGGGGGCGCTTCGTTCGCCTGCATAGGGCACGGATAGTTACTTCCGTACCCCGCATATGGGATAGCTGCTCCACATGGAGCCCATCACCGTCATATACGCTCTGGGCTCGCGGCACCAGATACAATGTGGAGTTAACCAGGGCGAACCGGAACTACTACAAAAGACTGACAGAACAACGGCAGGCTTTATTCTCGGGCAATCGTGGGTGACTGCATCAGCTCGCCAATGCAACTTGTATGCCCGGCCCACCGGATGGTTTGAGTGACCGACGCAGAGTTTCAGTACCCAGAAGAGCGAGCCACCACCGCATTTGTGTCACGTTGGGTCAGCATGGACTGTTGAAAGAAAGCAAGTCAAGGCCCAGCCGCCCGGCTGTCAAAATCGCAGTGTTGGGTTGGGACAACGATGATCGACAGAATATCCGATGGTTACGGTTCACCACGACTTTTATGTTCTGCTTCCGCTGTCAGATTCACATGGATCTCACACCCCTGAAAAACCACCAGCAAATGATCCATGCCTAAAAAAGCCTCTGAATGATTAATTCAACTTGTCACCCCAGCGCAGAGAGGTAGAATCGCCGCGAGAGGCGACATCTAGCCCCTTTGAAAAGGGCGGTTGCTGTCAGCACACATGCTTTCGCCAAGGGAGCGAAATAATGGTATCGAATGAGCCCCCGAAAGCAAGGATAAATATTAACGCTGACCATGGAGGATCCCTGACCGAATTGTCTTCGGTTGGGCACTCCGAGCAGCTGGGCTGGATCCAGAATCCTGCCGCAGAGTCCAGAACGAGATGCGGAACATCCGGTGAAGTTCCACCAGGAGAAAGTATCATTATCTGCCTATCCGCTGCAAGCTGAAGGAAACGCTTTTCGAATATAACGTTCGCAACGGGACGGGAACCCTTCGTACTCCGGACTGCCTCCCGTTTGAAGAATAATACCGCGAGAGCCCGACGATCGATTCCGTTTTGGAGGATCAATTCATGGAGCATGTTACGTATGCCGCATACGGGGTGCGACGCAGTCATTTCCCCCCTTGACCGGACGGGGTCGCATTTTGGTCTCACATCACCCTCAATGAGATCAGCACATGGTTATCGTGGCACAACACACACATCGAGCCCTACACTTCCGGTTTGCTCGTTTGACCATTACCGACACCCAATCACGTCTGGGGAATGAGGCCAAGCATGACTAGTGATCGCTCGCAAAGGGCCCGTGCACATAGGTGCGATGACCCGCATTTTTGCGATGTGAGCCGTACCGACGTTGATTGGGCGGGCAAGCTGGCCAAGCATATGCGATCCTCGCCCTTGAGATATAAATAATAAGTGGACAGAAATTGAGGAGCTACGAGCGAGCTCCGTGTGTGGACTTGCACTCTGACCATGAGGTATTTGAAATAGGTCCTACCCGCTAAAACTCGCAGAGCATGGACAACGACAACTGGACTTCAGTTCCACTACTACTCAAATTACTAACTTAGTGCGTACCAAGGACGGAATACATTGATTTGTTTTTTCCAACAGCTTCTTTGGGTTGCGGCGCTGTTATTTACGCCGGTCGATTCTCCGTACTCCGTACTCCATCAAATATGCACTGGATCAATTAGGAGACTTGATCAAATTTTCTGTTCAACTGAAATTCCGATTGGAAGGTGCCTTGCAACTCTTCTTCAAATAGGCCCACTTGATTTCATAAATTGAGTGCTTTAAAAGCACCGGATCTCCATCCGCCCACAGATGTGGGAAGAGTTACCGCCGTTTTTCCCCCCTAGATATGGTCAATTCCAGGCCGCCAGCATGCGGTCTTGTGCCACAGTCAGAAAATAACCCCTGCGATACTCCGTACTGCAACCCTCTTTCTTGCCCGGTGTTTAGGTCCGGTTTGTCACGTTCGAAGCGGAGTTTTCTCCTCATGTTGGTCGCAGTCCCTTTGTCGGAAAATTTCCAGGGATCCCAGGTGGAGTCTACACTACCTCGGGTTTGAAAAACAGTTCTAAGACACAAACTAAAGAAACGGGGTAGTTCCCCAGGGTTGAAACGGCCAATTTAGCAAACAGAGGTAGGGACCGCCTGGGTTTTCATGGGATCGTTCATGTGAAAGTGATGATGGGGATTTATCATGCACCATATAACTCAGCAGGATGCTCGCTTTCAGACATGAGACACTAGATGCTTTATAGCTGACAAGAGCTCATTCATATGCAAAAACATACCTGAGAAAGCAGAAACGGTCAAAACACCCCCCAGAACTCCTTGCATGCAGACGTTGCAGAATCAAAAAAATAAATCATCCCTGTTCTTCCTTTTCCCCCTTAAACAACTCCCATCTGCGCATGATGGTATCAACGATTTTGGCTAGGCCTTCCGCCTCCTCCTCCACAACCTGGCCGGAAAGATCGATGCTACACCCGACAAAAACCGGGATGTTCATCCTGCGGGCCAGTGCTTGGGCCGTGCGCCTGGCATGGTCGATGGTGCCGGGTGAAGTGTACAAGGCGGTTGTCATTGTGTTTTTGGGATCGAAGCGCTAAAAAAGCAAAGATGACGGGATGGTATTAGCGTTTTCAGTTTCTGCACTGGTCTCCTTCCAAGGGAATAATCGGCAGATGCAAAATAGGAAAAGGAGACGCGGAAGATCACCAAGATTAATATTAGTGAACATAAGCGAGATGTAGTCTATTCTTCAACCAGAACCAGACATTGTTCTGTCAATCATTCCGCTCAAGCACACGAGGTTTCCAGTCTGTACTCCGTAGTTGTGTTTGAAAATGCAGGTATGACAGAAACGCAGAATGTTGCAGGAGAACATACATCGGGAATAGCATAGACCAGACTGCCCATCGGCCTCGTAGTGCCTTGCGACTCGCCAGTTGACGTTGTTGTGAGAAACACCGTCGCCGTCGTTGCGAAGAAGGTGAGATGGATGTGTAAAGTCGTATTCACTGCCTTCGGGAGCGGGAAGGAGATCTCACTAGGGGCAATGGAGAATAGGTCGCTTCCTTGAGTCATGGCGAGGGAGTAGAAGCCAGGTAGCAAAGGACTCGCCGCTGGAGAGTGAGAGCGAGAGAGAAGTTGCGCTGATGCCCGTGTTGCTTTCATCTTGGGCGCTGGTTGACCGCCAAGCACAGCGCCTCCACCTCACAAAGGGCAACTTCCACCTCGTTGGCATTTATTCCAGTGACGGCGACGACGGCACGGAAGATATGAGAGGAGTCTACGTAGATTCGTGTTGTGGATGACGCTGCGATTGCTTATACGATTCGATTCGCCAGATTGTCAGCGATATCAGTGCCGATGGAGAAGCATCCGCACCCGGGAACGGATTTACGACATGGACAGCGCTCTGATTCTGAGCAGGAAGAATGGGCCGGCGAATATGACCCGCTGGCAGATCCCCAAGAGCGCAGAGTCCTCTTTGCGGCCCTGGATTCATTCAGGTATGGCTACGTAGTGCATGATGCTACAGGGGCGGGATTCGCCCTATCCTTCGCATTTGCTACCTGGAACTGATTCAACTGTAATGTATCCTGTATTTGCTTCGGGCTCCAGGGCTGTCTGCGCTGTGCTTCTGGCGGATGAGTGAATTGTGACTATGACTGACTGCGGTTACCAGGCAGTATCGCCGTGTTCTACATCGAAACATCACCCATCGTCGCCGGCAGTCGTTCTACTCCCTACCGTCTTCGCACTGGGAGAAACTGGCGGCCCCGCCGTTTTGTATGCTCGACACTCTCAACAAAATCGACGACGCCATCGACTCAAATGCCGACATTGCAGAGGCCATTCTCGCCACGGGCCTCGCGCCCATGCGCCTTCCACTGGATCCGGCACCGCACGATGTCAGGAATTGGCGCAACAAGGCCACCTCGGAAGATATCAGCAAGGCGAACTCGACGATCCGCCAATTTTTCCGCGACTGGAGTGCCGAGGGTCAGCATGAGCGAGATGTTTCGTACGGGCCTGTGCTCCGCGCTCTGCGGCAGCGTTTCGGTGAGCGGCCGGCATCGGGGACCAAGGTTCTAGTTCCTGGCGCTGGCCTGGGAAGGCTGGTGTTTGATTTAAGTGTGGCAGGATATGCCGCCGAGGGGAATGAGTTTTCGTACCACCAGCTACTAGCGAGTAGCTGGGTGCTGAACCATACGCGAAAACCGGAGGAGTTTGCGCTATATCCATTTGCGCTCGGGTTTTCTAACCTGAAATCCAGATCGCAGCAGCTTAAGCAAGTCATGATTCCGGATGTCCATCCTGGGTCCGTTGTCAAACAGCAAAGCCTATTGCCGGAGAGCCAGCGCACGATGGGCTCGATGAGCATGACCGCGGCGGATTTTCTCATTCAGTATACCGAACCAGAGAGCAAGGATGCCTTTGACGCTGTAGCAACGGTTTTCTTTATCGATACTGCACCAAATCTGATTCGATATATTGAAACTATTCACCACTGCTTAAAGCCAGGCGGTCTCTGGGTCAATGTTGGTCCCTTGCTGTGGCACTATGAAGACCGGCATAATGGAAACCAGAGCAAAAGCGAGGGTGCGGACACGGATGACATTGAAAAGCTGGGCATTGTGGAGCCTGGAGCCGTGGAGTTTACGGAGGATGAAGTCTTACAACTGGTGAGATCGATGGGCTTTGACATTGAGAAACATGATACAGAAGCGGGCGAATGTGGATATATTCAAGACACTGAAAGCATGCTGCAGAATACGTATAGGCCATCGCATTGGGTCGCAGTGAAGACATAATTCCACTGACATTTAACCCGTTTTACATCCCAGGCGTAGTTAGAGACTGTAGCCGCGGGCGTGCTAATCCTTGACGAAGTGTAAGAAGACCATGCTGTTCAGGATCCCTTCTTTACAACCAAACATATTCACAAATATCGCATCGAGTATTATCACTCCCTGGAAGTCACTGCAGTATGGTGGTTACGAACAAATATCACATTGTCTTCCAACGACTGGGGTTATCGCAGTCAAGAATAAAACCCAACAAGGGCAGCAGGGGCATCTCCGTGCCAGTGGCTCATGAAATCCTATGTTCTCGTAGAGCAATGGTATTGACTAGAATCTATTGGATCAAGAGAGCAATCGCGACGAGGGATTGAGACGACGCCGTAGTATCCAACAGTCGGTGCTCAATCGTCGTGCATGCCATTGGCCTTTGCACCCTGCAAAGGCTTGCGGGAGAGTCGCTTGCTTAAGGCTGAACTTGAACAAGAGGCATGGGCACAAGATCATGCTGGCATGGATGCGTCAAAGGGACCAGGAAGGGGTTTGCAAGAGTGTGAGACCTTGTTTAATGGGTTGCGACGATGCGAGTTTCCAGCTCAACAAACAAGGCCCCCTGAGCCTAGCGCGAAAAACGAACGGGATGGAGGGTTCGTCGGCGCGAAAGGCCTGCAGGGATTGAGAATGAGAGCCCAAATCTTGCATAATCGGCGTTTTTTCTCAGAAATGTGATGGGTTGTTCCCCAAACCTGGTTGAATTTACCCGCGGCTGGCCGACGAGATGCCCGAAGCAGGAATTGCTGGAGCTTGAGTTGTGTGGCGCCAAGTTCAACACAATATTGCTCTGACTATCAACAACATGATAGATGAACTGCAATCACCATGCCGGAGAGGCGGTTTCCCAGGCGCATCTTGAGAGGTCAGGAGGTTGTTTTTCGCCAGTGACAATTGACGTTCTTCAGCAGCCCTTTTCGATATTTTAGGCAAGCATCTAAACTTCAACCTCAATAAACAGCAGTTGGCTCTTGTTTCGAGTCCAGTCTTGAGCTGGTGAATCATGATGCAGCTGTTGTTGTAGTGTTGACTGTGTTGATGTGCCGTCGACTCGAAACCCCGCGGCAAGTCAGGTGACCGCCACCAAGGGAACTCTGGCGGGACAGAGTTAACATGTCCCTTCACCCCGGAGGATTTCTCGTTCTCCAGCTGTTGTTGTACTTGCTGGCTGGTGGTTCAAGGCAATGGGCTCGATCCAGCCCTGAGGACGGATCCATGGAATGAGGTTGGGGAAGATCCAGCTGTGGCTGAGCTTCTTGCGAACTGCTGCTGGTGAATCTGTAGTGCAATAATGGGCGATGCGGCTCTTTGTTCACGCTTGCTTGAGAGAGTTGCAGAAGGGCCACCGGTTGTGCACAGGTTGTGGCCAAAGGTTGCAACTGTCAACTGCACCTGCATCAAGGTCACAGCATGGCCTGGTGCACAGCCAGTTCCAACAAAGAAAATCAACTCTTCTCACGATGTCTGATTCCGCTCTCCCTTCAGTTCCCCCTCCAGAGCCACCGCCTTTTGGGCACACAGCCTCAGGCCTGCGTAATGGTAATACAGTACTGTCTGGTTCGCTGTTTCACGACAGTCAGCTTTGATTGGCCGGGCCCTTGCCGCCAAGAGACCTGCTTAGCCAGAAACGGTTAGAGAAATGCAAGCACCAGGCACCGCCGCAAATCGCCGCGCGTTTAGATTACGGCCTGACAGTACCGTGTCGCGGCGTTACATTCGAATGGCGCGGTGTCGCCAATCCGGCCAACAGTCACCCAAGCACCAAATCCCCCCCCAGTTCGATCTTCCCCTCCAACGCTGCCTCTCGCCTCGTATTCCACTTCGAGCCTCCCTCTTCTCCCTCTTCTTTGCTCCCTCTCCCCTCCTGATCCATCCTTTGTTTCGAAAAAGCCCTTTTCGTTTCGTCTTGCGGGTTTCCCACCTGCAATCGTCCCATTCTTTTATGGACTCGATGAGCTCTCGATTCAAGTCTCTTGGGTTTGTATCAAAGCGAAAGACTGGTACGTCAGCTGCATCCGTGACCTCGAACAACGCTTCGACATCTCCCCAGTCAGGACCCAATTCCTCCACGGCGAGCCTCCCCATGAGCAGCCAAAACCACCTCGGTCGTCCACCTAGCTACACCTACACTGCCGGCGGGCGACCAGCAAGTCCACTGCCACCAGGCCAACACCAGCAGCTGGGCCACCATCCTCCACCGCTGAACACCGGTGTCGCGTATCCCCAGCACGGCCATCAGATGGCAGGTGCTCCTCCCCCCGGCTACGGCGGTTATGCCCAGCACCCACAGCATACCAGCATCCCTCCGTCAATATCACAGTACCCTCCCGGCCGGCAGCACACGGAGTTGGAAGGCGGTGGTCGAAGCAAGGCTCAGCTCATCGTGGGGATCGATTTTGGAACCACCTTTTCCGGCGTCGCCTACGCGTTCGCAACAAATACAGAAGCAAAAGAGGATATAATAACTGAGTGGCCGGGAGCGGGAACCCATACGAAACAAAAGGTTAGTTTTTTCTATTTTTTTTGGCGTACAGTCAACATGAATTGCTTTGTTAATTGAAAACCATAGATTCCTACTGTTTTATATTATGATCAGTTTCAAAAGGTGGTCGGATGGGGCCCAGATATCGCCGACGCCCTTGCACCCACTGGCTACCCAAAGCAAGGGGTCCAAAAGGTTGAATGGTTCAAACTTCAGCTGATGATCTCCGGGAACACCTATATTGATCCAATCAACCTACCCCCGCTCCCACCAGGCAAATCGGAAATCGACGTCGCAGCAGATTATCTGTTCAAACTGCGTGGAGCAATGCGAAATCAACTGTTGAAAACTCTTGGCGAAGTATTCACACGGGAGGAAAGAAATATCCGCTACTTCTTAACCGTGCCAGCCATCTGGAATGATGCCGGAAAAGCCGCTACTCGCGCTGCCGCCATCCAGGCCGGCTTCTTGCGTGATGAGAATGACAATCGGCTTACCTTGATTACCGAGCCGGAAGCCGCAGCGATGTTCTGTGCCAAGACCGGCCTGCTTAGTCTCAAGATGCATGATGCTATCCTGATTGTTGACTGCGGTGGTGGTACGGTCGATTTGATTGCATATGAAGTTGAGGAGGAACACCCTTTCACAGTTTGCGAGTGTACGGCCGGCTCTGGAGATTCCTGCGGGTCTACTGCCCTTAACCGAAATTTCAGCAACATTTTAAGAGCAAAGATTCGAAAGATGAAGCTGCCCGACGGCTCGAGGACCGCTGGAAAGGTGTATGGCAAATGTATAATGGATTTTGAGAATAGAATTAAAGCAGACTTTCGAAATAATGGCCAGAAATGGGCAGTCGATGTTGGAATTGAAGCTGACTTCCCTGACGCCGGCATTGAAGAGGGATATATGACTTTCACCAATGAGGAAATCCTTCAGTGCTTCGAGCCCGTCGTGAATAGAATCTTGGAGCTTGTACGGAACCAGATTATTGCGATCCAGGCTCAAAATCGACCACTTCAGGTAAGCTGCCCTGGGCTGGTCTATTAAACTCTGAATATGCTAACTGTGGGAAAAGAATATCCTCGTCGTAGGCGGCTTTGGTGCGTCCGAGTACCTCTTCCAGCAAATCAAGTTGCACGTCCCGCCACAATATCAAACCAAAGTTGTCCGCCCAATGGACTCTGTCGCCGCGATTGTCAAAGGTGCCGTCACTGCCGGTATCACGGAACGGGTTGTAACCTCCCGCGTTGCCCGTCGCCATTACTTAATGGCAACATTACAGCCATTCAAAGAGGGCCATCACCCCGAGCAATACCGTGTTCCCAGCTTGGATGGCAAGGATCGATGCAAATATACCCGTCAGATTTTCGTCCAAAAAGGCGAACGAGTCAAGATTGGTGAGCCGGTTAAGGTCAGCTTTTTCCGCCAGGTGGCTCCTGGTGCAACTCTCATGTATGAGGACATCTTGTATGCTTGCGATGAGGATGTATGCCCGGAATATACCAAGGATCCACGTGAGTTTCTCCATTCCTCACCTGTTAACATTTTTTTACTCTAACCACGATCCATTTCCAGGCATCAAGGAGGTTGTCACTCTTACATCCGATCTCTCTAGAAAAAATTTAGAGAAAGATTTTGAACGGATGGATACACCTCAAGGCACGTTTTATCGAGTTTACTTTGACATCTACCTTACTCTCGATGGAAGCGAGTTCAACGCGGAACTTGTCTGCCAAGGGGAAGTCATGGGCCGGTGTTCAGCTCGATTCCGATAAAATGGTTTCCTCCAGCATCTGTCACTGGATGCCAGACTATTGCTTGCATATTTTCTGTCGTGAAAGACGGAAGAAGCTGGAGTTATGAACGATGCAAATATAATAGATCTCCTTTGAATATTCCACGAAAATCCGCCTTCGATCCTCTCGACACATCCCCTGAATTCAACGTACGGGTATTGACAATCTCTACCTGTTTTCTTTCGCCTACACTTCCAGAAACGATGCCATGCAAAACATGATACCCCTATTTAAATTTACTTCGTCTCTCCTGCCATCTATTCAACGCCTATTTTCCCTACCATTTATTATCAATTTTATAGGAATCCAATTTCGAACTTCCTTCCTATCTATTTTCTGAAATCACAGTGAGAATTGATACCATTGCTTGAGACCAGGGCTACTATCCAATCAATTTGTTAGTGTCCGTTTCTTAACGTGTTTTACGGTTGGTGCTCAGTGGATTGGGATCTGGCTTGGAATGACATAAAAGGGCGGTAATACAAATGGGCTCACATACAACCATCAGTTGCTGTTTCTGTCATTTCATTATCTCAATTCTCAGATTCTGTGATTCTTAGGACGGACACTTCTACATTTGTGCAAAATATCCACCAAACTTATCTAACTTGGCACTCTTAGTTTCTCCTGACCCAAACAAGACTTCAGTTAATTCCCACACAGTTGTCCTATGTAACTCCTAGGTTGGGCATGATTGACTCCTGGTTAGGCAGTGTAATGGGAGCATGTCAGACTAATAGTAATAATGTGGAATGGTTTTGATCTTTGGCACTCCAATTTTGAGTTATTCGATCAAATCTTGGTTGGGGTCCTATTTCCCGAAACGTCAGTCGAGCCTCCTTGCGTAGATGTCGAATCGATAACCGTAGGTTACCCGTTGATAGTTTGGGCATCCAAGTATATATAACTTGTGTCTTGCAATATGGCCTCACTCCCTGGTATTATCCATCTTTTCCATCCACAACTTGTTTCTGCGGTATATTGTGAAGACATCTATTTGCGGCTTCAATACCTTATTACCCTGATCTCTAAACTGAATCCTGACATCTATTATATTACAAAACCATAATTCAACCATTAAGTAGGGAAAACAAGAAGAGCTTTTTTCAAAATAACTCACTTGGCAACTTCACCTTTTGGCAATCCGGTGGCAACAGCGTTTGCTTTCACCATAACCTCATCCCACTCCTTATCCGCCTCACTTAGCCATGTAATCGCGCCCCCGGCACCTAACTCGAGTTGATCTCCGTGTTTCACAATCGTGCGGATGATAACCGATTGGTCAACAGTGCCGCTGGCACATAGATACCCCAGACTACCGGAATAGATGCCGCGCTCACGCTTTTCTTCAAGGCCGTCTAGGATCTGTACGGCCCGGAGCTTGGGGGCTCCTGTCATGGATCCCGGTGGGAAACAGCGCTTGAGAACATGGACACCCCCTACATTGGGGGCAATGTGCGATTGGATGGTCGTGACGAGCTGTGGATGAGATTGGGGTTAGTCGTGAGGAATGCTTTGGGATGTTGGGGTTGCGTACTTGATGGACCGTCTCATAGCTTTCGACATGAAGCAGCTTTGGGACCTGTATTGATTTTGACGGAGAAATGTTATGGAGATCAGCACGGATAAGATCAACAATCTAGCGAGGTCAGTAAGTAATTCGTTCCGGTAGAGATAGTGCGGACGGTCTGTATTTACCATTAGATTCTCCGCTAGCTCTTTCACGTCCGTCGCTAGTTGGTGCTTCCTCCGCTCATCCTCCTCTTTATCCGGGCTGACGGCAAGAGTTCCCTTGATTGGTTTCATTTCCGCCACGCCGTTAGCATCTATGGATATGAACCTCTCAGGCGATGAAGATAGAATGGCAATATTATGAACTGGGAAATTGATATAAGCGGAATAAGGCGCCGGGTTACGTGCCCTGAGAGAAAGGTATAGTGCGTATGGATCCGCCCCAGAGTCCGACGCATTGAATTTTGTTGTGAGCGTTAGCTCATATGCTTCGCCTTCTTTAATAGCATTCTGCGCAGCTCGAATCTTTTGACTGTATGACTTTTCATCGTCAAGGGCGGTAAAGCTTGGTAGTGGTTCTGGGATAGTCGAAGGAAGCTTTGTGAAGTCGGGGGAGAAGGGACGTCTAACACGCTCCAGCAGGGAATCGAATTCAGCCTCTGTCAGGCCAACGGGAGAAACAGAATCTATGTGACCACCGATTGGATCTTCAGCGCCCCGGCGGATTAAACTGAACAATTTCCACTCTCCAGTATAATTGTCTAAACGGAGCACGCTACTTGCGAACATGTGTTGACTATCCGGGAGAGTGTTAGGTTCTTCACCAGGGTCGGTAGCCCCATACCTGTAGCCGGATAGCGCTTCGCGTTTCATTTCAAAGCCAAAATAACCGATCAGGCCTAGCTGGAGCAACGGCTGACCGACTTCGGCTTCCTGACCCAGAGAGCCCGCGTCAAGCGCATCCACGTTTTTCTGGATAATATTGGAATGAAAGTAGTCGAGCCATGACCAGTAAGAAGAAAGGAGCCGCTCAAACATCAAACGTTTACCCTGCTGATAGACGGATAGAACCTTTGATCGAGATGAGTAGCTAAGCGTAAACGAAGCGGCGGCTAAATAAGAATTTCTTGAGTGTACGTCGCGAACCTGGTTTGAGCGTTTTAGCATCTATGGGATTGATGGGAGACAAAAGACCAAAGGACAGCACTCACCCTTGCGCTGTCAAGCCACGCCTCACCATCGAGTGAGGTGTTGCGGAAAACTGCATCGAACAGCACACCTGCTTCAGGGCCTTTTCCAAGAGTTACGGACTTGACGTAGTAGCTACGTAAATGTGTGTCGGGGGCACGACGAGCGGGAAGAGACTCGCCCAACACCACCTGCCGGGCCTCTTCAACAATGGCGCACTTGCTTGAAATAGGGGGCGGCAAAGAGGCGTTTTCAAGAAGACATCGTGGTGTCGGATTATTCCACGGGCGGTCTCCGGCCCAGAACTGGAGTGCAATATCGCGAAAATTGTTAATAATCTGCTGGCCATGTGTGGAGCAAACACTCTCGGGATGCCACTGGGCTCCAAAAATCGGGCGGCTGCGATGCCGGACACCCATGACCACCTTTTCCAACGGGTCCTCGGGATCAAATGTCCATGCAGTAAGCTCTAAATCGGCAGGAAGGCCTTTGAGTGACATCGGAATCAGCTTTGAATACACGAACATGAGGAACGAGGAGACCGACTTTTGGCGTCCAGCACCAAGCTGTTATATCTCACCCCGTCAAAATTTTGCGGCAAACCTTTAAACACGCCAGTGCCCGTATGGCTGATTTTGCAGATTTGTCCATGCTTAATATTAGGGGCATGGATGATTTCGGCACCAAGCGCGGTGCCAATCCCCTGGTGGCCAAGGCATATTCCCAAGATCGGGATATTCAAATCCCTGATCAATTTCGAATTCAGTCCGAAATCAGATATCTTCCTTGGAGTCCCGGGGCCAGGAGATAGGATGATCGCATCCAGTGAAGACAGCATCGTCTTTTTGAACGTATACCTGCCGGCCATCCGTCAGCAAGCCATGGATCCCAGTGCAGATGTCTGGGGAGAACAACCATGTAAAATGGTCAAAACGAACTACAGCTACGTTCCATTCTGGGTATGGCACACCATTCGCCCCCCGCGCGGTTTTCTGGAGCAGCTGGAGGATGTTGTTGGTATAGGAGTCGTAGTGATCAATGATCATAGCCCGCAACGTCCCTGATTGCCCCATTGCGCCGGCTCCTCTCCTGACGCCTGTTGGGTATGGAGCAGAATGGACAGCCGGCAACAACCCGAGGATTCCGGAATCTAGGGTCTTTGATTTGTCCTAGATGGGGGCATTCCTAGTACCACGACGGGACGGCGTTCTGCTGGGATAACGATGGCAAAACCGGAGGCCAACAAAAGCCAGAGCTAGCTAGAAGCATAAAAATAGAGAAAATAGTATTTGCTATTACTACCACAACACCAGATGCCATCCATCTTCCAGGTCGTTTTGGCCCTGCTGCTGTTTAGGCTGCCAGCGTGGAAAAATTCAGATGTCACGTGCACCAAGCTTATGTGTGAACTTAAACACAGCGTCAACCAGAGGAGATGTGAGAGAGAGAGAGAGAGAGGAGAGGAATGAGGATGATGGGAATGGGAGCAGCGGCCATGGACTGCTGGGTGTTTTGTTGATGCTTTAGAGCCGTCTTCTTAGATTGCCATTTCTCTGGTTAACTAGTTACACAGTCCAACTAGTTAATAACGAGCTGTGATCAACAACCACAATGAACTGAACAGACACCAAAAATAGCTGTGCTCTAACAAGCTCCTGTTCAAGGCCCGGCTGATGGTCAATTATTGAAAGACTGACCGTGTGGCATCACTCTTGAATTCGGCCACTCAACGAGCCATCACACTTTCACCCCGCAATGCCAGTCGCTGTTCTCCGCGGGTAGAGCGCGCAAGACTCGGAGCCTGATCGATATTTCAACGACCCGCGCTACGCACTAACCCCAGATTGCTTTTGTGCCTCGGGAGTTGCTTGATTGTCGTCTGCGTCACCAAGGACACTGGGCATGCGTACCTTCTTGGCTTACAGGGTTGGATTCCCGGTGGGAATGCAGCGGAACTGGCATGCAGTGTAGCTGCGTCCAGCCATCCGCGAGGGTTCTGGATCCTCCAAAACACGCTCTGTGGCTCTGTGCATAGTTTCTGGGCCATTCTGAAGATTTGTATCAATTTTATCTATTCCGGCAAGACGTGGATATTTATTGCGCGAGGGCTTTGTTGCTACGTTGTCTTCTCGGGCAAAGAAAAGAAAACCAAGCAAAAGTACTCGGTAAAGAATTTCACAATGATTTTCAGGATGGATTCTATTCGTTTGGTCGATAGGTAGCCGGAATGCGCCTCTAGGCCACCAGCGAGAGAGGTTGTGACGGTCGTGACCAAGAGGCAAGGGAGGAACGTTGAGTGGGCAAATCTCCCAGGCTTTTTGAATATACATGGCCTAAACGGAGCATCCTCTGTCGTTCGGAGGAGCCTGGTCTGTGTGTTGATTGGGGGTGAAGAAAGATCCATGCCTCCAGTGGATACTTGATCGCTGTCGCGCAGCCACCGGCGCGTTTAGCCTCGCGAGACGTCAGAATTCTGCGTGTTCCAGGCCGTGGGAGTGGAGTCGCGTCTTCAAAGATGTTTCGCAACGCCAAAAAGGCCAATTCTTCGACCTGTGCGATTTGCGGGCCTGTGCGGCATCTTCATCAGTGTGCATAGGAGACGGCCATGGATTGAAACATGCCGAGTCATTTTTCAGGTTTTCTCATACACTAGCTTATGAATGGGACGAGGATGGGTTTTCTTTTTCGCGGCAGGGGCGATTCTGTTGGGTGGCTGGCCACATCGTTCACCTCGCTGAATGCTGGGAACGTCGTTCCACGAGGATAAAACGAGGCTTGGGCACCCCGGTCCGAATAAACGAGACGTTCTTCGGGCTTTCAGCAGCCATCGGTTGTGTCAAGAAATGAGTTTTACCTTTGTGGTGGCGTTGAGATCAGTCCCGAGAATCTGTTTTTGGAGTCGAGTTCTGTAAATTCATTCGTCAGCTCAGCCCTTGTTCACGGCAAGCAAAGTTTCCCACACGTCGGCAGATTCTTGTTGAGCTTTTCACACACGCTGGGCGGATCGTTCCATAGTAGTGGACGGCACTTGACTCGTTTCCTATCTTGCTTTTGCGCACGGACATCAAGGTGAGAGTCGTCCCACTGCACGGGATAGGGATATGGACCGGAATATGCGGTTTTGGCGCCAGCTTGCTTTTAAACTCGCGGCGGGTGATAGCCTGGAATGCACATTATTGATTAGTTTGCTATGCGGTTGACTTCACTTCATGGTATGGAACGTACCGTACTCATCGCTGCCGTGGCCAAACAGTGGGGGGTGGTTCCGGGAGCATACGTGTATAGCCGCCCTAATCGAGGGTATGGATTTGAAAGTCACTTTGTCTAGCGAGCATTCACTGGACAAAGGTAATATGGATAAAGTGCATAAAGTCTTTGCGAAGCGTATCTTTACAACTTCTATTCGCAAATATCCTTCCGAAATGCTCAAATATCTTGCTGCTCCATTATCAACGACCGTTCTTGCAAACATGGATCGAATTCATAGCTCACCTGAAGGTTTGATAGCATTTTTCTGGGGGAACATTGGCCTCGTCACAGTGGCTTTCCTCATCAAATTGATATTGCGATGGAGGAAACCATACACCCCCATCAACCTCTCCCAGCCCACGTCTTTCGACCTAGAAAAGATAACGCCTTACCCTAGCGAGCAGATTAAGGGGTTCGAGAAGCACCGAATAAGGATGAGTCTCAAGAAGATGGACCAGACAAATTGGTTGACTGTTGACAAGAACTATGCACCATTGCATGAAATTCGCCTTGGTCTTCTTGAGACTCAGAGGGAAAAAATGGTCCAATGCTTGCCCGAGGCTCGAGAGGCTTGTCAGGAGGCGTTACAGGAGGTATCTGACTTCCTCTGTAGGAGGTATCCGGCAATGTTCGAGACATACATGTCCAACTCCGGGCCAAAGGTTAGAAACAAGCAGAACGGGGAAGTATATTGCCTTGATGGAAGAGATGACTCGATATCGCCTCTTGAAGTCGCAGCGCGATTAGGCATGGATGATCTTACCATAATCTTGAAAAACGAAGATGGAATGCACTATATGTAAGTATTAAGGGAATACGATCTTGGATCACACTAACGGCTGTCAGGGCGGCAACTGCTAGCTGCTTCCAAATCGGCTGGTCTGCAAATGAACGGGTAGGGGAGACTATCGCTCAAATGCACAATCCCGTGCCACAGTGGGAAAAGGAGATCGGATATGCTGTTAACAAGTGCGTGCCCCAAGGATAAAGCCCGATGGCTAGGGTAGCTAGATATTAATAGCCCGCCCCAGGTTCATGACACGCCTGACTCCTAGCGCACCAATGGAGCGAGCGAGCTATTTCATTCAAGTTAGCCATCCTGGCGAGCCCCTTCCTCAAATCCTCTTTCAGCCTGCCGGCGTCGTGCACACGAGCCTTATGCCAGAAGCAGAACATATTATCATTCGAAAAGAGCGGCAGTCGTTCACCAGGCTCCCAAAATCGGGCGCGATTCTCTTCGCTGTCAAAACGTCACTGACGTATCTCCCAGAGCTACCACTGGAGGAATTGCAAAATATGGTCAAAGAGATAAACAGCTGGCCTGAGGATACGGCGCAGTATAAAGGAAGGGCTCACTGGGGGCCTGTAGTATTGGAGCATTGCAAGCACCGAGAGCGAGGGAGAGAAGGTTAAGATCGCAACAGCTTTTCCTTGCGTATTGACGTTGCACGCATTTTGGGGAATCGGAAAACCGGGGGGGCACACTTCTGCGTATGCATTGGCCGTATGGCACAATCTGTTTTCTTTCTTATCTTATAATTATATCTTAATACCTTAATCCCACCGTCTGAGTATCCGGTCGTGGATGCCAGGAGTTGACATGCACGGTTGTTCTTACTAAGCAAGTCCCCGCCAAGACTGCCAGTACAAACGCCAAGCCTCCTCAGGATTCTCAATGCAATGAAGCCTGTAGCCTGCTTGTCAATATCCTAGACAGCACTTGGTAGCAATCCAACTATCAAAATGCACGAACTGCCTTTCGATCCTTCAGCCCTCACAAGGGATGATGTGAAAGGTGTGGGTATCGGATTATCCTCAGTTGTCGTCCATATCACTGGCACCAATTTTGTTGTGAAAACATTTCCTCCATTGGATGAGGACCAGCATACAGAGTACTGAAAGTAAAATATATGAACATCTCCAGAAATATGGAGGTGGACACCCTAATATTCTCAAATATATTGGCCGTACTGCCCTAGACAATGAGACTTTAAGGGGCGGGCTTGTGTTTGAGTATCATCCCCGTGGAATTCTGTCAGTCTGTCTTGGGAAGCTAGATGCTCTTGGTATTTTGGAAAGAGAAAGGCAATGGTTTGCTACTTGCCCCTTTTATACATTCAAAGCGATTGCGGACTGGTTCTGACCGCATTTCAATTGATATAGTTGGCCCTGTCAGCCATGTCAGCCCTCGCATATGTACACTCGCGGGAGGTAGTGCATGCTGACACTGGTCTTCACAACTTCCTTATCAATGATAAAGGCGAGTTGATTCTATGCGACTTCGCTGGCTCTGGCATGCAAGGACTTTTGCCAACCGTTCCGCCAGGGGCACGCTATGCAAACCCTAAACATTATCAATCGCCATATTCCACAGCAACAGATGATGTCTTTGCTCTTGGTACAGTTCTTTATGAACTCGCCATCGAGAAACGACTCTTTGAGGACCTGAAGGATTTTGAAGTTGAAAGACGGCTGACAGCCGGTGAATTCCCCAATACCCCAGGTGAAGGGAATTTGTCCTCTTGTCCTTTCAATAAAGCTTCTCTAGTTTCTTTGCTCATTCCAGGAAGCTCTTGTGTAATCACACGCTTGTTGCAGACGATATCACAGTCATTCTCCGGGAGCCTGCATTTCCTGAACACAAAAGCAATTAAGGAGGTAATACACATTTTCACCAAGGACGATAGATATCGATAAATATTTAAAGTAGAGATTGAAATATAGCAGGACTAAGTGCGCCAGCCAATTCACCTTTCATTTAGTGTCAAGAGTAGCCAATAGATATAACTACTGGATACAATGGGATTCACAAGAATTTGAATGGTTTGATGATCGAGCCAAAAGTATGAGACTCTGAGCTCTCATTTCTCCTAGTTCCGTAAACATACCATCGGTACTTATTCTTTCATTGAGAGTAGGAGCGTTCACGGGTAGATATTCCAAGCTGATGTATCGAAATATAATGGTGGATTGTTGGGCACAGAAAACGGTAAGAAATTTCTATCCAGAAGCCGAAGGTATAGGTCTAAAGAGCCTGAAACCAGGACGCAAAAAAAAGGAGTATATATGTATATATAAAACAAGAATGAGACATGTGCAAGGTAAAAGAGAAATTTCCCGTCAAAGCTTGCTGCTCGTAGCAGGCTTGTCCTGCTTGAGGCGGACAACACCCTGTAGAAATAACCCTTAGCATCGACACTCAAGGAATTGTGATTATACTACTTACTTCTTGCACGCAAGTGGCAATCAGAGTGCCATCGCGAGCCCACATTCTTTGGGTCACAAGGCCTCTGCCTTCCCCGGCCCAAGGGCTGACCATCTCTGTAAAGATCCAATCATCTGCTCGGAAAGCTCGACGGTCGTGAAAATATATGGTATGATCGAGGCTGACCATCATTCCAATCTCCCTTTTGGGAACCATAAGAGCTTGCGAGCTGGGTGACGATGTGGCTTTCGAATTGAGCTCTCGGGCCTCTTGGTCGGCAAGATCCTTGAGATATTTGGTGATCGACTGTTCATCAAGATCCGATGGGTTTTTCAGCGCCGAGAGCGTTTTCTTCAGCGCTGCTGGGGACGAGAATCGAGGAATGCTTTGCACACGTGCTACGGTACCGATGAAATAGCTGTCTGACATGTAGGCCAGCGCTGATAGATGGGCCTGAAGCCCTCCTTTCTCGGAGATCTTGCCTCTTGCCCGGATCCATTGCAGCACAACCTTCTCTTCTGGGCGCGATGGTACTGTTCCCAAGTAAGCTAGTGATCGCATACGAAACGGAGACAACCGGTAATAATAAATCCTTACAATTATCGACATCTATACGTCTCGATTCAAACGGACCTCTCCCGGGTGTCTCGTCATTCTCGTCTGGGAATTTGAATCCCTTGGGAATAGGTGTCGCATGGCTGACTATATGTTCCCCACCACTGCCCTCACGATCAAAACTAAGTGTAGTGGTAAAGATCGGTCGGCCCTGCTGTCTTGCTTGTACTGTACGAGTTGCGAAGCTTTTCCCGTCGCGAACACGCTCCACGTGGTATAATATGGGAAGCGAGGCGTCGCCAGATAGGACGAAGTAGCAATGCATACTATGGGGAAGATAATCCGCTGGCACAGTCAGCTGTGCTGCCGCGAGACACTGCGCGATAGCTGAGCCGCCGTATATCCCCCGCGCTCCGGGCGGATGCCAGAGAGGCCGTGTGTTGGTGAAAACATCCTACAATCGCAGGCATCAGTCATTTGCCATCATAGGGTCCGGAGCCAGGATTCTGAACTTACTGGACCAATATCCGTGACAGGGGTTAAATCCAGTATGCTTTCGATGGCGGACATCGAAGGGTCGCGGGGAGGCGGCTCAAACAAAGTAACTCCCATTTTGATGCCGACAGGTCAAGCAAGATGGCGGTAGTTTTCCCCTGGTATAATAGCGGCGAACTGCCTGGCGGCGGGGAGACAAAGGGTGAAAGTCCATCCTGTGATTGCGGAAAGCAGCTTCAGTGCTGGTTAGAGTTGGTTGAGTGCCGAGGTCCAACAAGGCCGAGTTGACCTCCAACCACCAGCTTACATCGCGGATATGATAAGATGTACGGAGTATGCACATGCTCTGCATCATTGTAGCGTCTATTCGAAACGAGAACAGCTAAAGCTACGCTAATAATGACATAAAATGCATCTAATTATTGCTTCGAAAATCCGTCCGTCTTGTCATAACTCCCTGTGAATAGCATCGTCGACAACATGAGCTCCTCAGCAAGCAGAGAGCGCATCGATGAAGCTTTTACCCCAATGCGTACTATTGGAAATAACCTGGTTAGCGAATTTGAAGATGAAGGTTCTTAACAGCAAGGTAGGGGGCATTAACCTAGTGTGATTATGGATAAATTCCATAAGATTCTTATGCTGTTCAACCCTTTCCTTCGTATCCATTTTCGCAGCAGTGTACAAAGCGTCTGAAATCTCGTGGGCGTTGAGCGGGTTAAATTGGATGCTTCCCTCGTAGAAATACGTGGACGTGCCTGCGAATTCAGAAAGCAACAACACACCGTTTCGTTCATCTTGACAGACTGTGTATTCCGCTGCAACAAGATTCATGCCATCTCTCGTTGAGGTGAGAAGGCAGATATCAGAAGCGGCATAGAGCGCCGTCAATTCTTCGAATGGAATCGACTTGTGTACATATACAATTGGGACGTAGTCTGGCGTGCCTGTTCAAGTTTAGCAAAGTACTCCCCCCGAATATCACCAACTACCAACTTACCATATTTCCCGTTAATCTCTCCCACAGTTGTCTGAATTTCAGTCTGTAATTCTTGATACTCTGGCACGTCCTCCCGACTGGGCACAGCAATTTGAATCAGGACAATCTTCCCAACCATATCTGGATGTTCACGGAGTAGGCACTCAAAACCGCGAAGTTTCAGGGGAAGGCCCTTGATATAATCCAAACGGTCAACGCCCACGACACGAATCACATTTTCATATTTTTTGTTAAACTCGGCGATACGGTTGCGAACTTGGTCCGAGGCTAGAGCTTCTTGGAATCGCTCCGGGTTAATTCCCACGACAAACTTGCCGACATGGACATCTCTGTCTTTATAACGGAGCTTATGGTCCTCGCATGGCACGCTTCTGTGGTACAGTTAGCGCTTTACTTCAGTGCCGCCGGGGGGGATTGGGTTCGGATCGTACAAAATGGTTTGGCAAGATTGAACAAAATGTTGGACATAATCCTCGGTATGGAAACCAATTAAATCTGCATATAACAGGCCGTCCAATACCTCGTGGCTTGTTGGGAGCGTGCGGTAAATTTCAGCCACTGGGAACGGGGTATGCAGCGAAAAACCAATCTTTGCGCTCTTGCCACGGTTCTTTAATTCTGTTCGAAGCAACTTGGGTAGCAGCATCAGGTGGTAGTCATGTATCCAAATTATATCGCCATCCGAAGCCGACTCGGCGACCTGTGCTGCGAATATTTGATTCACTTTGGAGTACGCCTCCCAGTAGGTCTCGTCGAAATGAAGAACACCGGGCTGATAGTGTAAAACAGGCCACAGAATCGAATCTAAGAGTCCATATGGATCAGAAATATCCTTTTACCGTCAAACATATTTTCAAACGATAGTACTGACTGGCAAAGCCATTGTAGTGATCCTCCGCCAATTGCTTATTAAAAAACACCGGCACCGCATTATCCTTCGCCAGTAACTTCTTTACCCCCTCCTTCTCATCATCTGGAATCTCTATGCCGGTCCATCCGAACCACTGGAAAGTAACATTTTCAGAGAGCCCGCTCAGGCTGCTAACCAGCCCGCCGCTGGACACGGAAGTTTCGTAGTTACCATCATCTTTGCGCTTAATGCCCACCGGCAAACGGTTAGAAACGACGAGCAATTCGGGGCCTGGCTTTTTGGTTTTTTCGCTTGTCATTGTGAGCTGAATTAAGATATCCTTAGCCGCAAAACTTGAGCAGAGTATTGAATGCTTTGGGGATTGGCTGTAAAGTTAGTCAAAATGCAATCACTTCTGTTCGCGAGCCTCGACGTCTTTAAAAGGTCTGTCCGTTTAAGAAGGGGTATCTCTTCCAGGTATATTTTCCGTATCAGCTCCTTCTGAACGCATACACCTGCTTGATGTCTCCAAACCTAGGCTTACATCACCATGACGACGTTGCGCCCAGGTCGATAAAACCTTGATTCTGCACGTCGTGCAATGCCAGCAAATCAAAAGACATTTGAGAAGCTTGCTCGGAAATCGATCTCTGAAACTGCCCTTTGAGATCGCTGATCTTGGAGTTCCTGGAGCTGTTGTGACGGAGGATTGTGATTGAATTCAACTGACTTCGTTCCTTTGAGGTAACTAGTTACGGCATCCCATAGCTGCCACAATGCTAAAATAAAGTGTTCGATTTAGCAAATCAGGAATACAGTCTTATTCCATGAAAAGTAACCATCCTGCTTGGTAATCTGGACCTGGTGACTGTGTCTCAATGTATGCCATAGAATCTTTCTCTATGATAATTTTCTGAAAGACTAAGATTATGCTTAACTAATTACTAAAGGATGTTCATTTTTCATTGAATGATCGCACCAGCTGGAGATTCAAGCTTAGGAACTGAAGCAGTTGTACTCCGTATGCTCCCTGCTATAACTACTTGGTGAGATAAACACCAAATCTCAGAGCATGGTAAGAAAAACTTCGGTCAACAAGTGGTGCAACACATGGTGCGACACATTAGTTAATTCTTCCACTCATAATTAGATTTCATCCGCCAAGTCGCTGATATACTTGGGATTTGTAGTTAAGGAGATTGCTCGAAAAATGCTGCCTACTCACACTCAAGCCATAACTTTTCTTGACTCAGGCCCTCTGCATCTCGGAATGCCTTCTCAATGGCATTAAACTGGTTTTCGCAGTTTCTGATCTGAGCCGCAAACTTTTGGGGGTTTGGGTCAAGCCCATGGGGTAACCAGAATCCAATTGCATTCTCTTGGGGCTGATGGTGCCATCTGGCAGGAGCTGGCCTTCGTTTTCCTTGGTATTCTGAGCAATTTGCAGGCCCTTTGGTTGGACTTGGTAGTATTCGAAAGCCTCCCTTTCAAATTCTCCAAGAAACCCACTTGCTTCAATAGTTTCGAACAGTTTGTCCAGTTGAACCCCTGTTCGCACAATCATGGTTGATAGCCTGCAAAGAATCAGCTTATATTGGCGATGAATTACTCCGTACAGTTTCAGGGAAAAGAAAGATCTTACCAATGGAGATCAGCATTCCATTCTGCCGACTGCAAAGGTATCTTGCCTTTTAGTAAAAAATCGCATTCTTGAGAGTAAAAGGAAAAATATAATAAAACAATTTCCACAGCTGATGCGCTTTTGGACGTTTGCATGAGATTGATCGGGGTGCATAGGCAATCAGTTCGCAAGAAACCCCTTGCCACAAGTAACTGAAATATATTCCACACTGTAGACTGTCGACGGGCGCGCCAGTAAAGGTTTTGAAGGATCAGTCTGTAATTTGGTGCACTCTAATAAACTTGATCGTAGATCTGGAGGTCCGGCACGAATCCTTGCCTTGTGTCGCATTTTGAAAGTTCCCTAACCACAAGGGCTCGTGCAGTTTCTGGGATTTCAAGGTTTGAATTCGCCGCGTTGCTGTCAGCCTCTCTTGAATGGATGATGTCCCAAATGTTTCGGTCCATCGTTGGCCACTCTATCCGACGCCTGCGAGCTGTAACACGGGGATATACAACGCATCTATCTTATCATGGGGGACCGTCTCTTCAATTGCAATCATTGATTCAAGACCAGATGTATTTCCTGCGAGCACCTGTTGTGCCTTCCTTGAGTCCCTCACTGTAAGAGCTTGATAGACCAGAAGCCATAGTGCACAAGGAACAATATAGGAGTTCCACAAAACTAAGAAAATGTGGCGTTGCAACCTTGTCGATCGGTTGGGTCTGAAATGTGGTGGAGAAATGTTGTGGAGAAGGGAAAAATTGAGATGTGACCGTGTGAGAGCTCGAATTTATTATGGCATTAAAGCAGCAGGCATTTATTGCGCTAAACCCCTTTGGGACAAAATAAATGACTAAGCCAACAGTCAGCCTGTCGGCTTAACTGATTATATCCAAATTAGGCTTAGCTTGTGCTAAATCCTACTACTCGTCCCTCCTAGTACTCGGTACATAAGCTTCATGACAATCATAACCACCCCTACAGCCACCCCCTCTAACACCATGGCGAGCAATGTTGAAATCAATGTGCTGAGTACGGAGGTCGCCGCCATATGTTTTGGTCCTTCAGTAAGGGGGCCTCTCCCAAGCCTTCGCCGTTCGGCGCTGCTTAGCGGTCCTTAACTCGTAGGGCTGCAGAGACCAACCCCTTACCCCCGCAAGATCACCCCTAAACTCAAGCCTGCGAACGCCCGAAAGTGGGACCAATATTTATGGCGGCGACAGAGTAGCCCTGTTGGCTACAAATCCTCCCTAAACAAACCCCCAAACGAGCCCCCAAATGGACATCCGAATTCCCTAGATGGGCTCCTACTAGAGGGGGGTCTTGGAGCTTCGTGCCACGCTCTTTAGTTCCGGGTGTTAGGGGTTCGGTAGTCGGGGCTTTATTATCCATACCAAGGGTATAGTCATTAAGATTATTCGAATGTTCGATATTCGATATCCACCCCTACCCTGTTCAGCTAACTGTTCCTCAAGCTGGTTCTTCTTCTTGCTGCTCTGGACGTGGTATGTGATAACCCAAGACCCCGCTTACTGGATCACAGAGCCACAAATCGTATATTAATCGAGATAGCCCGCTTCATCTTCTGCCATGAATCTCTCGGCTACGGCATGAGTTTAGCGATGTTTAGAAGACCAGTTAGTTTCAAGAATAGCCAAGTCTAGTCATGGTAAATCAACCCTTGAACAGTACCATAAGAAAGGCTATCATCTATCAGGTAAATAGCTCCAGACAGAGCCAACGCTCAAATTGAAGCAAAAATAGGCAGACCGTCACTACTAACATTCAGATCATTGTGTCTTCTTTGCCTTCATCTTTTTCCCTCTTCGGCGCTTCAGGGCATCCGGAGTGTATTCGGTGTCAAGGAGGTAGTCCCACCAGCGGAAGCTGCTTGAGTAATTCCCAATGAATTTCTCATGGTGGACGTCGTGATGATCAGCACCAGCCCAGAAAGGCAAGAAATGGTGAAGACTCCAAGGAAACTCGTAGCCACTGTGGGCATCGATAGCCTGGAACAAGCGCAACACAATCCAGATATACATAGTGAGAATATGCAGGTTACCGGTGAAAGCACACCAGAGGATCGGGCAGCTGACGGTCCCGAAGCCGAGAATCATCACTTCAATAGGAGAAGCATATTCGGCGGCCAAACCAAATGGTGCGGAATACTGATGGTGAATTTTGTGAATAGCCTTGTAGAGTGGACCCCAATGAAGAGCTCGGTGGAAAAAATAGTGCCAAGTGTCCTCCATCACGAAAAATATTGCAATCTGATATGTCATAGTCCAGGGGGACGGAAAAGGAATAGATGTTGATAGACCGCAGAACTGGGCCATTGGGTGGAAAAGCCTGGATCGCCGTTACCACTTAATCGGGCCCGAGTGGCAAACTCCGTCGAGGGCAGGAACATACCAGATCTGAGGAAGTTCGACGGTGAAGTGGCTCAGAAGCACAAACTTGGCGCAATCCCATTGCTCGCGTAATGAAGGTACTTTGCTCTGAAGCAGAATGTTAGTTTCGATAGCGACTGGAATTGGGTTGATTTCGGCTAGTGCCAGGTGTTAGGCTTGCCACTTACACTTTGAATCTTGTATCTCTTGAAGAGACCCAAGCTATCGATGAAGGTCCACGGAAGAGAGCGGCCAAAGTAGAACAACTCGTGGATGACGAAGGACATGATGCCGGTGGCTAGGACATCATTCTGCACCCACGCATACCATGCGACCCACAATCTCTCTGCCACGCTCAGGTGGGTATTGGATTTGGTGATATCCTGATATTGGCCCCAATAGGTGCCGGGGGGCAGCACGGTAAAATTCCTAGGAGAAAAAGGGTCAATATGCGACAAATTCCACAAAAGAGTACAGGGGGGAGGGGTGCAAAAAAGCAGAGAGACACAGACATTGTGGTTCCTAGCAGGTCTTGAATAAGAGAGAAGAAGTAGAGGCTGAGAGAAGGAGAGACTACATATTTTGTGATGAAAAGGAAAGGATCTGGGTTAGAGTACTATGTGCTATGGTACAGTATACTCCCTACCCCCTACATACTATTAAATCCTAACCCCTGCTAAATTGAACATATCATAGGCGGGCAGATGCGCATTACCCGGTTTAGTGGGGCTCGGATAGCTATCCGTCTGTGGCCTGACCTTTGCGTCCTTTTTGGTCTACACCTCCGTATTACAACATTTCGATTTTAACCTTAGTGACGGTGGGAAGAGCAGAACCTGCTTTCTTTGGTTACAAGAGCCCGGGGGCCCCTTATTGGAATTAATTTATTACTGCCTAGATCTAACAGGATAGCAACTACTACTAGCCACCGAACTGCCCAGATGTATGTGCATATGTACATACATACATATATGGTCCGGCACGGAAACAACGCGCTGCACCGCGTCACCAACCGAGACCAAATGACTGTACCTAATGGAAGAAAAATCCGCTCGGTCAAGAAGGTAAAACACTCCCAGGGTTGCTACTGGCGGAAGATAGCATGCGTGTCGTATGATTAGTGGGATAAGCACGCACGACACTGGAATCTTGTCTGATCATGCTCCCCCGCCCTACAGCTTCTGGTATTCACTCCATATCGACCAGTCACTAGAATAGGTTAGATTCAGGCCAGGAAAAATCGTAGGAAAGCTATCAGCAAAGGGTTCCTTAGGTTGCTGCCAAATACCGACCGGTGACCGATTTGGCCAACTCTGCCAACCCATAGAGGGAGGTAGGGGGCTTGTTCGGCTCTCAGGCAGTCGCGGCGGCGGCTACTCCATTTCCAGATACTTGGCGTTTACGGGCGTTCTCGGACAATCCTTGGGCCTAAGCAAATAGATGTGTTAGTATGTGAGGCCGTGCATCCATCGCTGAATCGTTCCACTCCACAAAAGAGGATCGCTTGGCTGTCCAACACGTTAGCGATTTTGTTTAGGCGGACACTTACGTCCACAGCTTCAATCGGCCTCTTTTGTGCAGTTGATTCGATTTTTTTCACTACTTTCTTCTTCGGGCGGACAGGTCGAATCTCGCCGGATTGGAAGACATCTTCTGGCAAATCGTAACTATAAATTACCTCATTAGCACTGCTCCTGGCAGGATTCAAAGAAATAAACCCACTTGCGAACATGGGTTATTGTTAATTCGTTGATACCAGGCTGATATTGCACCCATGAAGTGCACATGTTTTTAAACAGCTGGGTCTCGGAAGAGATATCTAGAGATTTCGAGGCACCTGGGAGAGTCAGTTGTGCCATCATGTGGAGGTATGGTTAATACCTGGGACTAATGGCTTTAATTCAAGGCCAACGTAATATGTAGTCGTGTGGATGGTGTGGCTGTCGGGCTGTTCAGTTTGCTCCAGTTTTGGCATGGGTATTAAACCGTTCTCATTTTCGGTGGTTGCTAAATGTGCTGGATCGTTTACCTCGTCGGTTGTTTCTGTTTTAGTTCCCTTTGCTTGAAACTTCGTGGAACCATTTTTCGCCATCTCCGTTTCTTTCTCGTCCTTGCAGATATGTACTCTTTCAAACCCTTTGGGAAACGGATGGGCGACCTCGATGGACGATTTCCTATCTAGAGCGAGAACTAAATGTCGAAGTTTTGATTCAACTAGGCCTGACCACACAGACTGTGCTTCTTTGGTTGTACTAGAAGCAGTAATGCTGAGATAATACTTATAGTCTTTTGAAAAGAACGAGTGTTTGGCAAAGAGATCACTCCATCTAAGCTGTCCCATGAAAATCTTGTCAACGATATCACCACCGCGTTTGAGCTCTCGAAGGATCACAGCTTTGGTTGAAAGGGAAATATTGTGGGTCGCACACATTGATGGGTAGGCAGGTGTGATAATGGGCATGAGATGGAATCTGTCGCCGTGATATATCTAAGCAAATTAGCGGATGAGGAAAGTCGAAAACCAGGGAAAAATTACCTTTGGATTCCAGACTTTCATATGAAGCGGGCCATCTTCAATGGGTTTCAGTAACACAGGCTGTGGCCAATTCCACTGATTCATGATGCGAAAAAATTTGCCGATAATCACTGAGCCGGTTGCTTGGGGGTAGAGTTGGCATACACGGGCCACCAGCATGGCCCACGCCACACCACCAGGGAACCCAACAACGTTTGAATAGATAGCTCTGCCTGTGCGCAGTCAGCGAATGTCCATAAGCAAGTAGGGCGTTCCGCATGGACTCACTCTGCGCCCAAAGCTTGATTGCTCTTAAGGCTAGTCGAAAGGTCTTTTGCTGCGGCACAAGCTCCAGGATTTCGTCAGTTACACGAGTCCCGTTAACACAACGTAGTTCGCGTTCATCCAAGCCACGTAATAACTCTTTGTTCTTCAAGTCAAGGTTTAAAGGAACGGAATGAACCACTAAGCGCGCAAAGATAAGGTCGATGCTGATGCCCGAAAGCTCGAGTTTCATGATCGGGACGAACGCGTCTGGAACTGACGTTAACTTTTCTATGGAGTCTTTAGGCGCCAGCTGCTCTAATGTTGAAGGAAAATCGGCGAAGAAATCTTCTCTTGTGACATGCTTGGGGCCTACCACAAGCGTGTCGATATCAGAGCCTAATCAAGAATCGTCGTCAGATTTTCGTCACCCAATACTGACAACAACGAGAGTAAAAGTACCGACCTGGTCCATATACGCCTAGCCTGTAGCTTCCAAACGTGAAGATCTTTCCTCCCGCAGCATCGATTGCACCCTGCGATAGCCCCTTTTTCCGACCGACCGATTTGATGAATTCGATAGTGACGCGTTGGAGGAGGTGGAGAATCTGTTTCCTTGGGTTGATATTTAGCAGTGCGAACCTATAGGGGATATTCGTTCCCAACCTTCTCTCGGTTTCCGATGGAGCCTCAAAATTGTTCTGATGTTTTAGCTCTGCGATCAAGTTATCATTTTCCGTAAGCTCAGCTGGCGTTGGTAGCACGGTCGAAATCGGAGGTGTAACTCCCCATTGCTTCGCTTGCGGAGAAGCCATCGTCTTGGCTCAACAGGTGATGTGAATATGGTGTCTAGAGAAACATAGAAGTGGAAGACTTGGGGGTCAAGGAAAATGCCAAAAGCGAGCGGTAGGAATAGGAGTCGGTACCCAGTAGCAACATAGAAAAGCAAGAAGCAAAGCAGGAATCAAAGTCAAGATATAGTATTACAAAGGAAATACAAAGAAGCCTCCGAAACACCAAGATAGTCGAAGTTGAAAAGGTGGGAAGAATGAAAGTTGATGAGCAGAGAGGTGCAAAGCGAAGTTTATCAGTTGTTGGGAGCCTGGTGATAAGGATTGGCGCGGGCGCGGGCGCGGGCACCGGCGCTTAGTGAACTCACTAGTGAGTTACCTAGCCAGTTAAGGACTAGGCTATTTAGTCACGTGAAGCTTGGCTCGATAGGTCAGGATGATCTTGGTTTCTCTCTGCCTGAAGTATTCCGTACAGAGGTCAGGTCCCAGTTCCATGATCTAGACTGATTAGCCATAGTGGCTACGATACTACAGAGTACTCGCGCATGGGATCATCAATGACCCTTGCACTAACTTCTCCGCCCAACAGTCAGCTAAGTTACACGTGCCTCGAGCCTTCACTCTCCCGTCTTCGGACCCCCAATAGGAACTTCACTGAAAAATTTGACCATTTTGTCATTCAACCAGCTCACATCTTTCTTGCTATCTCCAGGTCCGCCCGCCCAATCTAGCAATAGTTAGCCTGAGTTTCGAAATTCGCTGTTCTGTTGGGAGACTCACGGCCCCAAATCGATGGGAATGCGTCCAGCTGCCCAACACCTGGGAGCATATTTGCAACTTCATATTCTGAATCTTCCGGTCTTTGAAAGCGGTTTAGACTGGGTACTTAAATTTCTTATGTGGTCGTTGACTTACGGGAAATACAGGTCAGTTTTTCCTGGCAAAATTAGAGCCCTGGCTTTGATCCCTTTCAGGGCCATTTCGAAATTGCCATTATACGGGGCTTGCTGGGAGATGTCTCCTTTCTGCCATGTATCCAACATAACAAGTAGATCGTCGGGGTCTAGAGAGAAAAGCGATTAGTTGATGCACTTGGTGAAAGCGACGACGGCTTCTCTTGCCCACCTTTCGGGGCAAAATGACGCTCCCAGAAGTTCACCATAAAATCTTCGAGATCTTTATACCCAAGCGTTGTTTCATACAATCGCTCGCGGTAGAATGCCTGGCTGAAACCCCTAGGTTAAGAAATTGGCTTAGCTGGTGGCCACGTCGAAAACCAGAGTGGAACAGTACCTACCAACCGGCATATACTCTACCAAAGGCTTTCAACCCCGCTTCGCGTTCGTCGGGTGTCCATTGACGGTAAGATCCACCATCTAATGCTTGCCCATTTGCTGCGGACAGCGAAGATATGAACCTTTTGGATGAAAATAGCGTACTCTTGAGGCCTTCAAGGAACACTTGATTGTGCAAGGAAGTCTTCGCGGAGCCGCAAAAGGGAACGATCAAGTCCATAAAGTTAGGGTATTGGCTGGCCCATTGGAAGGATTGGCCAGCTCCCATGGACCAACCCACGACTGCTCGAAGATGCTTGATGTTGAAATGCTTTGTAACGAGCTCATACTGGGCCTTGACATTATCATAAAACGACACCCGCGGAAACGGCCTGATACCCGTGTTTGACGGCGAAGATGATTGACCGTTGCCAAAGAGAGCCGGGATGATAATGAAGTAATTGGCTGGATTCAGAAGCTTGTCGTCTCCGACTAGCCAGAAATTGTGGGATATCACTGCGCGTTGAACTTCAGCCTAAGGACATGCTAACTGAAGGGGATACTCACGACCGGAGTACCAGGTTGGATAGACTATTGCTGGGGACTTTGGGTCGCCAAACGTCTTGAAAGCAATATGAGCGTTTGGGATAATATCTCCGCTCTGCAGGCTCCAGTCGCCAAGCGCAAAGGTTTCATACTCATCGTTGAATGCCATGATTCTTAGTGGAGAGAAGAGCTACCGGTTGAGCGTTCCCCGCACGTCCAGATGTTCTACTGGCCTGATACTTAAACATACGTGTGACCCCGTCAACGCCGTGAACTAGATCTGGCATTTGATTATTAATAATAGGAATCGTATTATTAATCACTCCACGGACAAAATGTCGGAGCGGCTTGGCCAGATAGGAGTTGGCGCCAAGCAACTATCTATTCGGCCTTTTTTCGCCTGCAACTAAGCATCCGCCAGCTCGCCAAGGAACATTTCATCCAAGGCGTTCGCGAAGAGCCTATCCCAGTATCATCCCCTCCCCATGTCGAAGCCAATGGCATCGCGTTACTTGGCTGTGCCTGAGCTTCGTTTGCCGGAGGGCTTGCTTTAACGTTCACTGCCCCATGCCGCCATTCTCCTGGCGCAAAAACATTCCTTTCGTGGCAGGAGTTGCGGTTTGCATCCGGGAGATGCCCCAGCCGCCTCCCAGGCAGATCAGGTTCGTTTCGTCTGATGGGCTGCCGCAGACGAAGCGGCGGAGAATTAATGCAGCGTCGGTTGTCCCTCATCAGCTGCAACGTAGAGGATGATTTCGAAAGCTAATACGTGCGCAAGTGTAGATGCCGGACATGTAGACGTCGCAAAATCCGGTGCTCGGGTGAACAGCCGGGTATTGAACACTCTATGAAATATCGTTGTTTAGCCCCTTATCTAATGGCCATCCAGTTTGCAAAACATGTTCCGACCACAAATATCCGTGCCTTGGTTACAATGAGTCTGCGAATCTGCCAGCAACAGGCCCCCAATCCTCGCCGCCGGGGGACGGACTGGGAAACCAAGGACACGAAGCATCAAATCGGAGAGATTCGACCGAACGGCCCCGCTCAAGCCCTCTGATCCCAATCCCAGGCTCCAGCCAGACATCACCGGAAGCGTCGACGCCCAAGGAAACCCCGAATCCTCAGGGTCCCAGAGAACAAAGTCAAACCTTGAAAGCCTCCGAGAGCCCTGGCAGCAGTGAGTCTCTAGTTTGTAGTCTTGCATACGGGTAGACCGGACCGCATGCTGATTCTTGAAGGTCATTCGGCCCTGATATCCAGTCGTCGCACGCATGTACCCTACTTCCGGTATTTCGGACCCACGGCAATCGTGCCTGGTTTCAAACAGATGGTTGGTATCTATGATGTGTGGATGGGAGTTATCAGATTTGTAATATTGCATAACACAGGTCGTCCGCGTCCGGGAAACGAAGAAGGGTAATCCATCTACGTCTACAGGTCAGTAACACTCTGCCATAGGATTCACGGTCCCGTAGTTAAAACTACGGTCTAACCACCCGCACAGACTCTGCATCATCCACGCGTAGCCCAAATGTGTCGAAAACCGAACCTCGTTCCTCTATTCATACTGCATCAACTTCAAGTAGCATTCAGTTTTATGACCCGGAAGATCCTCTCCCTAATAGCGAAATAGTTACGCATTTATGCGAAGTTTTCTTTATTCATTTGAGCTGCACTTTTCCATTTTTACAGCGCGATCTCTTCCTTCGAGATTTGGCGGAGAAGCAGCTTGAGCCTGTGATTGTGGATGCGGTGTGTGCACTCGCCGCCCGATTTTCCTTGCACCCGCTCTTAACTACGGGATCAGCAAGCGAAACCAACTATCCTCATCGTGGCGATGTTTTTGCCCAACGCGCAATGTGCGCGGTCGTTGATGCTTTGTCCTGCCCAACGGTATCTGGAGTCCAAGCATGTCTCATGCTTGCTTATGAACAATTCGGATCCAACCACGATAGCGGCCTCTGGATGTACTTAGGGATATCTATCCGAATGGCGCAGGACCTGGGGTTGCAAAAGCTAGAGGGCCTGAAATACAACTATGGACGCCTTGGACTGGCGCCAAAAAGTGTTGGGTCCGGTCAGGCCGGCCGACTTGATGAAGGACAGGCCAGCAATGGCACCAATAACAACGCCCAAATCTCGGGCGATCCAACCAATCTGGATCTTGAACACGCAAAAGAGCGTGAAAGAGTTGATACGTTTTGGAGTCTTTTCCTAGTGGACAGGATCATCTCATCGGGAACTGGTCGACCTGTTACTCTTCGTGACGATGACGTCGAAATATCCTTTCCCTTGCAGTCGGAATCCTCGTTGCCGAACGGGTGGCCAGCTCCTTTCCCTGCCTTGATCAGGATCATCCACCTCTACGGCAGAGTAACCGATCTACTAAATGCTATCAAAGAAATTAACCACGTTACCCCAGAGACGTTAAAACAATTGGCTGGCATGGAAAGCGACCTGACCGGTGCGTGATGTCAGCTTGGGCGTGTGCAACCGGAACTAACAGGAGTGTAGGGATCTACCAAAGATTATCCCCTAAGCTACATTTCAATGCTATAAATTTTCAAAGCTACGTCAAAGTGGGCGAAGGGACCAACTTCATACTGCTACACTCTGTATGCTTTCCCCTTACAATTGTGTTTATCCCACTGACGGTAATATAGTGGTTCCACGCATTGATTGTTCTCGTTCACCAGCCTACCTTGTTACATTCGTTCAGTGGACGGATTCAGCAATTGTTCCCAAATAGCCGCGAGCTCTCCATGTCTTCAGCCAAAACAATAGCCGATATCCTTGCCTTTGCTGAACTGATTGATGCGAAAAGCTTCATTGGAACCCCTTTCACTAGCCAACCGACATATATCGCTGCCTGTGCATTTTTGATGGAAAGTGCTCTGTTTTCAATGCCTTCGTCCCGCTCGCATACTCCTCCATTGGGAGCGGACATGATCGACCAACCTCTAATGATGGTGACGCCGGCGGATGGGGCCGCTGTATCGGGGCAAGGCTCCAATGCAAAGTATAGTCTGTTAGCGGCCGCCGCCAAGGAGAACTATCAGCGCTGCTACAAAGCTTTGCAATCGTTAGTGGCTTACTGGGAAGGAACTAAATATATTCTTACTGTTCTCGATCAGAAGTCAAAAGGCATATGGGATCCTCAACTCTATACAGATGAAGAAATGAATGGTACTGTTGGGCATTCCTCCCTAGGAAACAATCAGTCATCTCAGACATGGCGGAAACTGTCGACATCAAAGGACATTACTCTATCAACGGCGAAACATGAGAAACCGAACGTCATCGACACCAGCAATCAAGCTATAAATAGCGACTCAAAGCTGGGGGGCCCATCCCCGAAGAATACCAGTCAAGGTGAGTTAGAATTTTTTATTCTAGCGGACAGATGTGCTTCTAATACTTTTCTCGTAGCCATTGGATGGGCGCTCACTGGTGCGACCGGTTCCTCGCAACCGAATCTCAGCTTTCTCTACCAAATGCCAAGAACCAGGCCAGACGAAGCAGCGACGTACCTCCCGCCGCAATACGACTCTTATCAGAGCGTGGGAGCCCAAACTAGTCCTCCGACGCCATCATTCTGCTCCTTTTCCGACACGAAGGTTGCATATCAACCTGGGCCTACGCCTAACCCCCCCTCTCAACTAGTCCCAAATCCGTCGCCGAATGCCCCACGATATTCATGCGTGGGACCAGAGGCTATATCGTCTTCGAACCCATCCTTTCCCCTTTCGAGCTCCGAATTTACGAGCCATCATCCCCACACCACCACTTCCCAAAATCCCTTCCAGGATGCGTCTTTGAATACAACGCCGACAAGTTATAGCTACAGTTTAGCCACAGCTATGCGAACCAATCATCGATATTTCACAGATAACTCTTTGAGTGATTATGCTGACCTCGGCGCCAACATACCGAATATGACGATTGAGAGCCAGGACATCGATATGAACACACTTCAAGTCCCAGGCACATTCCCGTTTCCCTTGGACGGGGAATTTATGCCTTGGCTAGAATATTTGCCAGATGATATTCTACAGTACTTTGGAGATCAGACTTAACCGCCCTCTGGTTTTACGGAATCTAGTTCAGCTTTCACGACGGCCTTTTCCAGAACCGAAAATTTTGCCGTTTTAGAATTATGTATTCTGATAACGACCTTCTTCTTATGATTTAGTTATGGAATGACTCTCTGCAACGGTGTTGGGGAGTGGCTTTTTTGAAGCGAATCGGGGAAAGCATTAATCCAAAGGTTCAAAAAGGATATATATATCTTTAGCATGCAGAATATCCTACGCCTACATAGTTAAACTATATAATTGTTAATCAACGCTAAGTAATCAATTGTTGCAATTATTTCCATCGCCACCTGGTCGTTGAAGACGTTTTGTGTCAAGACCAGCCCCCTGACGAAGATCGGTCGTTGTCCCTAGCAACCTGGGTGACCACACCGCAAACAATGCTCGGCTTGTCGAGGATGCACAACACGGGAAGAAATAACACATCATGAATTAAGGAATCCGGCCCAGCGCCCGAAGGTGTTTGTGCTACAGAGTGCAAAGCATCGGAAGGACTCGAGTTTTTTCTGGTTGATCCAGGGTTGCCTCGACGCAGGATTCATCGCTCGACAACAGCGACCAGATCAGCTACCTAGTTAACGGGTCAATGACCTCATGCAAATTCGGCACAACGGGTTTTGCTGAGCTACCTCGCTAAAAAAAAAAAGAGATCGAAGAAACGGCCTTTGGGTTTGCAAATGGAGCAGGCAACGGATAGCCACGATGCCTACTCCCCGCCATCCGACCTTGACACCGGATATTACGGAGCTACTCCAGCAGACGGGGACGATGTGACTTACCCATCTGCGTCAGAGAAGGATTTTACACGGCGTAACGGTGGTTTTGGGGACGAGAACGGCGGAAGAAGATCGCATCGATCGTCGATATCTTCGCTTCCGGGCTCTGTTGTGGTCCATCCTCGCGCCGACACGCTCCATGGCGTGGATGACAGTCCCCCCAGAATGTTGGTGGGAAGTCCATCGAGCTCGAACAAGGTCAAGGCGTATTGTTTCCCTGCGCACGTTCGCGATCGAGACTCGCCCTTTCGACACCCGAGTTCCGTGCGTGCAATGCAGATGGGTGACGAGGATTCAGAGCTGGATGCATTATCGCCATCTGGAAGGACGCTCAAGGCGCGCAAACAACGTGCAGCCCTTCGCGCACAGTCACCTTGCATGTCAGAAATGTCAATGTCGATGCGATCCGGGGTAGCATCGCCTTCATCTTCAACAAAGAAATATTACCGGTCGCCGCACACAAGATCATCGCAGATGATTGTCGAGGAGGAAGCAAAGAAGGAATACCCTCTGGTGCTGCTACATTGCAATTTACTGCCGCCCTCCTTGTCACTACCGCCTCGTCTAGGTACCCCCAGCGCAGAGCTATTACGAGAAGTTCTCCCTGATGTGTACTGGCGGAGATGGAAAGTGCTTGAAGACAGCGTTGTCGGGTCAGGCGTACTCAGGGACCGCGGCGTACTCATCTCTCATCCGCAAGAGGCCTACGATGTGCTTGAGGAAAGGCTGTTGGAGAGCCTTGAGCTGATCAGGCCAAGGTTGGCATACGGCCACTTCTTGGGTGCTGAGGAGGGGAAAAGCGGCAATGAGGATGAGTCTGAACGTGTTGTGGATGCCGGAGAGGGTGCAAAATGCCACGACTGCGGCCAAAAGGTTCTCAAGGATCCGGATGGTGGAGAGAGGAAATGGGAGGTTAGGATCTACGCTGCCAACGGCCTCATGAGAGCCGGGGCGTGGGCTGCGGCATGGAAGGATATGGAAAAGGTTGATGTGGAAGTTGGGTTATGGCTTCCAATGGATGTCAAACGAGAATTAGAGCGCAAGATGCTTGAAGAGGAGACCTTCCGGATGGAGGCTGAGCTTCGGGCTGTTGAGGAAGAAAAGAGGCAAAAGGAAGTGTATGGCGAATCCGGCTGTCCATCACAGGAAGAGATCGATGGGCTGGTAGACCCTTTCGACCCCGACATCTCTGGCGATCAGCACCAGCACCATGGATCGGTTCCGGTACATGACCCGCGCTCGGATATAGGCGTGTTCTCCTATAAAGGGCTCCGAACTATGGACTTCCAAACTGTTACTGCGAAGTACACGCGGCTCCTCCTTCGTGATCCTATTGTGACCTTCGTGGCCGGGGTGATTCTGATACTCGCCATTATTTACGCACCATCGCGAGTCCCAACGACAATAGCCCCAAGTACTGGTCCATCTTCCTCGCCTCATAACGTGGTGACGGTGACCTCATATCAAACGCCTCCCGTATACACGACAACGGTGTTTGCGTCATCGCCAGCGTCAAAAGAGTGGACTCACAGCCCTATAATCCCTGCATTGACAATTGCAAACAACGGCTCACGGCCCTCAGGTGCTCCTATTGTGCCAGCCGCCAAAATCGTTGCGGCTGAACAACCCGCAGAACCGGATTCAGCCTTGGATGTTGGATCCGTCTTGTCGGCTCATAGGAGCCCCGATGATGAGGAGGGGAAATCGATCTCCGCCGTTCCTCCAGCGGCGCCTGTGATGGACCAGCAATCTATGGGACTTTGCTCCCGCTCGGATGGCGCGTCCACAGCGTAGGTTTTGAAGATTTGCTTGAGACGCCGTTTTGAAACTCCCCAGTCCAATTTTGTTAATATCATGAGCCCTATGAATACCCTTATGCCCTTTTTGAACGTAGCTTTGTGATGTAGCAGGCTTCCTGTAACCCCTGCGATGAGTGTTTAGCCCATTTATGCCTTTTTCCCTCTATTTTTGGCTTTGAATTGGATATGTGATCATTATTTGTCAATGAGCAAAGAAATTTCCCGAATACCACTGCTACCTGGACATGCACAAACATCACTATTATCAAGTAATAATAACGCATGCTGGTATGCGAGACTGGACAATCCTCATTACTTCTCTGGACCATAGGCATTCGAAGTCGCATAAGCACATTGAAACCCGCGCCACCGTGACCTCGTTTCGTATGCCTGACTGGTGGACACCAGGTGATTCACCGAACAACTAGGTAGCGGTTACCTGGATAGTCGGGATGTTTTTCAACGCCAGCCGTTGAATGAAGTGGATCATGTCCACAGGCGGATTGTCAGGCCGAAATACTTGTTGAACGAGCCGTTTGGCATCGAACTCGAGGAAATAGCGTCTGGGCTACTCCGCCGTACACAAACTAGCATCATGAGAATAGGTAGTTAAGCTAAGAGCTCGAGCCTTCAGAATCCTTTGCGGAACCTGAGTCTGTATGTGGATAATTTGTCAACCGATGAGTTCGGAATTTCAATAACGCGAGTGTTTCTAGCTTGTTCGGATACCCCGGAGTGCTAAACGGCAGTGCATCGCCGTTGAGATGAGATCCAAAAATAGGATATTGCGTATGGGATCGACAGTTTACAGAGGGAGCATTTTGCTCCAACGCTCTTGGCGGCTGGAGTCGACGGAGCTCAAATCCTCGTATTCTCGGGGGTTTCTCACCTGGAAAAAGGTTGTTTAGGAAAGCTTTCCTATGCGGAGATGTCGCTAACGGCCTTGGAGAAATGATCGTCTGAAACATGCGCATTGGGATCAAGATCTCAGAGCGACCTTTTCGAGCTGGCGAGGCGAAGGAGCCGCAACATACGAAGTATACGAGCCCAGCTATGAGGTATGGTGACCTGAACAGAGACAAGTGGCTTGGTAGAACTTTGCCAGAGTCAAACTCACAGAGTTACCGGATAGAAGATGGCAATGAACCGTGTTGATTCCATGAAAACGGCGAAGCTGATTTAGGGTATAAATACTTTCAAGACCTCCCATCTGGATATGGTGATTCAATCGATCAGTTCCTCACACCCGCTTTCTTTGGACATCCGCTGATACCAAAGCCCAAAAGAGCCTATTTACATATCCCTTCAACCACACAACAAGATGAAGTTTATCTCTCTCCTCCTTGCGGTCTCCTCCGCTGCCCTTGCCGCTCCGGCTCCGGCTCCCGCTCCTGATGCCGGGCTCACAGCTCGACAAAGTGACCTCGTCTACCCATCCGGTACCTTCCGCTACTTCATCAACTCCGGCCGAGTCATCGAGGATCCCCAGGATCAGCTCCTCGTAGTCAAAGACGGGAACCGCGACCACGAATCGAGCACGATCGTCACATTCAATCTCGGTGAAGAGCACAGAGGCCGCACCTGCAAGCTTGTCTTCGACCTCTGGGACCGCGACGTGTCCACCGGCTCGCATCAGATGGACGTGTTTTCCGTCCTGAACCCTCCAGGACAATTCACCGTTGCCAGCATCCCGACCGTCCGTCCGGCGTCCAGCAGGGATAAGCACAAGGGACGCATCGAAGTGCAGAAGCCCGGCAGTGCGAACTGGCTTATGGCGTATGATGGTTACCCTCAGTTCCCTTGTCCTGTCGGGGAGGTGATGGGTATTGAATTTGTTGGCGTGGGTGACCGTGTGGAAATCCGCTGGGATATTGGTGTGACGGGACCGAGAATTCGGCCGCTGTGATTAATGTCAGATGTCAAATAGTTCCAGTATATGGTGGATGAATGCAGATTGAATTCAACAGTGCAACATCCTTTTGTGGATTGATATCTCACTATTTCTTGTGCTTATACAGAGTAGACCTCCATGTCTTCAAGTAAACATTCGAGTGCCTATCAGATGACTAAGCATTAGGAAGAGCATTCCCCCGAACCGACGGCGCTAGGCCCACAGTGGCAAGGCGCCGGTCGGCAGATGCCCGGAACTCGGCGCGGGATTGGCTGTTCGTTTTTTCGCTGTTTTTTTCTCCGAGAATTTGAAGTCAACATCCGCCCCGTCGCTTCTCGTCGTCGTTCTTGTTCGTCCTCGTTTCAACCCCGAACATCTCGTTTCCCCGTCTGCTTTGCTCCCGCACACTCCACTCTTTTCGCCGTGTGTTCATCCTGTCAGCCATGGCCGCCGCTCCCTCGTCAACGAAATTGGACAATGTTGTCCCCAGCATTGCCCCCCCAGCGCCCCAGATGAGCGGGCTTCAGCTCTACTCCCGCTTCGCCTTTGCTGGTGCAGTCTGCTGTTCCGTCACCCACGGAGCTCTCACGCCGGTTGATGTGTAAGTCATTGACCCTACTGTCTCGCGATTGCCAGAGCATGGCGCCGTAGTCTCAAGACATCCCCTACTGCCAGGGGTGCGCCGGGTGTTTCCGCCGCTAACCAACGTCGTGCAGTGTCAAGACCAGAATACAACTCGACCCGGTCACCTACAATAGAGGCATGATTGCTGGTTTCAGGCAGGTCGTTCAGAACGAGGGTGCCGGTGCCCTGATGACCGGCTTCGGTCCCACCGCCGCCGGTTATTTCTTGCAGGGCGCCCTCAAGTTCGGTGGATACGAGTTCTTCAAGAAGCAATCCATCGACATTCTTGGCTACGATACTGCTCGCAATAACCGCACTGCTGTCTATCTCGCCTCCTCTGCGCTCGCTGAATTCTTTGCCGATATCGCCCTTTGCCCTCTGGAAGCCACCCGTATCCGCCTCGTCTCCGAACCGACATTCGCTTCTGGCCTCCTCAGCGGTTTTTCCAAGATCATGAAGAACGAGGGTATCGGTGCTTTCTACTCTGGTTTCGGCCCCATCCTTTTCAAACAGTAAGTGTCATTCACATGGAACGGGATATCAATTATATTGTTGCTAACCACGCCATAGGGTTCCATACACAATGGCCAAGTTTGTCGTCTTCGAAAAGGTCTCCGAGGCCATCTACGGTCAACTGGGCAAGGACACTCTTTCCGACGGAGCTAAGACCGGTGTCAACCTTACATCCGGTCTGATTGCTGGTCTTGCTGCCGCGATTGTTTCTCAGCCTGCCGATACTATGCTCAGCAAGATCAACAAGACCAAGGGATTGCCAGGAGAGAGCACTGTCTCCCGATTGATCAAGATTGCTGGTGAACTCGGATTGAAGGGTTCTTTCAGTGGTCTTGGTGCCCGTCTCTTCTTGGTTGGCTCCATCACCGCTGGTCAATTCGCCATCTACGGTATGCACCCTTCCCTTTTGCTAAAACTGAAACTCTTTTTACTAACTGTCTTTGGCGCGTAGGTGACATTAAGAGAGTCCTCAATGCCACCGGTGGTGTTGAATTGACCAAATAAACAAGCCGCGCGACGGCTTTTTCTGAACGTCTTTGCGACCTCCAACCTCCCAAAGGAAACCGATACGATCCGCCAAGAGTTGCCGTTTCCACATAGAGCTACGATCTCTAAGGATTGTACTCCGTACTTGTTATTTTTATGGCCCCATTGTACAGTACAACTGGACATCTTCATTTCTAATCGGTTTGCGCATCCGAGGGGCTGGTTTGCATTGCATATGGGATAGAGTCTTGTTTTGACAATAGATGCCTTCTTGTGCCCATAAAAGATTTCTTTGTTTTCTCTCATATATTTCTCCTTTATTTGTGTGGCTGGAAGTATTTCTTTAGCAATTAATGAATTTGTCTTTGTTGCCATATCACCGGCCTATCGCTGGACACAGTATTTTGCTGTAGGCCATAATCATCGCTTTAAACGAATATAGTACATGCATTAATAGTTTAAGGGGCCCGGAGGCCTCAGTGATGGGGAAGCAAGCTTTCGGTGAACCAACGAGGCTTATCGTTAGTCAACATTCAAGCTCCAGCCCAAAGTCACTCCGACACGCATCATCCTGCATTTCGAGACCTTGACAAGCGACCGTGAGCGAGCTCAAGCTTGCAATCTGTTACATTCCCCCTCAAGGGCCTATTATTGTGCTTGACCCTACTCCGCTCGTGCCTTCGGACTGGTTGACTCGCGCCGCCAGTCATTTGACTCATTTCCACGCATGGAGACGTCGACGTAGCTGGACCACACGCAACGATGTCGGGCGAGGAATCGAATACAACTGCTGACCTGACTGCGGCTCAGCAGGAAGCGCTGCAAACCTACATCGCAGTGACCAGTCAAGAACCCTCGGACGCGATACCTTTACTACAACGTTCCGAGTGGAATGTCCAGGTGAGTTACTCGCTGTAACGGTGCCAACTGAGCTGCCTCTTCTAATCAGCTTGGTAGATTGCCATCACAAAATTCTTCGATGGCGAAGGCCCTGACCCGCTCGAAGAAGCTCAGGCTTCGACTCCCACACCTGCTCCCCGAGTCCCCCAAAACCTGATGAATGACTTGCCTCGCCCGTCCCCGTTTAGACCACACACCCTGCAACCGGCACCGAGAATATCCACGCAGTCGAGCGAGCCAGCGCCGTTTCGACCTCCTTTTCTCCTGGCGATCATCTTTTCCCCATTCAACTTCCTATATCGAATATTATCGAGCTCCCTCCGTTTGTTTGGAACGCTTTTTCCGTTCTTGCCCCGGATCTTAAACACTTTCGCGGTATCTGCCCTCCAAAGCAGCAAGCGAGGCGCTAGTGGACGGAGAACACTGGGGCCAAAAGACACAGCCGTACGGTTTACACGTGAGTTCGAGGAGGAATATGGGCCAAATACTTTGCCTTGGCTAGATAACGGGTACAACATGGCATTGGAGAAGGCCCATGCGGAGCTGAAGTTTTTACTGGTGGTCCTTTTGTCCCCTGAGCACGACGATACGAATGGTTGGGTCCGCGATACCCTCCTCAACGATGAAGTTCGGGATTTCATCGCTGACTCTAGAAACAATATTTTATTATGGGGCGGCAACGTTCAAGACTCCGAGGCCTACCAAGTCGCAACCTCATTGCGTTGCACCAAATTTCCATTTGCTGCATTAATAGCCCATACCCCAAGCGTCTCGTCCACTGCCATGTCCATCATTGCCCGGATCCCTGGTTTGACGTCCCCATCCGCTTTTCTTGAAAAGGTCCGGACCGCTGTAAACCAAAGCAAGGCTCCTCTTGACCGAGTACGGTCATCTAGAGCAGAGCAACAAGCCACCAGAACACTGCGCGAGCAGCAGGATTCTGCATATGAACGGTCACTCGCCATTGACCGCGAGCGTGCGCGGCAGAGAAGGGAAGCGGAGGCCGAGAAAGCACGATTAGAGCGGGAAGAACAAGAGCGGCAGGCGGCGGCTGAGAAATTTGCTCGAAGCCTCGAGCAATGGAGACAGTGGCGGGCTCAGTCTATTCCCGCCGAGCCGCCGGCGACGGATACGGAATCTATCCGGATCAGCATCCGCCTACCTTCTGGTGAGAGAGTCATTCGTCGATTTCCTGGGAACTCTAATATTGAAGAGCTATACGCATTCGTGGAGTGCTACGAGGTCCTCAAAGCTCAGTATGAAGATGCTGCATCGTCAGCGGCTGAGGTAACTGAGCCGGAAGGGTTTGAGCACAAGTATGGTTTCCGCTTGGTATCGCCCATGCCCCGTGTGGTATACGAAGTAACGACGGGAGGAACGGTCAAAGAACGGGTTGGGAAAGGCGGTAATTTGCTGGTTGAAATTATACAAGACGAAGATGATTCTTCTGCAGAGGAGTAGGATGTCACTTATATACTAAACAGAGTTATAGAGCCTTTGCACGTTGCCGCCCAACGCTGGGCTTTTTCTGGGAGTTGAGGGCGGCAAAAGGAGTTTTAGGTAGCTTGCTTTACGGAATTGCTTCTTGTGACCATACCGTATTAAGAACTGCCTGTTTGTGGGGATTCGTTTCCCATGAATTCGGCATTATCAAGATGCCTAACCCCTGCTGGGCCTATTGAGTGTTCAATTCAGGGGGCATATCTAGGCACTGGGGCCCCTAAGAGCTCCCAAATTTACCCAACACCTCCCTCAAGGGTGGCTAGAAGGCCTAGGCCACTTAATCTCAATCTTATTAGCATTTACCATATTGAGGTGGCGGCCCAAGTACATGAATGCTGCACCTAGTCTCATTTTTCATCCTTAATCTCGCATATGTCAATGAATATACTTGCCCTTTGTCTATGGTGTTCCTTGGGCCTCAAGAAAAATCCCCGGAGAACTTTTCTTAGTCTCTGGTGCGCTTATATAGTGAATTGGAAGAAATCCGGAGCAAGGTGCTTGGTGTAAAACAACACCAAGGGGGTTCTTCAGTTGCATTAAGAGTTGTTGGCCTTTTATGAATCTCTTTGGCCTCGTTCAGACATACAACAAAAGAGATCTACCAACCTGGCCTAGTTCGTAACCTCATTTGTTAACTTCCTCACTACAGAGTATGCTGACTAGAGGCCACTTTGCTCTTGCTGTTGGCCGGGAAATTGATGGGTTGAGATGTTCTCTCACTGCCATAGTTTGTGAGATTCTCTTCTTGTCACATATATGTTTCCTGAAAGCTCACTGACCTTTGGCCTAGGGAGAAAGATACATGAAAAGCTGAACATTCGGGTGAACAAAGCAAACGTTGCAACTCAGCTATCATCAGTTATCAACAGGAATAGGAACCGGGTATGGTCGCGTTCCCTCCGTCCCTAGAATCACGACAACACAATCAGGTCCCAAACCAAGACAACCTGGATTATCAGCCGCAATGCGCTGAAGCGCCGCGAGCCCCGCCGCGCCGCATGGACCTAGGTGGATTCCCTGGGAGGCCAGATCCTCTACGGCCCGATGGGAGTCGAGATCGGACACCGTGGTGCTAGCATTGACTCCATCACGAAGTGTCGGCCAGGCCGTTAGGGAGACGGTGCCGCAGTCGAGGCCGTTCATGATAGTCCCTGTTGTTTTGAATGGTGTCATCTTGCCTGCGATGAGGCTGGTGTGTAGACACGCGGCGGTGTCCGGTTCAACGGTTAGGACGGATACCGGTGGGTCTGCGGCTTTGCAATGGGAGACGACAGCGTGAGCAAGGGAGCCTACTCCAACAGGGGTGATGACAAGTGTCGGGGTGAGAGATTGGTGTGCAAGCTGGGAATCGATCTCCTCCAACATCGTTGAGTAGCCCTCGACGATCCAGGCGGGTATGGTCTCATAGCCTGTAAACGACGTATCCTGGATCAAGATCCCGTTGGGACATCGCTTTGCTTGTTCATTTGCTGTGTGGACAGCCATGTCGTAGTCACCGTCGACAACAATGACGGTACACCCTTCCTCGCTCGCAATGAGGTCCCTGGTGTACTGGCCTAGACATTCAGGAACATAGATCTGCGAATGGATGCCCAATAGCTTCGCCATCCTGGCCACGGCCCGTCCATGATTCCCGTCTGTGGCTGCAAAGAGCTTGATACTTTTTGCTTGGGCCGCGTTGGCAAGCTCCTGCAAAGCCGCTTCGAGCGGGAATTGAAGAAAGTCCACCAAAGCGCGGAATGTTCCCCATGACGCTCCTAGGATTTTAAAGGAGGGAAGGCCAAACCGGCTGCTTTCATCCTTGATGAAGATTCCCTTAACGCCGAGGGATTTGGCAAGATTGCTCAAGGGAACTAGTGGTGATGGGGAGTAGGAGGGGAGCGACTGGTGGAATTGGCGGATGCGGAGAGGACGGGGAGAGCCCGCCTGGGGATTGCAAGATCTTGCGTTGGGATTGATGTAGAGGGGATGGATCGAAGAGGACATTTATGCGATTCTGAGGAGTGGACTGCGCCTCTGCCGGGCATGAAATGAAAGGCGGCGCGATGCGTTTGACATAGTCCACGCCCTTTTGCCCTTGGCGGTTCATCACCAACAGAGTTAACGAACTCCCGAGAGGTGATATCGAACGTAAGATCATGGCCAAGGGCGCTGAATATATTCCCAATTTATTACTGGGGTAGCTCAGATCTAGGAGGTCCTCCTTTCAATCCAGAGTAACGAGGCCGATATTTATAACATGCAATTACAAGGAGGAAGACCAGTAAATTTCATTTTGAAGCGTCTCTATATCTCGTTTCTTTTCGTCGTGAGAATCTTTCTCCGTGTAGTGGAGGAATGCCAAACGTTTGCTAGCCATATTGCCCACTGCCTTACAGGTCCTGACTATATCGCTCAATATGCGCTTCTCGACTGAAAAGACCTGCAACAATGCATCGTCTATACACATCACCGGGCGGGAAAAAAGAATTTACCGTAATAAACGGACCTTTCCCAGCCATCCAATTTGGCTGTTCAATCCATTGAACTGAATAACTTGGCCGACACGGCAACGGTGATTTTTTTGTTTCAAACAACCTCTACCGCCAATCATTCATTCCTCTTCTTGCTGTAGAAAAGGATTCGCTATCTCTTCACTTCCATCAACCGGTGAAATCAAAACCAGTAGAGTTCCTCGGGCCACAATCAGGCCTAACGACCGGGTTGAATCATTGCCCTCGTCATCTGTTACGGCCGTTAGCAGTGCTACTGGAGCTAGCAAACCAATTCACGTACCACGCATGATCTCTTTTACGTCGTCGAGGACGAGATTCATAAGCTGATCGTAGCCCTTTAGCGTGCCGGTGACTGTACTTGAAAAGATTAGACTACCGATATCTCAAGGACACAGCACAGGATTACAGGCGCTGGCAGCTAGCCACAGCGACAGGAGCATGCAGGATACGCGAGCATGATTGATCCACACACCTTCTCGCCCGCCACTGAACTTCACATGGACCTCCTTGTCCATGTACTTGGTAAGATCGAGGATATTCTCCTTCTTCGGCTTCTCCTGTTGCTGTTGCTGGGATCCTGCACCGCCACTACCCGCACCGCCACCTCTCTGCCCGCCGCGCCCTCCGCGCCCTCCGCCGCGGCCTCCACCGCGAGAGAAGCCCCCGCGAAAGGAGCTTCGTTCAGACATTGAAAAAGCTCCGACTCTCGATGAGAATACGGGGACGGGCCCTGGTGTGGATGTTCGGGGTGATTTTTATGACACAACGCAACACGGGGATAGACCTGCTCTGGACAAGGCTGGGATGGTGATTGGATGGGCTGTGATTGAAAACGGAGTCTGTGTGGGAAAAAGGGGAAAATGTTGCTCTCAAATTCGTTGTTTTGCTTCAACTGCACACAGGTCGAAACCGCGGATTGTCTAGTCGTTTTCAGCTCTCTTTTGGTTGAACGGTTTCATATACAGTGTTGTCTGCTTGCGTGATTCCAGATTTGATGGAGCGAGAGTGAGCTAAGCCGCTTTAGGGAGAGACCTGGCCGCTTTAACTAGTGGTAACTCCCGTGTGTCACCGTACGGTCATGATTATATCGTACGGTATGGTTACGGGGTGTCTGGGGCTTGCGTCCGGTAAAAAGAGTGCTTGCTCTCTCGGCTTGACTTACTACTTAGTTTGGGTGTATTGCTGCACATTAATAGACTGTGTTGACTTGATGGTGGCCGCGTGCCTTACAGGCGCGGAACCGTCATCAGCTGGCAACACTATGATTTGGGAGGTAACAATGTCTAGATATAGGCAGCGAATTGTATCGATCCGATATCAAGTAACTATTGCTTTTCGCTTCAGAATTCCCTTTAGACGAAAAAGGCCAGCGCAATGGCACCGATGGTCGCAGCACCAACGGTCAACATCCCCGTCTTTTTAACCCCCTGGTTTGTTAAAAACTTCCCCGATGACCAGACCACGCATTTCACTCCGTTCAAGCAATGAAACACAAATGGCCACGCAATTGTAAACTTCGCCGCTACCTTGGCTGCGAGAGGCAATGCACCGAACGCGGTAGCCATGGAGGCCGCCGAGAGACCCCATCCTAAATACGGGGAGAGAACGTACGCGATGCCAAACAGGTATAGGCCGCCAGAAAATGCCATGCCTGTGAGGCGCTCAAGGGAGGAGAGAACCGCAGAAATTTGCCATTTGTAGATGGCGATATGGGGGGCGACGGGACGCTTGAGGCGCTGAGCGGCGAGGATTTTGCGACTGTCTTCGAGGGTCTTCACTTGAAGACATGCTTTGGTGGATTGAACCCTGCGTGCGTCAGAAGTAGAGAAGTAATGGAAAATAAATCGCGCATCTGCGGGACTTGCCTGACGTGGTTCGCAACGGCGAGGAAGTGGGAGGGCTGACGGGATGCGAGATGAGACAACCGTAGAGGTGATTTTGACACTTGTGTTTATATTCATTAGCGAATTCAAAACATGCCGAGATGCCATTTTTGACTTGGCTGAGAGTGTGGATCCATACGTACATAGTTGTAGAGCCATGGTGTCACACTCTCGGTAACTGGAGCGGTAAGAGACCCAAAGGAGGTTTATCAAGAGCAAAAGAATCCATCCCGGAGAGGAGGATAAAGCGCCTAGCGGTGCGTACTTTTAACTCGTTATTTGTTGGTTAACGACTGACTCGTTTCCCCACGGGCCAAACTGGTAGTTACCTGGTATTGACTGAGTATTTATTGGAAATGGCCATTCTTTCAAGCCAAGCCAATCCCGAAGCCCATGTAGTTGCTAATGAGCAGAACCATGCACGGATGGCCGAGTTTCCAGGCGGGAGGCCGCTTCTGAGTCAAAGTCAGCTCACAGACCCCAACTTTGGCGCGTTTGGCATTGAGAGCCCTGCATGTGGCTCGGCCCCTCAATGTTCTTGGAGGGACATGAAAGGGCTTTGACAAGCTTCAACGTATGAAGCTTAGTCGATCAACTAATGTTCGCCGGCAAGCCTCAGGGTGGCAGGATGTCAATCCCGTCATTATTGCTAGCCTTGACTGATAGGAGTCCATTGCGGCATTTTCGTCGCTTCTATCAAACTGGTCAACCGCGAGTTCGAGATGGTCTGGCCCGCCAGAGGCAGGTGTGACGTGTGGGTTACGCAGCTGCCGGTGTCTCCTGGAGCAACTGGGCGGGAGCCAATAATTGAACATGGCAGCACGGAGGAGTGAGGTCGGATCACATACTCTGTCACACTGTTGGATTGTTGAAGATGGCGAGAAGCAGTCTGGAGAAGTTGATATGATTAGGGTTGGGGAGACACGGGTGGATTGAGTCCATTCCCGGGTCGCTGACAGATTGTGAGCCACAATTCCGCCAGTACAAAATGTGGCTGGAATCTTCACTGCTTTGTCCTCCGTATAACTTATAAACTACTCCGTAGTGGAGACAGGATTGTTTGAATATTTATTTTTTATCGTCACCCTTTTGAGAGCAACGAGAGAGCGCAGGGCAGGATTACGATTCTGATTTCTGAGAAATCACCCTAGTCGGCGACGGGGAAGCATGTCTTGCATTCCGAGGGAGAAGCGGAGAGCGATTGTGGCTGTGTCACGGACGAGGACAGGTTGGGAGGAGCCCTTGCCTCCAGACTTCATGCACGGTTGAAGCGGCAATTTCTGCTGGTAGATATTGGCTCACCCCATCGTAGCCTGGGCAGACTTGCTTGAACTTGGTCGTCGTCATAGACCCATCCTACACAGTCGAGAAGCCGCGAACCACGGAGGAGGTCGTGCTCCGTAAAAGGGAAACCCAGACAAGCAACTCCCAGGTGGCAGAGGATTCAAACCGTCAAGACCGAACATCAAAAGTTACATTGTTTGGTTCGTTGCCAGACAGGGCAGAGCCGTCCCGTCTGAAGCGATGCATGAGAAGAACATCCTGATCGACGATTTCTACCGACGAGGGGTATGCATGGGTGGTGCGAGCTGCATGCCGTAGCCCGCGCTAAACTCGTTCTGGGGAGCGGAAAGGACCGGGCGGGATTTTCTGGATTGAGCCTTTCCGCTGAAATTTTAGTGCCACCGAAAAAACGGCACAGGGAGGTGACAAAACGGCAGCCTGGCCCACACTTCACACCCGAACGTGATGGTCTCTGTATTATTGAAAATGTTTGGTCGAGGCCATCATGTCCTTGCAGTTATTGTGTCTGTCACAGGTAACTAGTAGCTCACAAGTGGCCAACCTCCTGCGCTGATTCAACAGCAACATTTCTGATTTCCACTTCCGATGCGTCCGACATCCCTCTCCGAATTCTCCTTGGCGAGTTTGGTCGGGCTCTGCAGCACACAGGTTTCGGCAAGGCTTGCTTCGACCGTTGTCTAACCGCCAATGTATACATCATGACCGCCTGAATACGCTTGCAGATTCGCTCCATTCAATCCTTGCATAACCGCCCTCAGCATGGTCACAGGTGTTTGTCGGGTGCCTCATAAGCCCTTTTTCTCGCTGGGAGTTGGTAAGTGTAGCGGTGTATCGCACTCGTAACAAAACGGGAAACAATGGACGGGAGGATGGATTCCGGCGAATCATGCTCCGTTCCTGTCTTCAGAAAGGCGTATCGTGTAATTGATGCTGTGTTTTCCGTCCCGGCCTTTCAAAACGACATGAGGGTAACTCAGCCAATGACCAGCTGCAAACGCCAGTCACCGTGGCACAGATGATTGCTTTTCTTTGAAATCAGCAGGATGGCATCCTTTGAACCCCCTTTTTCGGTAGTTACGGCTGGTCTCCCCATTCCCTGAGAATGATCCCCCCCGGCTGACAGCTTAAAGCTGTTGTATTGGAGGTGTAATGGTACGGTAACCGCACCTTCCCTCTCTTCTCCACTCCTCCCCCTCTTGCGCTTTTCCTGTGTTCTTTCCTGATGCAGGCGCCTTCCCATAAACTCTATTTGTGTTTCCCAGAGCCGTGCTTTTCCTTATTCTCCTTCCCTCCTCCTCCTCCTCCACCTCCTCCTCCTCTCTCCGCCTCCCTCCTCCCACTTCCTCTCTTCCTCTCCTCCTCTCCTCCTCCCTTCTCCCTCCTCTCTTCCATCCTCATCCTGTTCACGCCTTCCACTACCCTCCCTCGCCACATACATCTTCCTTTTAGCTATTCCACTTCCCAACCCAGTTTCCGTTAAGCCCGATTTTCGCAACTTCCCTTTTCCATAATATCCATATCGCCATCCTCCCATCACCATCGACTTCGACCACAAACACCTACTTTTACTCTATCGCACTGCCTGAACCTATTCAGGCGCCTCTCGCATTGTGCGACACAGAACCCGTCCCTTCGGCGTTGAGCGTTCCGCATCGGACACTTCTACGGGCGTCTTATCATCTATCATGGAGATGGAGGTGGACATGGCAGAATCCGCGCCCAAACGCCCGAGATCTCCGACCGGCGACTACCCGCCAATAGCCTCTAAGATGCCCAAGACGTCAAATCACCTCCAAATCAACTATCTCGCGCGTCAGTACGCTGAGAACCTCCCTTTGGTTTCCGCAGATGACACGCTTCCCTCCATCCTTCGACTTATTGGCGAGTACGATGGTGTCCTTCAGCGCCATGAGAGTATTGCTGGAAACCTCGGTGCCTGCCCCTTGGGCCCAATCCTTGTTAAACGATTTGAGCGACTATTCGATAACCCTCCCCGCGTGTTAAAGTCTAATGGGAAAGAAGGCATTCAAGTGACCTGGCTTGACGTTGTCGAGTTCGCGAAGAATAAACCCGAGCAGTTCAATCTGGAGAAATCAAGGAATGGTGTTCGCGTTTGCCAGATCTATATTAAACAGAGTCGTGTCGAAATCTCAGAAGAAGACTACGTTTTAATCGCTTCTGGAATGCCACAACGAATGATTCCCCCACAGCCTATCAGTGAAGATGAGGAAAAAGAGTTGGGTTCGTTGGAGATCTTGGAAAAGAATCTATCTCAAATCATTCAGCTAGCAGACCAAGGTGAGTGATTGTTTTCATCTCTACCTTTTTTTCCAATACTCTTTCGACATGCCCTAACTCTTTGTGGTTGCTATAGTATCCGCCCGCGCGAGGCAGTTAAATCACCGCCTTAAGAACCGCAAAAATGCGATCATCACTCGACGTGAGAATGACGCGGTTTTGGCAAACCAAGGTCAACGCGCCGTCAGCCCCTGGAAGGACTCCAACGGTACCGGAGTGACGACAAATGGTCATTCGCGTCCACATTCGCCAACATCAGGGTTTGTGGCGGTGAACTCTCGTACAGAAGCCCAAAACGACCGCGTTGTGTCAGGTAACCATTTTACATTTTCGCAGCCCAACACGGATAACGTAACGATCATAAACGGCACTTCAATCAAAGGCGCTTCGCCGAGCACAAGGGCAGAATTAATGAAAAAGTTCTTTTCAACCTCGGAACGCAGACTTCACCCCGAAGAGGATGTAACAAGCGCCAATTCTGGGCGCCATCATTCAAGATCGTCACGGCCTCGTGCCTCTGACCCAGGCGAATACATGGGACCGTATGCACCTGTTGCCATTCCAAACACGCCATCTTCACTTCTCCCCCAGGCAAAATCCGCTAGCCACTATGAACGAGACGACGGTGGGCCGTACAAAGGAGAAATGGTTAGCCGAATGGAGACTTTGCAACGAGGAGAACGCGTTCTGCCACCGTGCGATCGATGTCGTCGACTGCATATGGATTGCCTCAAGAATTTAACCGCGTGTATGGGTTGCACCAAGAAGCATGCCAAGTGTTCCTGGAAAGAAGTCAGACTAGAGGAGCTTCGGGATACGTATCCCCGCAAAAGCCAAGAAAGTACTCATAATTCTACGTCGGATAGAAACGAGGCGGCTGAGCACACCGGCGCGTTTAATCCGGTGAATGGCGACGCACCGACCCCTACTACGAGGCCTGCATCGGAACCGCAACAACCTACTCGGTCTTCGCCTCCCCAAAGATCGCAGAGCGAGAATATGACCTCGACAGTTGGCGAACCTCGAAAGGAGCCTTGGCTCACTGTCGGTCACGGCGGTTCCAACACTGATCGCGCTGAGGCCGATGACCCTGACGCGCCTGATCCACTGGCTCAAGCGATCATGGACACGGTGAGCCACCACCAAGCTCGCACGGCTGCAGCTGCCGAGCGCGAACGTAGGGAGGCCGAAGTGCAGCAAGCAATGACGACTTGAAAACGGCGCAATATTGCGCGCGCCGACAGGCTATTTATATTTAATACGATCGAAGAACTTGCCAGGTTATCTCTGCGAAATACGTTACTTCTGATAATTTTCACCCCTTTCAACGTTCGATTTCCATGTTTGCCAAAATCTCATCAAGCTGTTGAGCTAGTTGTTGTCGTTTCTCTGTATTGGTTTGATAGCGTCTTTCCAAGCCCTCTCCCTTTTGATTTGACGGTCCAACGGTGTATCTGTATGCGTACTTTTCAACATCTCAGCTTTTTTCTTCCCGCCTTGCGACAACGGTGACAGACTAGCCAGGCCATAATATGAACGTTACGTGCCTCGTGGGAGTTGTTGTAGACTTGTTAAACCCTTGTGGTACTGCGGTCCTTGCGGATATGCCTTCTTCCGCCGATTGGCAGCTGCCGTGCCCAATAGCAACGATGGTTTGCTGGCGGAGAGCTTGACTAAGCAGACGAGGACGAATCGGGACGGAATGACCCGAAGTGCGGGGCGGAGATGCTGACGTAAGAATCGCGGAATTGCCGACTCGGAATGCCGCTTTCGGGGGGGCAAATCGGTCGAGACGACGGGCAGATTGGACGTCGACCGGCAACGATAAGGCGGATGGCCAAATGATGACAGACGGGTTGGTCATCACGGGCGCCATGGCCGCTGCATTCTCGGCGCCTGTGCGAAGCTGCTGGGCCGCTTATTCGCCAAGTACCTGAGTTCTGGCCCGAGTTGGCCGATTCGATATCAGGAGCTTCGAACACTGCTAACCACACAAAGGGACAGAAATGTGGGATTGCCTGGGTTCGGGTGCAAGGGGCTAAATACGTTTCCACCCCGCTCCCCAGGTTCGCCGCTTGGGCTGCTATTTATTTCAAGGCGTTTTCAATGGTTGAAATTGCCTTGGAGCGCCCGGCTGCGTCGTTTCTATCCTCTATACTATCAAAAATCCAAAGGTTTGACCTTCGAAAAGCCACATCCGCATACAGAACAGCTAGCTATACCTGACACGAAGGAGAAGAAAGATCTGCAGTCATGGATCCGGCCTCGGTCACCATTCCCCCATTAAAGGATCTTTCCATTGAGAACATCACGGAGAACACGATCCTGATCAACTCGCAATGCCCTGACGCCCGGATGAAATATGTTATGGAAAGATTGGTTACGCATCTACACGATTTTGCCCGTGAGACGAGGCTGAGCACCCAAGAGTGGATGACCGGGCTGCTGTTCCTAACAGAAGTCGGAAAGATTTGCACTGATGTCCGACAGGTATAGTTAATTCCCAATTTTGACCTCCAATGGCAACTATTTCTAACACAAAGAGTAGGAATTCATCCTTCTCTCCGATGTCCTCGGCCTCTCTCTCCTCATCGACGCGATTGATCACCCAAAACCAAAAGGCTCAACTGAAGGAACCGTCCTGGGTCCATTCCACACCCACGACGCAGAACACTTAGATGCAGGCGCCAACCTCTCGCATGACCCCGAAGGTGATCCACTGCTTTGTATCTGCAACGTCAAAGATACGACCGGTAAACCCATCGAGGGTGTCAAGGTTGATATTTGGGAAACCGATTCCACTGGCCATTACGATGTGCAACATGCGAACCGCACCAAACCAGATGGACGAGGGGTCATGCATAGCGACGCTGAGGGTAACTTTTGGTTCAAGGCCATCTTGCCTGTTCCATATCCCATCCCGCACGACGGCCCGGTGGGTAAAATGCTGAAGCTATTGAAGCGTCACCCATATCGCCCAGCTCATATGCATTTCATGTTTGAAAAGTCTGGATATGACCATTTAATCAGGTACTAACTTCACTGCACTTTTTTTATTTGTGGCCGGTCTAACTCGTAACAGCTCTCTTTTCCTCCGCGGAGACCCATTCGAGAGCTCCGATGCCGTTTTTGGCGTAAAATCCTCCCTCGTGGTCGACACCACCACCGTTACGGACCCAGAAATGGCCGCGAAATATGGTGTCCCCGTTGGCACTGCGTTGCTTGTACACAACTTCGTCCTGGTGTCGGACAAGGAAACAAGTGACTTGAGAGATAGAAACTCGACCGAAGCGCTGGCCAAGTTGGGTCGCAAAGTGAAAATTGTGAATGGGCTGCCCATTCCTGACTTGGATTAGATGGCAGTGTCTTTTGGCCATATAGCTTGTTGTGATGCGGTAGCCCATAATGACATGTGTATGTAACTATATGCATAACTACATATAGTTACGGGACTTGAGGAACATTTTATATCACTGGTTTGATAGTCTCAAAATCAATTTCTCAACTCAGCCTTTTACTTTTACTTCGTGTCATTGAATGCTCTTCTCAAAAGCGTCACAGTGAATTCACCGTTGCCATGCTAAGTTCTTATTAACTGGTTTGGAAAACTATTAACTCCGTATCAAGCAGGGATTTCGGCCTTGATAAAATCTCAAGGAATTGAGTTAGACTGAGCCTAGTATCACCGTATCAATCCCCCATCGTTACCATTCACCTTGTTTTTCCCCTTGCCCCCATCTTCATTGGCACTGTTTTCTCGTAACACCTTGACGCCGTCCTCCTCCTCTATCCAGCCACCACCAGCTTGCTCTCCCTTCTCCAGCATCTCCACCCCAACCCTCAAATTCAGCCCTGCACTTAGCGCTCTTTGAACTTTGACTTCTCTCTTTTCGGTAACAAGGTCCCTCAGAACCCTTACTAAAAACCCCGATAGGATATCCACGCTCCAGCCATCGGGCACAATTGAAAGAACTTCCCCTACGTCGAAAATCGGCGCGAAGCGTGTTAGCAGATCGGAAGTGCGTTCGATGCGATCGGATGGGTCAGAGATGTGAAGAAATTCCTTGAGGAGGTGTGAGAAGAGATCCTTTTGGGAGGCTGAAGATGCGGAAGCTTGCATCGTGGTTGATGTTGAGTGCGAGGACGAAATCCCGCCGAATAGGCAGTACCTGATTGCAGTGTCGTAGTCTCCAAGCCCATGGGTGAGCAAGTGCAGCGCTTCATGGTGACGTCCTTGACGCCCGCCTAGAATGATGCTCTCGGAAACTAGTTCATTCCGAAATGGTTCAATACGGTCAAGGACGGTGGATATTGAGTAAGAGAGGTCGCGGGCAGTGGGAATAGATGTAAACTGGCTCCTTGATTCGCCGCCAAGTAGCTGGAGTAGTCGAAGGCGGGATTGCCACCAATGCTCCGATGGCGCATTTTCGGATATAAATGTGAGATATGATGGTTTGGGAGGCCGAAGGGCTCGGTATGTAGAGTACGACTCAGCCAAGGATGCTCGCGCCTCTGGAGAGGTTTCGAGGACAGATAGAACAGTGTCAAGGTAGTATCCGATAAGATCGTCGGCGTATTGGGAATACTAAACGAGGTCAGTTGCAAGGTTACCGAGAAGTATGTTGCTATACGTACGTTTTTAGCAAACACCAGGTGCTCTAGATACACTTGCACAGCACCTGGAGCCTTTTCTTTGAGAATGGATACGACCTGTCCTGGGTCAAACTTGACTTTGCTAGAGCCATCCGCAAAGACTTGTATTCCTAATCTTGGATTCCTTGCGGCAAGCCAGGAGCCGTAGTCCTCGACGACTTGACTATCTCTGATTTTAATAAGGTACTTGCGCACTTGAATTTCTGCAGCAGGGACGGATAATTCCCCCCCCGCATCAGGACCGCCTTCTATTATCCGCTTCCACGTCATGAGAACATGCTTGGACATCTTCCGGCTCTGATATAGGCGGCTAAGCACGAATAACCTCTGATATGTCTCTAGCAACTGGATAGCTCGGTCAAAGTTCCCTTTCCAATTATCGACCAGTTTGTTCAGTTCTGCACGCACAGAGGATGAGACTGAGGGATTGGCTCGTTGGCAATCGCTGCCATCAAGCTCCAGCAGTAAGTGTAATAATGCTGCATCGACACTGTCGAAAACGTACGTTTCATCGGTAACACTTCCATAACCCCTTTTCCTCTGCCACGAAATCAAATATCGAATGAGCATATCGAAGAAAGGTATGTTGCTAGTCGGAATGTTATTATTTATGCCACCATTTAAAGTGTGGATTAATGGCTCCGCAACCATTGCAAGGCCTCGATTGACCCAGATTCCTTGTGGGCCTTGGAGGACTTCATTTTTCAACAGAGGCACCAGGAGTAAAGAGATCCGTGGGTCTAGCCCACCATTTGTAAGAGCAGCTTCAGTTAGCTCAATCATCTCGGCGGTTTGGGCAGTTTGCTGGGTTGATAGAAGCTTTGCAAATAAAAGCAAGCTTGCTTTTTGCTTGACATAATTTAGGCCAAGGAATTCGTTTTCCGTCTTTGGGACAAGAGAGTCAAGCTCTTCGAGCAGGCTCACGATCACATTCAAGTCGGTTGTCAGGTAGTCGTTGCTCGACTCCGGGTGGGCTAAACGAAGCGAATTCTCTAACTGGAGAGCCAGAGGGTTTCGAATCACACGCCATATACAATTACCGCCCCAGAGAATTATATCACTGTTAACGTGGCCCAGGCTCATAGCAATTTTAGCCTCTTCTTGGGTTCTCTGCTTTTCCCACTCTCTCCGAGATTCCGAAACAGAGGGCTGTTCTGAAGAGCTGAGGCAAAGCTCCTGTGACTCGAAAAGCTCCTTTTCCTTCTGTAATTGTTCGATAGAAGCCTTTGTCCTCGGGTCAGCGCTCTCAGGTGGAGTGGGCGGATGACTCGGCGCCGCAAAGGAGGACTTTAATCGCACCATCTGCATGATTTTCCCAACCTCTGAAAAGCTGAGCTGATCTGAACTGATCGTTTTATAGATTCCAACGGGCGTAGAGATAGGGCAGTCTAATGGAACTGGTATAGATGATTTGGGCCTTTCGTTCCCCCCTGGCTCGAGATCCCATCGCTGCGCCTCGATATGCCTTGGTAGCTGGTCATCATTCTCATTTACAACCACAGCCAGGATATAACCTTCTTCGACATCGTTATTAGCAAGAGAAGCCCGCTCTTCATTGTAGTTGTCAAGCACAACAGAGTCCGGATATTTTTGGAATTCTATTGTGCCTCTGGTTACTTCGCCCTCAAGATTGACAAACATACCCACTCCCACGGCGGACGCCTCAGTACCGGTAATGAACAAGAATTCTGATGGAGTTGGCGATAAAACGTGGGGTTTCAGCTGGAAATTCTCAGGTAATGGTGGAGGCGGTAATGGCTTTTGACTTGAAGTCCGCACAGCTGAGCCATTGTGGGAAGGTTCAGGAGTCCGATCGACGTTGGTAGAAGGGAGGTCATCTGAAGAACTTATCTTCGGCGCTTCGCGGCCTCTCGGCTCTGGAGTCCTAGACGGAGATCTCCCTGGGATGCTGGAATGAGGACGGTGATGCCGATCACCCGTGCCGCCGACAAGAGCATTAAGACTTGAGCTCCTACCGTGCACTCGATTTTCAACTGGCAGCGTATTTCCATTAGAAGCTGCTGAGGCGCCCGGCACAGGAGTTCCATCTCTAGTCGGAATGTCTTCCACTCGATAATCACTAAGTTCTTCGGAGGAACGAATGGTTGAGAGGTGTATTTTTTGGCGCCTCTCTACTTCAAGCAGAGAATATGAGTGAGCATCTGCGACACATGCAATCGTATCTCGGCGAGCGCCCGTAAGACAGCCTGGAAATTCTATGCTTCTCACTCGACGCGCTTCGTCTCCCATTCTTACGAGCATAACATCGTTCTGCCTTGCTATCATGATAACCGGATCGCTCGATTCATCCTCATTGATCGCTGAGTTAAGGTCAATTCCTCCAATCCAGCTGCAGTTCCGAACACATGTGTTTCTATAGGCTGGACTGAGCTCCGGAAGAGAGTAGAATGTGACGACGCCATTGCAAAGGATACCGGCCTTGTTTGCCCGTGGGACTACCACAATTTGGCGAACACCGGCAGCCGCTCTGGAGCCCGAGGCATTCGCAGTCGCCGCAACCGGTAGTCTGGACGCCAATATGAACGTTGGTTCGGTGGTTTCACTGTCTGGCGCATCGGCTGGGAGAGAAACGAAGTGCAGCACTTCTCCAAGGGAGGTACCAACATAAAGATTACCATCTAGACGGTAGTGTTATCAGCACATGCCATCGAAGTAAAGCGAATTGATACGCACTCCAGTATTCTACGCAGGTAATGTGAGCACTGTCATCCCCGTCTTCTAGAGAGACTGGGATCCGCTCAACAAGCTGTCGGAGGACATATGGCCCTGTCTCGGGCGGACTGAGCCGTCGACGCTTTCTCGGGCCGTCACTGTCGCCATCCAAGCCCATGGTCGCCTTTCCCCTACTCACCCGTGAGCCGATCCATGAGGAGTTGTTTGCCGGGCCTCCTGGTCGAGCAGGCGGCGCAGTTCACAACCGCTCACTCGGAGGAACGTTAACCCGGAGGATACGTCTTGATCTCTCTTGGGGAGCTCACTGAAAGTGAGACTAACTAACAACTGGGAGGGTCGACGGAAAATATTGCATTCCCGACGAGATTCACTTCAATGACGGTAGCTACGCAGCTCGAGAGTTGGTGAGTGTCATCGTTGCCGGAAGATGGACAGCCTGGCATCGGAAGCCGCTGGCCGGGAGCCCAGCGCTGAATCTCAATCTGCGGAGAAGCCACAAGAAGAGACCAAATTCCAGAAGGCTATTTTGGCTTGGAGAAGTATGCACCGTGCCCGTCTTTGGATTACCCTTCTACGTCTTGCTGACGGAACCAGGTATCGATCTTGCAAATCTTGTCTCCAAGCTCGATTCAACCGCGTCAGACGTTGTCGCGCATCAACGAGATTCTCTTGTGCAGCGGAAGGACCTGGCTCAGAAGACGAAGGATTTTAGGAAACTTGACGATGCCTCCAAGCTCACCGAGTACAAGGGGCTGTTGAAATGTAACGACCATTCAGCCCTGCCCTCCATTTGGCACCAGTTGTCCCTGACTCGTATTTTAGCTTACCAGGCATTCATCGATCTATTGACCACCCACGGGAAAGCGTCGTCTTCCGCATTTCTACAACTCTACTCGGCTTTGTCGGAAGCCCCAGATCCGTATCCTTTACTTGAGGCTTCAATTGACTCCCTCGTATTATCAGAGGACACTGTTCCGAAACTAACGTCAGAAAAGGAGGCGCTCCAGAAAAATGCCACCCGGATTACTTCCTTGTTGGATGAATCGGAGAAGAAATTAGAAGAAGAAAGGGCGCTTCGTCGAAAACTGGAAGAAGAACGGGACAAGAAGATCCAGGAGGTCGAAACATCATGGACCGCCGTACTTGCGGAAAAGACGAGCAATTGGGAGGCCAAGGAGAAGAACTACGAGGAAAAGGCAGAAAGCCAGGAGCGCTTGCTGAAGGAGATCAAAGCTAGTTTTGAGGTTTCCCAACGGCTGGATCGTCAAGAGGGTGGAGACGCTCAACGAAGCGCAGCAACTGCTGCCGAACTAGATATCGTTGCAGCAGATTTAGAGAAGACAAGCCTCAGGCTGGCAGAGGTTGAAGCTCGAAACGAGCAATTAAGACTGGATCTTGCGCAGGCTGTTTCTCACCCTAAAGGGGACCATCGGCCGGTGGAGGAAGATCCAGCATACCTCCGCTTACAATCTGAAAACGCATCGCTGCTGCGGAAACTGGAGTCTGCTCGGTTAGACAGAGATTCAGAAAAGAATAGCTTGGAGGGAAAGTTGCGCCAGGCTGAAAGACTGCATGCGAGGGTCTCGACGGAGCGAGACAATTTGCGCAGTAAGCTAGACAAAGTCGCTGACTACGAAGATATCCGCCGGGAGCTAGAAATCATCAAGGTGAGCCCGCTGTTACATTTCTTTAGCTCTTCTTTCTAACCCAATCTTTTAGTCTATTGAATTCTCGACTGGCAATGATGACGACGGCGATGTAAATGACGGTGTCACTGAAGAAGCACCAAGTAACGCGGCTTCAAATGGAAACAATTTGGAGCAGCTCCTTCTTGGTAGAAATAAAAAGTTGTCTAACGAGCTTATCCTACTCAGGGTGTCACACCGCGATCTCGAAACTCAGCTGGAATCGCTAAGAGATGAGCTTTCAAAAACCAACGCAGATTTGGAGCGGTCGCGCAAGTTGGCAACCAGCCTTGAAAACGATCTTCTCAATATACAAAAGGAGACAACACAATCCTCAGCAATGTCTGTTGCTGGGACGTACGCTTCGCGCTATCCGTATTCAATGAGAAGAGGAAGGACGTCTCCCACTTCCTCTATTATATCTGGGTTTGACCATGGCATGACCCACGCGAACGCTATGGAAGCCATTCGCGCCGGGGAGCCTGTTGGAGGCGGATCCGGAATCTTGCCAATGGTGCAAGCACAGCGTGATCGATTCAAACAAAAGAACGCTGAATTGGAAGAGGAACTTTCCAAGACATATGCCAACGTGAAGGAATTGCGTCAAGAAATCGCCTCCTTGCAAAAGGATAACCTCGGCCTATATGAAAAAACACGCTATATTTCCACATACAACAGAGGTGGCCATACTATTTCTTCGTCTTCTGCAACTGCGTTTGCTAACCAACCGAATTCAACCTCCATTCAAATAGCGCCCGATACACCGTCCGGTCTATCCCTCGACAAATATCATTCCGCCTATGAAGCGCAGATCTCACCCTTCGCGGCATTTCGAGGGCGCGAGTCAACTCGTGCATATAAGCGCATGAGTCTACCTGAACGAATAATCTTCTCAATCACACGAATGGTCCTTGCAAATAGAACGAGCAGAAACATATTTGCAGCGTATTGTCTTGCATTGCATATCTTGATTTTCGTCATGCTGTACATGATGAGCACATTAGAAGCCGGGAAACATGGCGCAGCTTTGGGATCTATGGGGGCAGCTGTCCCCCATGACGCTGACGCCGGGCCTGCGGGTTGGCAGCAGGAGGGGCTTCATGTGGATTAGACACGAATATCTTCTTTGTCACCGTTCCGTTTGTTCTATGTCTTTACCCTTCCCATATTGTTGTGGCCTCTTATTCTGGCGCTTTGCGGAGTACGGAATAGTTGCTTCCCGATATTTGTGTATGATAATAGTATCAATTTCACTTGATGCCTGTCGGTTCCAATGCTCGTTGGCTTATGGTCTATATTACGCCTATTATCGGTCCTCACAATGCGATACACTATTATGGGGGCAATCAAGTCTCCGCCTTCGCTTCGTAAACCGTGCAGAAAGCTTTCGCTGTCAGACGATATAGGTTCGTCTTTTGCCTTTTAGACATTCGAACTACAATATGCTACGTGTTGTAGCACAAGTTCGCCCAGTATGATCATGGCATGGAATAATGACATTATGCATGAAGAAAGGTGACCCAGGGACCATCAAATTTAGGAATGAAGACCTAAGACGCGCCACATTACAGACATCCATGTATTGAGACCTCAGAATAGACTAGGAAACGAAGGGAGAAACGCCCACAGCTCATTTCGCGCCTGTTGTCATTTCCTTTTGTGTCCATCTCAACGGGTATGGTATTTGTTTGTTTCTTTTCGGAACAGAATGAAATAGGGGGATTTAAGCCGCGGTAATGGCCTGGCGAACACGGGTTCCTCGTTGTCTGGATGAGAGTCTGGATCCTTCCCCGGAAACAACAGTTGGTGCCTTTTGAACAACTTCCTCTCCTTCGGTCAAGATCATTTCGATGTGGCAGGGGCAAGACATGTAAGGGTTAATCTGAAGTAGAGCGAACGGGTCAGCTGAGTTCATAAGAGTCTGAAAGGTATGGAGCATAAACATACACGACCGTGAGCACGGTAGGTACGTCTTCGCTGCTTGGGAGCCTGGTTGACTTGGATGTGCTTGACGATGAGGTTTCCGGTATCAAGACCCTTCGTATCGGCGTTGGCCTCAGCGTTTTTGAGGAGACCAAGGAGGAACTCGGCGGACTTGACGGGCCATCTAGCCTTGGAGACACCGAATTGCTTCCCTAGATGGGAACAGTATGCGTTAGTTGCAGCGCTTTCAAGTCTTTCATAATCCCCTCGCCGCATATGCAAGAAGCCCCGAATTCCATATCCGACTTCTCCAACTCGTCGTCATCAACATCCCTGGATTTTGAGCTTTGATCATTTTCACTCCAACCGTTTTGCCCCTCCAAGCATCGACTCGTATAACTGTCCATATATCCCAACACAACAACAATGAAAATTGCCAGGCCATAAACTCACCCTGTGCGCATCGTCCAGTGCTTCCGGCATATCTCCTCATGGGAACAGCCTCCTTGTGCGCAATCACATTCTCCAAAAAGGCAACTGCACGCTGCAGCTTGAAGCCATTGATCGCCTGGGCAGTCTCGCGGGTGTTCTTGAAGCTAACGCGCAAGTAGGAGCCGCGAGATCGCGCACTTTTCGCGCTCGGGATCGATTGGGCGGCGTAACGGACCTGGAGGTGGAAAATGATGATGTTAGTTTTGCCTCGCCCTAGGTGAATTTTCAAGACCAATTTCAACGCGAAACAGCGAGAACTGGCCAGACGACGGAATCGGGTCGAGCACTCACCATCTTGGGCGGGTTGTCGTGTCAATGAGATGGTCCCTGATGCTCGGTTGATTGATCTCCAAGTCAGTCGAGTTGTGCCCTTTTCGCTGTGGTGATGCTCTGGTGGTAAGCGAGCCAGGGCGTGTGGTGCGGAAGCCCTAACGCTAGCCCCGATTTGGTTTAGCGCTACTCCCCAACACCAACGTCGCCTCATCTTTGTTCAATGCCGCAAACTCTTGGGGATGACACAGTCTCTCGATGGACACAGACGCGATTAGCACATCCTTTACATTCTATCTATCACAGTACATATCCTATGCTACACAAAATACTCAGAGATCGGCAAGGTCAACCCTATATGTGAACGCCATTCTGCCTATTTTTGTGCCCGTTTCGCTCGGCATGGCCGTTCTCTTGTCCATGGCATCGATGCATGGCCTCATGCTGCGCGGGCACCAGCGTGATCAAGGTGCCATTTTCAAGGCACGATCTCAGATTCTCCAGCACCAGCAGCTCCATCTCTCTCTGGGTTTCAAACGTCGTGGTCCCTATATGCGGAAGGAGCATGACTCTCGGGTTATTGACCAGACCCGGATCCACAGACGGCTCGTTCTCATACACGTCTAGTCCCGCAGAGAAAACCTTGCAAGATGGTCAGCGAACAAGAACGCTCACCCTAGCAAGAAGCCTACTTTACCTTCCCAGTGTTCAAAGCCCGAACGAGTGCCTTTTCATCAATCAGAGCACCTCTGGCTGTGTTCACAATTACCACGCTATCTTTCATTTTTTCAAACTCGGGGTCGGAAATGATATGCCGAGTGGTTCGATTCAAAGACAGATTAAGACTCAGCACATCTGACTTTGAAAGCAAATCATCGAAGGGAACGTATTTCGCGTCCCCTTCTAATTCCAATGAAAGCCGATGGCGGTTATGATAGATAATGTTCATTCCAAAGGCTTTGGCCCTACGCGCCACTTCCTGGTGACCTTTTAGCTCTGACGGACTCGCTCCACGAGTGGCCTTGGTGGAAAACCTACCCTCCCGATTCCGCCCATTCCCAAGATGCCAAGAGTCTTGCCGCTTGGATCGTGCCCCAGCGCTGTCTTTCCTAACCATTGACCTGCAATATGGTAAGCAAGAAATTCATTCCGTGGAGGTGAGTCCTAACCATTCCTAATGGAATATATCGGAGTGTACGCTTGCCTCAGTGCACCGATCATCAAAAAGATAGCGATATCTGCGGTTGCATTGTTGACAGCAATTGGTGTGCTTGATACTGAGATCCCTATACCAAACGGCTCGAATCAGCAAAGGGCTTTCAAACATAAATAAATATCCTGGATGTGCCACGATGAACCGAGAAACCTCAGAAATGCGAAACAAACCTTTCTCTGAGCAGATATCGATATCGATGTTATCGTATCCAGCGCCATTATGACAAATGAATTTCAAGGAGCTTGGAAGAACATCAAGCATTTCCGCATCAAAAGGGCCGGTTAGCTATGTTGCGTACAGAGCGTTAGTCCAGAAACCCGTGTTTGAGTTTAGGTCGGATATTTGCGGAATGCATGGCGGCGCCAATCATTTGGGAAGATTTGGATGGGACACGTACCCGAGTGGACAGGTTCGATCGATAAATGGCAACAACATCGTCGTATGAACCATTTCTGCAGTTTCGCATAAAGTCTTCCCGTGTTCCAGAGGGATATTCCTGTCAAAAGTGATTAGCCAGTCCAGTTGCAAGAAATGGTCGCCGCCATCAATCGTTCATAGCAGCCCAAAACCACTGGTGAGGGTAGACTTTTGGACGTGCATCTTGCAGATCTTTAATTCACCGGAGGACCCAATCAAGAGTCAGTCCCGATTCTAACGAGCAGAAAACTTTGCGGGGGAAATTCACGAGGACTGCCGCCATTCCTCGGATTCCGAGCTCTGTATCACGGTTTAAACTCGAACATGTGTGGCTCAGAGAACGGGTGAGTGTGTTTGTGACACCCAGGGCTGCATATGCGCCCACCTAAAAACAAACAGGGCTTGGGGAGGGGGAGGATATTGGAGGGGGAAATAGGAGAAGTTTGTCAGTAAGAAAACGCTCGAACACACCTTTAATGTTACCAAACTAGCAAACTGTTCCCATTCCTTCCTGCAATGGATAATATCGCCGATCAGCAAGACAGCCCGTGAAGGCATTGTAGGTATGCGATAGGAAGTGGATTCAAAGAATAGTTAGGACAACAACTATTTCTGAAAAGCACTGGCGCCGCCCAAAAGGATCAACAAGTAGAGAAGTTGACTGGAAACGCTGGCAAAATCGAAAGCTTGACCAGCAATTGAAACGGTTCCTTCACCCACTGGTCGAAGGCACCAAGGTGAATGAGGAGACAAGGCAATATATAGACCCGGATGGTGAATAGGCCTGGTAGGAAATTCAGGTCCGTGACGCGATTCGCTTCACAAGCCGCGCAGGATTCTGCTTAAAAAGCAAAGATGATAAACGGGAAAAGGATTGCTAGATTTTACAAGGAGCAGGAGAGAGGAAGAGGAAGAAGGAAAAAAAGGCCAATAACGGCGGTCGTGGAGCGTCCTTGTTTATTTATTGTAACCAGGAACTCACGATGCGACTGATCAACGGTGTGTATCCCCCTTTGCCTCTCGGCTGATCTGTAATAAATGCAGCAGGCCAACCAGCAATCCGAGCGTAGCTACCTAATAGTTTGCGGCGCCGCAAGTGGACTGGACCCGGGAGAGACGGTAACCAAGAGGTATACAAAGGGGGAATGACCGTCCAGCTGGGGCGCTGGCGGAGCGGATGGCCGCAAAGCAAGAGAGCCAATTCGGTGAAGCAGAGGCGATTTGGGCCATCCGAGACGAAAAAGAGAGGAACGGGATGCGATATCAACACTGTTTCATGGGCGACAGGGAGGGATGTCACCAGTCACTGGGCTCTAGCTCTCTCTCTCAAGACCGATGAGAGAGCCTGAGTTACCGTTGTAGCAAGCAGTTGCTTGTTGAGTCGCCACCCGATGATGTCTTGAATCACTGATCAAGCTTCCGACGGCATTTGAAAAGGCTTTCGGGATGATCTTGATGGGCATCCTGAACTCTAACTATCCAAAGGAGCCAGAGCAATGCACACGGCGGTGAGCCACGAGCTTGGCCCATGGTCATATCGCGATGTCTAGGAGGACAAATAGCAAACGAGGGTGCCGAGCCGAGCAGGCTAGATGAGACGAAGGGATATCTCCATCATGTCAGACCCTTGCCATCTTTTCTTGCCTAGCGTCGGAAAATGAACAGTGATATCCCCGTCGGTAACTCGCAGTGAAGCGACAATCACTGGGGCGCCGGCGAGGCCCCCTGGACTCTTAAAACCCCAGCATCTCCAGAGTGCCGGGAGAGGTCGCAATTCCGTCTATCATCAAACTCGATGACATCCCATGGCTTCAGCTGAAAGTCACTTTCAGCTTTGCCTTGAGAAACGCAATCATGCCATTTCCAGCCTCCGAAGGGCGAAAACGCGCCCCGTCGCCATACGCAGCCGTCCCATCTCGCTGGTTTCGCGTGATACCAAACTTCACTCCTGTGATTGTGAATGGGATTCGCCGGCCAGAGCAAACAAAGACAGCCCATTAATGCACTCTTTCACTGATAGGATGCCTGAAGCTTAAAAGAGCCTGAAAGTAACAAATCAGCCAGGGATTTTGGTTTATTCCCCGGCGACTGCAGCTCACGGTAAATCTGGCTCCTCTTATGCTTGCTTGTCCTGCACCATGACCGTCAGCGAGCAATCACCACAGGCGTCAAGGGCACTTGTGCTCCACGGCCCTCAGGATTTACGACTTGTACGTTGCACGAATGATTATTTGCGGCGACCTTTGCTCCCCTCGTCGGCGTAGCATTCTTGCTCGACCTTCCTTCAGCTAACGACATCTCGATTAGGAAACACGGGAGATCTCCTATCCCAGCACGGGGGAAGTCCAAATAGCTGTCTGTGCTACTGGTATTTGCGGGTCGGATCTCCATTACTACCGACACGGCCGTAATGGAGACTTTGTCGTGCGTGCTCCTCTCTGCCTTGGCCATGAGTCTGCCGGCAAGGTCATCGCCGTCGCCCCGGACGTGACCGCCCTGCGAGTCGGTGACCGCGTTGCGTTGGAGGTCGGCATCCCATGTCGCAAGTGCACGTTCTGTTCGCAGGATCGATATAATCTGTGCCACTCCATGCGGTTTCGCAGTTCCGCGGCTGTATTCCCTCACCTGGACGGCACGCTCATGGATGTGACTAACCATCCAGCGTCGATGTGCCATAAGCTACCATACTCGATATCCGATATCCAAGCTGCTCTCATCGAACCCCTCGCGGTGTGCGTACACGCCGTAAATCGCTCAAAGCTCGCCTCTCAAGCGTCCAGCGAGGAATCCACCGCTCTCATCTTCGGCGCCGGTGCCATCGGGCTCCTCCTGGCCTCGACCCTCGCCGCAACCCGTTCATTCGACAACATCGTCATCGCAGACATCGACGAGCCAAGACTACACATAGCATCTACCCTGCCATATCCCAACATCAAAACCGTCCGCCTTCCAATCCAAACCCAAGATGGCCCCGCTACCCCAGAAAGCGACAACGCGTTCGCCCAATCGCTCGCAACCCTGCTAACCACCGCATCCTCCCTCCCTCACGGCTTTGCGCGGGTCTATGACTGCACCGGCTCGCCCGTCTGCATCCGGGCTGCGATTCACGCGTCTTGTCCCGGCGGCGCAGTCGTGCTCGTTGGGATGGGTGGGCCGCGGTTCCCGACACTCCCGCTATCCGTCGCGGCTCTGCGAGAGATTGATTTGGTGGGAGTGTTGCGGTATGACGGGCGTTGCTATCCCGACGCAGTGTGGCTGATGGCCTCGGGGCGGCTGGATGGAGTGGCGGAGAAGATTGTCACTCATACGGTTGAACTGGGAGATGGTCAGCGGGCGTTTCGGTTGGCGGGGAGCGGGGTGGATGAGGATGGGCGGGCGGTGGTGAAGGTTGTGGTGGTTGGCAGAGAAGTATGAGGCATGATTCGGGTTAAAGGGGTGTTGACTAGGTATTATTCTTAATATTATGTCGTTCGCAAAGGAATATCTTCTACCGGCCTCTACACATATACACCTGCCCGCACCTCCACTCGCAATGCTGATTTCGTAAATGCCCACAAACAAGATCCGACTACGGAGTATCCACGCCAAAAAAAAAAAAAAAAAAAAAAAAAAAAGGAATATCGAATCCCACTCCGCTTCACGAATCGCATGCTAAGACCCTTTCATCTGGCTCCGCTGGAATCGACCGCATTGTCAATTGTCAACACGGAATGGTACTTTTCATAACATTGTCGGAGTGACACTCTGGTCTTCCTATCATTGTTCCAGTAGAGTGAAGAGAGAGTATCACCATCGCGAACAATGGTTTCGACAGCACGGACGTCCCTGTCCCATTACTTGATTTCGGGGTCCGCTGTGGTTTGTGGATTGTACGGTGCCGAGTCTCGCCAGCGGTATCAAAGCGGCGTGGTCTGGGGAAAGAGAGAAACATCAGCATGCCGTTCAGAGCGAGGAAAGGAGAACGGGCGTACGAGCTCGGTTTATCCATCGCTGGGCTTTGCTGCGCTCCTCCCTTGAAGGATGTAATCAAACGCGTTTGGCGATCTGTATATTCTGCGCTCTCAATCAACATTCGAGCATGTCAAGGCGGTGGATACACCAGGACCGAATAAATGGTTCGGAAAGCGGCCCGAAAAGGGTTGGCGGGTACAGACGCCGAAGATGCTCCGGTGATGTCATTGCTTTCCGCTATATGTGGAGTGGGGTTTGACCCCCAAGATTGACAAAACCGCCGAATCTGTGGTCTCGCGAGAATGCGCGAATGCCATGCCGATGCTGGGATGCGATGGATCAATCTCGGAGAAAGACGATGCCGCCCCCCAATGCGCCAGAAGAGTGGACTTGCCCGCACGAAAACCAGGAGAAAAAAAGAGAAGAAAAGGGGAATGAAAAGAAAGATAAAGAAATCAAAACAGCAGATTGCCGTTCGGGTCAACAGGCCAGATTGGGCACGGAGTCCCGTTTGTATAATTATGATGGGGATCGTGGACGTAGGCAGAGAGGTCGACGATGTTGCCGCCGGGCATGGGATTGCCCAGCACGAAATCGCCGACGGCCTCCAGATCCAGCCACGAAAAGTCGTTGGCGGGACTGACTTGGGTGGCTGTTGTTTCTGCGGATCCGTTGGTGGAGGCTCTGATGGAGGTGTCGGTGTTGCGGCGGGGCCCGTGGAGTGCGGCGCTGGACGACTGTTTGAACCAGAGACGTTCGAGGAGGAGGGCGTATCGGGTGCCTGTGTTGTCCGGTCCGGCGCTGGCCCGTCGCAGGCGGTTCATTGTTTCTCGGATCATTTCCCGGATGTCGATCTGCTCTTCTCGGGTGATGACGCCAAAGGAATGGGCCTGCAGAGAGCAAAATGAGATCAAAATAGGCGTTGAAGGGAGACGCATCACCGTACCTTGTAGAGGAACACTGCGGCATAAGTAGCGTATCTGGGATTGAGTCAGTATATCAACGTGGATCCGCTATAGACGCACATACAGGTAATATCTGAGGGGCAGGTAGCGAAGGTGCTTCTCGGGATCGACAGAGGTGTTCAAGATGCGGAGGTACTCCTTTGCGGACCGCACGGAGGCGTAGATGAAGCGGGAATCCTGCATGGAGGCCACGTCGCTAAAGGTGGCGCGGAGATACTCTCTCTGGACACGGGCGGTGCATTTGGGCTTGGAGGAGAGGGTCTGGGAGATGGCGGCCTGAAAGGCAAAGGCGTTTGTGTAGAGGCTGAGGTAGACGCATTGCATCTGCAGGGTGACTTTGATTTCGGGGGCACCTACACGATATTAACGACAGCCCGAAATATTGATATATATTGACTCACAGCTGAGGTTGCTCCAGCGATCGTACCAGCGATCGATGGCGATGCGAAAGTCGTCGACATACTTGACATAGTCGCCCATGAGCATCATCTGGCTGCTGGTGCGCATGCCCGAGTAGAGGACGTCGTGGACGTTGCCGTAGAGCTGGGTGAGGTCGAGGGTGGCCTGGAAGATCTTGGAGTGGTCCTCGTCTCCGGCGGTCAGGGGCCGCAGGGAAGGGAAATCGTCGCTGACGAGGCCGGTCATGGGCCCGGGCCCGCGAGACCAAAAGGCACGACCGATGCGGACGGAGATGAGGCGGTCGGAGACGTAGCAGCTGGCCCAGGCGAGGCGTCTGCGGCCGACAGCCTGCAGGTCGCCGCCGGTGTCTCCGCGAAAGGAGGTGCGCTCGAGGCCGAGAAAGTAGCCGGAGCGCAGGGCGAGGCCGACGTGCATCCAGGCGGCGCGGTTCTCCTCGCCGCGGCCGATGGGCTTGATGCGCGGCTGCAGGCCGGGGGGCTCCCACTCGGCGATGAGCAGGAGGGCCTCGACGGCCTCGACCTCGCAGGGGGCGCCGGCGGCGATGGCGGAGATGAGCTCGTGCATGTAGGCGGAGCAGGCCTGGTGGATGTGGGGGTCCTGGACGCGGTTCTTGGAGGCGATTGTGAGGACGGCGGTCAGGAGGTGCTTCTCAGCCCTGGCAAAGGCGCCGAGGGCCTTGCGGTCAAAGTAGATGCGCGGGACGAGGGGCAGATGGGGGTGGAAGTGCTCAGCGTAGTGCAGGAGCAGGTCCCAGACCTGGTCGGGGGTGAGGGCGGCGTTCTTGACGAGGCGGTAGGAGTCGATGGAGGGAGGAGTAGCAGCAGCAGTAGCGGGAGTATCAACGAGGGAGCGGTGCGAGTCGGCGAGATAGGGGCTGGCGGACTTGCAGAGGCTGTCGTCGTCCTGGGCGACGTTGGTGAGGCACTGCCAGGCATCGGAGGGATTCTGCAGGACGCCGTGGCCAAAGGAGCTCTCGGCGATGGGCACGAGGTCCTCATCGTCGTCGGGATCGTGGTCGTCGGGGGGCTTTGTAGGGATGAAGGGGGCGGCGTTGAGATGCAGCGACTTGGAGCGCAGGGCGGGCGCGTCCATCTTGAGATCGAGCGGCTTCTTGCGAATGCGACGGCCGCCGCGGTTGGAGCTGCCGAGCACGCAGTCGCGGCGGTCGCGGAGACAGCGCTGGCACGGCGGGCTGCCGGGGTTGCCGCTGCTGTCGCTGTTGTTGTTAGAAAAGATATAACTAGTTAGATGGATGATATCTTACAGGTCGCAGCGGGACTTGCGCTGGCGGCAATGGAGACAGGCGCGCGAGACTCGCTTCATGGAGGACTTTTTGGCGTCGGCCATGGCTGGAGAGAGAAGAAGAAGAAGAGAAGGACAATGACCACGCTCAGCTCACGAGTTGACTAGTTAACTATCATTATCAACCGTTTGCGGATCGTTGCTTTTTCCTCGAGTTTGCCAAACTGCTTGAATGCCAGCCCGATTGCCAACGTGCATGCATTCAGTCTGAGCGATCATCTGCACAAAGAACCATCGACAACCAAACCATGGCGCTCTCGCTCTTCTCGCTGCACGGCAAGACGGCGCTGGTCACCGGCGGCACACGCGGGATTGGCCAGGCAATGGCGTTGGCGCTGGCCGAGGCGGGAGCCGATATCATCCTGGTGCAGGTAGATTGTGAACTGTTTATGATACTGTTGATACTGATTCTATGTGATAGCGAGATGGGAGCGACACGGCGACGCGCGACGAGATCCGGCGCACAACCAGCAGCAGCGCCTCGATCCACGTTGCAGATTTGGGTGACCGCGAGGCCGTGAAGCAGATTGTGCCGGCGCTGGCCTGGGGGCGGCAGCTGGACATTCTGGTCAACTGCGCGGGCATCCAGCGGCGGCACGCGGCCGAGGCGTTTCCAGACGAAGACTGGGATGAGGTAGATATATATATGCCCGGAATAGAAATTATTCCAGTTGTTAATCAACATAGTTCTGCCAGCCAACCTGGACGCCGGTTTTCACGTTCAGCCGCGAGTTTGGCGCGCACCTGCTGGGCCGCGCTGCCAATGCCTCTGGACGGCGCGGCGCCATTATCAACGTCGCGTCGCTGCTGTCGTTCCAGGGCGGCATCACGGTGGCAGCGTATGCGGCGGCCAAGGGCGGCGTGGCGCAACTGACCAAGGCGCTGTCGAACGAGTGGGCATCGCGCGGCATCGCGGTCAACGCCATTGCGCCGGGCTACGTCGAGACGGCGATGAACGAAGCGCTGCTGCAGGATCCGGAGCGGGCGGCGGGCATATTGACGCGCATCCCGGCGGGCAGATGGGGGCGGGCGGATGATTTCAAGGGCGCCGTGGTGTTTTTGGCCAGCGACGCCAGCGCGTATGTGTCGGGCGAGGTGCTGTGTGTGGACGGGGGATGGATGGGGAGATGATACTAGATGCACGGAGTACGAAGTACGGAGTGCATCTATCATAGAATGGATATGATAGAATAGCAATGGAAGCACAGAGTACAAAGTACGGAGTGCATATCAATCAGAATCATAAGGATAATACTATCTAATAGGGAGGAGAGAGAATGGTGGATGTAGACAGGATGGAGAGCATGGAATAATCAGAATAAGAATGAGGATTGATACAAACAAATTCTATTGCTAAAACATCAGAATCAGCATCACCTCCTCCATTTATTGTAGAAGAGAAACAGAAACATCAATTGAAACGCTTGTCCAATTGCATCAGCGCCAACACGCCGTTGTTTCGTCTTGTTGCTTGGCTGGGGATGTGGACAATCTGACAGGCTGAACAGAAAGAGAATACGAGTTGAAGAATGTGAATGTGAAGAATGAGTTGTTGAAGAACATCTTTCTCTCTTCTCTTTTCTTTTCTCTTCACTGCTGCATTCTTGACTCCCGGCGAGCAAGTGAATCTGCAGGAACATTCCTTTTGAGTCTCTCTTCTTGTTGATTTTTCTGTCATTCTTTCTCTCTCTCTCTTGCATTCTTTTCTTGCACTCATTCTCTCCATGAACACTACCTACGTCTCCGACTTCACCCGCGGCCTCACCGGCGTCAACGTCCCCTTTGACAAGCTCCTCACCCAGGTGCTATGCGTCTCCGTCGGCGGCGTCGCCGTGCTCGTCCTGCTCGCCCGCGCCGCCCAGCTGGGCCACTCGTACCTCCGCCGTGTGCTCGCCGCCGCCGCTCCATCGCAGCAGCGCTTCTGGGCCATCGAGGACTCGCCCGCCTGGGCCGCCGTCAAGAAGCACCTACTATACGCCCCCCTCGGCCGCAAGCGACATAACCGCGAGTTCCAGCTGTCCGCCGCCGTCAATGTCGGCACCCTGCCCTCGCGCTTCCACGCCCTGCTGCTGGCCCTCTACATCGGCAGCCAGCTGGCCTACTGCTGCCTGCTCGACTACCGCGTCAACCACAAGGCCGCTCTCGTCGCTGAGCTGCGCGGCCGCTCCGGCAATCTGGCTGTGCTCAACATGATCCCCCTCGTCCTGCTGGCCGGCCGCAATAACCCGCTCATCGCCCTCCTCCGCGTCAGCTTCGACTCCTACAACCTGCTGCACCGCTGGATCGGCCGCGTCGTCGTGCTCGAGGCCGTCACCCACACCGTTGCCTGGGCCATCAATGCCGTCGATGCCTCCAGCTGGGCCAGCGTGTGTGCCTCGGTCGCCGACGACCCCTTTTTCGCCTGGGGCCTGGTGTCGACTCTAGCCATGCTGGTGCTTTTGCTGCACTCGCCCTCGCCCATCCGCCACGCCTTTTACGAGACCTTTTTGCACCTGCACCAGCTGGCGGCCCTGGCGGCCGTCGTCGGCCTCTATCTCCACCTCGACATTGACAACCTCCCACCGGCTCCCCTGGCTGCAGCTGATCATTGGCATCTGGGCAACCGGAA